TTTTCAGATTGCTCGAGGAGAATGCTCGGCTTAGGCCGCTCTTGGGGCGCGTCTTGGCCGAGTCGGCGGCCTGGCGCTGGACGAGACCCTCGGCGACTTCGTCATCTGCGGCTGTCCGAAACGAGGGCGGCTGCATCGGCCGCGACAACGGCGCCGGGACTGGAGGCAGGACGACGCCCCATTGCTGCGACAAGTGAACGATTCTGCGCTGGCGCTCATTGGGAGTGAACGAGGACATGTTGATGCTAGGCCTGTGGCGCTGGCATCCGGCGGTTTGCTGGTGTCTCGGCCAAGGAATGCGCTAAACGCGAGACCGGTAGAGCTCAATGGAGCGGGCTGCAACTAGACATACACATGAGAATAATCCTGAGGAGAAATGCTATCGGATTGTTAGGACCAGAAAGAGAAACACAGAACAAAGCCCAGCAGTAAGGATCGCTCAAAGGGGATGGATTGATGTTTTTGTCTTGTCGCTTGAGGCAGCCTGCTGGAAATCGCCTCAGCTCCTGTGTGGGGGCGGGCGCTTGCCGCTACCAGCAGCTGCTTGAAAGAGGCAGCTTGGGCGGGTATCTGCATAGCCGTCCCCCGGCACTGTATTTTTAGCGTCTCTGGCGGAGTTTATCTCGCACCTTCATTGCCCGGTTGGGCAGTTGTGGCATCATATGTACCGTGTCAGTATCGCAGCTCAAACAGTACACGTTCCCGATGAATTGTGCACCGTGATGGCCTCAATTAGGATGAAAAAGTCAATTGCTCAGGCCGCAAATAACGCCCAAGCCAGGCATATAAGCTCAAAAGCTCGTCCGAGGTTTTTTCTATACCTGTCCAGAGCATCGCTTGATGCAATTGAAGCAAAGAACAGGCAGTATCACATCAATTCTATTCGTGATGCTTTAGAGCAAAGACAAGGGCCTCCCTCCCCTGTGCTCAGCCACACACCACTACAGGCACAGCTGCAGCGCTATTTCAACCGCGCAGCCAGGCTTGCACAGCCTCAGCCGCTCTAAAGAAGGGTTGCGTGGCCAGAGTCCCACCTTGAGGTGCTGTCAAAACACTTTTACCTGCGATTCCACACAGTTTCAGTCACTTTTCTGAATGCTTGGGTGAGATCACGATATGATGCGGAGCAATTGTGGAGGCGTAGTGCAGTGATGTACGTATGCTTATAGATGACGCACATCTGAGTATTTTTTGAAACCTAAGGTTCCAGCCAAGATTGCCTTTTCTTAGGTAAGGCATTTGGTATCTATACATGGTTTGTCCAGGGAGTATACGTCGATGCTCATTTGGAAACTTTAAAGAGCTTGGAGTATATGGCACCACAGCCGGCACAGCTTACATTTTACAAATTTATACTGTATAGCTCGAAGCGTAGAATTAACGATATCAACTACTAATGCTTAGAGGTGAACCGTTTCCCCCATGATCCTACCTCTTTTATCAAAGTTGATTCTCAGTCATTACATACAAACACCTAAGCTTACAGGTAATAAGGTGAAGATTTTGGATGGTCAATAAATAAAAAGTACCAAATTTCTCTACTGTTTATTTGTACAAAAGTTTCTCCAGTAGACGATAGAAGTAGACGATACAGTACTTGTCTCAATATCTAATGGCTCGATTGCGTACGCGTATTGAGCGGGCGCAGCTACGAAACTGGCCCAGCTGCACAAGTAAATCCAGTAAATAGACGTAGATTACTGATCCAGCAACGGCTTTACTGTGCTCTATAGCAGAGAAGCAAGCAATACGAGTTTGAGTTACGAAACAGCCAACATGATCTAAGAAAGATGGGTCACTTCACCACACGTGGATTCACAACTACAGCCTTCAAGACTATAGCTTAACAAGACTAGCACGCATCTTACGTCGATCTGGGGATTCTTTTCTGGTCACTCAGTAACAAATTTCAGCTATTATCAGTACGGGCAGGCATTATTACGCGATGCGCATATGGTCTCAATCTTATCGCACTTCATCTGACAAGATGTCTCCATTTCAGTAGTAACGTTTGTGTCAAACACTCAACATTCTCATACAAAGGGGGACACAGCTTTACAAGACCCCATCGGGAGAACATGAACAATTTTAGTTCTGGATAGCAGCAGCCACCACGCCAGGCTGAATCTTGTCCAATCTCTCAGCAAGCTCTACCCAAATCTGCTTCTGTAGCACCTTGCCCGACTCGTCCGTCATCCATTCAGGAATATGGTCCCTAAAAAGCAGAAAGAACACACAGAGTTAGCCAATGAAATGATATAAGCCCATACAAGAGATGCGTGAAAAAAAAAAGCGGCAGACTTACTCTCGAATCTCACAAGCAGTCAAGTATTTCCCATGGCTCTCCTCGGTGGCCGCAATGCCATGAATCAGCGTCCGGCTACCCATCTCGGCGGTCCGTCCCATTGCCGCCTTGGCGAGCCAGCCCCTGAGGCGATCGAGGAAGCTCACATTCCGAGTCAGATTAGTCTTGCACAGGCCAGGATCAACGACGTTGATGACGACGCCGCTTTCAGAGACTGGCACAAGAGCCGCCAGTTCTCGCGCGGCAATGTGCTCCAAGAACTTGGACACGCCGTAGCGATCGGGCATGTCGCGCTTCCATTTCGCCTGGTTGTTCAAGTCATCCAAGATGTCCGTCTTGGAAAACTTCTTGACCTGTTCGCCGGTGAAGAGCCCGCTCACGGAGCCGACAACCACCAAGTGCGGTTTAATCTCATGCTGCTTCGCAATAGCCTGGAGGCGCGGGAGGACCGACACGGCCAGCAGAAAATTGGACATGACGTTGATGGTGATGCTGGACTCGTTGCCCTCTTTCACGTCCCACGCCGACATCAAAGCGCCCGCGTTCAAAACGAGCGCGTCAATCCGCTCCAGGCTTTCGACCTTCTTGGCAAAGGCCTTGACAGAATCGTACGAGGCCAAGTCAAGATCCCACACCTCGATTACATCTTTGCGATTCAGCTCTCCCTCGATTGTTGACTTTGCAGCTTGGCCAGCTTCCGCATTGCGCACGCCGATGATGACTTTGGCAGCTTCAAGGCGGACGAGGTGCTTGGTGGCTTCATAGCCAAGGCCTCCATTAGCACCAGTGACGATGTAAGTCTTGCCTTTGCATTCATCAGCCGTGAGGGCTATTGGGAGATCCTTCAGCTGGTTAGGGACGAGGTCTGCTTGAGCCTTGCTGGGTTTGTATGACTTGGCACCCATTTTTGAGATATTGGCAAGGCAATGGGTAAAAGATGGGCAAAAATTTAAAGGCAGCAAGAGAAATAAAGGCCTTATTAGATAACATAGAGATGAGAAGAAAGAGAAGAGAGAGAGAGGACGGGAATCGAGGAATAAATCGTGGGTCGTCTCAAGACAGATTACGGAAAAGACCCTGCTTTCTCCCCAGGTCGCACGGCCCAGCCTCTCAACAACTGCCGTTAGCCAACTCCTCCTGCATTGATCCAGCAGTCTCAGTCAATTCCTCTGTGACGACTGGGTAAAGCTGCCTTATTACCTGTTATTCGCAAGGGAGCACGGCAGGTGTATCACTCCCTGCACTGAGCTAGATGTACGCTTCCTCTTTTTCTATAAGCCGGGGGCCAATCCCATCGGCTACTGAGCCGGTTAGCCTCCCCCATGCGGCAGATGGGCGGTAAAGATGAGGGACGTGTCCACTGTAAGGGACGACGTTTCTTCTTCCACATCCACGCATCTGCCTGGCGCTGTGCAAGCTCGTGTAAGTCCACGTAAAGCTCCATGCCTAATTGCGCATTGTTGCCGAAAGGACTCCCATCCAATTATTGAGACGCAAACACATCTCTGTAATCAAAGATCAAGTAATCCTACATGGTATTAACAAGAAATCTATCTGCACCTCAATTTCACTCAGTCAACACTGTCTCACAACAACCCGGTACAGGTAATAAATGTAACACACCTGCACCGCATAGTCGGACCACCACCACCATTGATAAGGACAACAAGGACACCTTAAGCTCTTTAAAATACACACAAAAACCACCGAGTCAATACTACGTACTACATCGGAAGATTAACTCCCAGAAAAAAACATTAAGAGCTCAAGTAATACCACAAAACCCAGCGATAGCCGTACCGGTCTGTCTAAATACCTCGAGAGAGAGAAAACCGGCTCTGTATGTCGCTCCTAAAAGCCGAGACATTCACAAACCTCGTACGTACTCGATCCGAGACATTAATCACGCCTACCTTCGCCCTTGCTAGAGAAAAAAAGAAAGGGAAACGGCTGACTCAGAGATCCGAATTCTTACGTTGGAAACAGATAGCCTTATCTCGTTAAAGCCAGCTTATCACGTTGTAACACCCTACATTTCACTTACAAGGCACGATAGCGAGAAGTCACAGTATATGTGCACTTATCTCAGATAAGCCGCACCAGGAGATTGTTTGTTGAGACGATGGAATCTTCCAGTACATACATCTAGTAAATTAGTATGCAACAATCACATGCTAACTGAGCCCAAAAACCTGACTGTATCTAAAAACCTCTCGTGCCACCACCTATAAGTGAGTTGCTATCCACCCGTCCACGTCTATACAAAAGCGCACCATCTCCAACTCACCTAGAGCACAGCATTTCACGCCTCACGCCTGACGTCTCACGCAGATAAACAACACAAAATGCAAAATCCCATCTAAAAGCGGAAAAAGAATTATATATCAACAATTGTATAAACGTACAAGAAAAGAAAAGAAAAGAAAAAGGAGCATATGCAGCACACATTCGGCATTATAATAAAAAAAGGGGGGGAAAGGCCAACATGCATTTGCGCTCTTCGTACACACAACATACAACACATAACACACACAGAGGTGTGTGATATGAGATTAAATATTCAGACATCACCAAACACTCTCCCCCCTCCTTTGTCCTCTCTTTAACTTTATTTATTCTTTTTTCCCTTTCATTTAAAAGCTCCGAAAATAAGAAAAGACCAACGTAGCCGACATATTAGGTAGGGGAGGCTCTAGTACCACTAAGCGAGCGCCTTCTTCTGCCAGCCAACCCAGCTTCGTGAAACTACACGCCAGATCTTGACCTCGCCGCTCCTCAAATCATCCAGCTTGTAGCTTTCCTGCTTCACCTTCTTGCCATCTCTACCTTGCTCCCAGGCGCGTACCTTCTTCTTGGTGCCATCCCACTCTGCCACAATGCCGACATGGTCTGGCTTGCCCACTTCAGCGGAATACTTGGCATGCATCGGTCCATGTTTGCCCTGGAATTTGGCATTTCGAATGGTGATGATATCTCCAGGGCGAATGGCGTCATGCTGCTGGGTAGACGCATTGGCCATGTTGGCGTAAACGAGGGCGCCATACGATCTAGTGCTAATAGGCAACAAGGCATCCTCCAACGGGCGGATCATTTCCAAGACGAAGCCCGGCGCACTACCGTCGCCGACAACTTGGTCCTTCTTGGCGAGAGCAGCTGCAGAAATCTTTCGTCCAAAAGTGTCGTAAGCCTCCTCCATCTGATCCTGTCGCATAGTCTTGGGTGGCCCCTCGTGTCGCTGATCCAATTCCACAGTTGAAGGGTCATAAGGGTCATAGCGAGCTGTGAGTATAGTCTGCGAGTAATCTTGGAATAAGATGAAAGTTTCCCGTGTAATCATCGTCTGCTCGCCCTGGTTTGTCGTAGTCGACTCGTCACACTCAAAGTAGATATCCTTCCTACCTTGGAGAACAGGAGGAACTTGATTCGACTGCTTCCACCAACCACTCTGCACAGCCAAGTCAATGTCTCCTGCAATGAAGCCGGAATCCATAGAAGGGCGGTGGTGGTCAATAGACCTCCTGGGAGCGCTGAGGCTGGGTCTGGACATCTCTACTGATGCTCTCGGACGCGCACCAACCGGAGGGGGGACTCTTCGATCAGGTGGTGAGATGGCTCTGGCGTCATCAAAGGCAAGAGGCGTGGGCTCATCCAAGACTGGCGATTCCGCAACATCTTCTGATTTACGAGGATTCTGGATAAACAAAGCATCGTGGTTTTCCTTGGGCGGAGGGACCGGGGGTGGCAGTGACGGAACAGAGCGAGACATTTCTGTTGACCTTCGCGGAAGAGGTGGGGACTGGGGTACAGGGGGTGGTGCCGCTCTCGGGGTTGAAGCGAACGGACCAGGCGGAGGCGGAGGAGCATTCGGCGGTGCGTCGTTGAACGGCGACATGAGGCTGTTCTCTTCCAGGCTAGACTCTCGATCATGTGCCGATAAGGCATCCTTATGGGGCGCGAGCGACGCAATATCTGTGTCATAATCGCCCTCATACTCGGTACCCTCTCCAATATCTTCTCCAGCCTGCGGAGGCCTAGTAGGTGAGGCAACTCCCATGTCTATGGTAGATTGCCGACGTGGGGCAGCGGGAGGAGGCGGAGGTGGTGGACGAGATTGCGCTGGAGGCAAGGCAGGGGCAGCTCCTGGAACAGGAGGCGGCGGTCTACTCGCGCGTTTGCTAGTGGGTGACGTTGGCGAGAATGCATCGCGTGAAGGCAGTCGTGGCGACTGAGGCGACGATGTGTCTATTGGGTGAGGGGGCTGAGGGGGAGATCTCATTACTGCGGGAGCCGGTTCATGATTCTCACGTGCCCCGCTTGACAGCTCGTCATCAGATTCTGATCCCTCTGTAGCAGATATGACAGGTGGGGGAGCTGAGGGCAGAGGCGGAGGTGAGCGCGCTGTATTCAACGTATGGGTCAGCCTGTAAACAGGTAATGGGATTATCAAGTGTCATGTTCGTATTTACCTGCTGCGGGAGCGGGAGGGGGCACCGGTCGAGCTTCGCGGTGTCAGTTTATATACATTTCTTGAAAAAAACAACTATATATGTAGGCACCTACCGGCTAGAGGAACAGGGGGCGCCGAAAACTCTTCGTGAGGAACAGGCGGCGGTGGCCTATGCTCCGGAAGGGCTGTAGAAGAGCATTAGCGGATCGAATAAGAAGATTTAGTATGAATCGTTCAATGCTAGTGGACTCACCTTCTTCGGCATGCTCGGGGGCGGCCGCAGGGGGAGTGATGTCTCCCTCTTCGTCAGGTTTCTGCGGTGCTTGTTCAGTCTCTGGTTCTTCGGCCGGAGCTGGTTCTTCGGCGGGCTTAACTGGAACACCCATCATGCCTGGAATTGCTATCATGGTTGGAACAGGAGGAGCGTGTGGCGGCGGAGTGACATCCTCTTCACGAGTAGTGGCAGACCTGACGGGCGGCTTGGGTCCTCTTGGCGGCATGCCACCTCCTAACGGCGGGCCAAACATGCCATGAAAGCCCATGCCACCGCTCATCTTGGCCATTCGTGCTCGAAGTTCCTCTTTGCGCTTGACCTCAGGATCAACATCCTCTTCCTCCTCCTCCTGGGTCTCTTGCTCCTCCTGCTCAGTCTCTTCTTCAACCGTTTCTTGGGCCTCTGTTGCCGGCTGTTCTATTTCATGAGCAGGAGCAGCGCCAGCGGTAGTTGATGAGGTTGTAATCTTGGACAGCCGGTGTGAAGCACGATCGTCAACATCTGCTTCTGCAGTGTCATCCTTGACTTCATTAGCAGTGTCCCTGGAGACAGGTCTCGAAGTCACATTTAATTCAGGCTGGGGTCGCAGCGCTAAAGGAGCATTCTCAGAAGGCGCACCATCCATTGAGGTTCTAACAGGAGGCTCATCGACGCTTCTTCGCTCGGGTACCACGGGCGCTTCCTCGGCTTCAGGGACAGAAACCTGGGAGTCGAGGCGCTTCTTGGGTGGCGGCGGCTTCTTTGGCTTCTCTTTCTTGGACGCCGCGTCAGCATGGCGCTGCGCTTGTTCCATCTGTTGTTTCTGGAGAAGCGCAATGCGCTCTTTCAAGCTGGTAGGCTTTGGTTGATCTTCTTCATCCCCTTCTTTCTGGGATTCAGCAGGGACTAACCCCGCCTTCTCGGCTTGTCCCTGGGTCTCGGCCACCCGGTCTTTGATCTCAGGGTCTTCGTCTCTGCGGTAGACCTTGGCCGCGGGAGCTTCGCGGACCGGCGGAACATATGCATTTCGACTGGGAGGCGGTGCCACGAAAGGCTTCTTTATAAAACCCGATGCGCTGCCGCTGCCGAGGCCGCTGGGCTTAAAGGGCGCAATTGGGGGTGCAGCTGATTTGTTAAACGCTGCAATGCGGTCTTTAAAGGAGCTGGGCTTCTCGGAAACCGGCGGAGGCGCGGGTTTGGGCTTGGGCGCGCTCGAAGCTGCCGAGGCGGGAGATTCAGTACGCTTTGGCGAGGTCGGCAGCGGTGCCGGAGCTGGCGCAGGAGGAGATGCCACCGGCGGGGGAGCAGGAGCCGCGACAGGAACGGGCGCAGGGACAGGAGGAGGAGGAGCCTCGGCGGGCTGCGTGTGCCTGACGGGCTCTGCGACTCTCTTCGGAGAGGGCAGCGAGGCCACGCCTCCCGGGATCGCTGGCGGAGGTGTCGATCGTCCAGCTGTGTCCTCGGGGGCAGAAGCCTCCGGGTGAGGGGGAGCAGGGGCGGCGGCCTCTGGCTCTTGCTTTTGCTTCCTCACGGGCCGCGGGGGCGCGACGGGCTCAAACTTCTCGACAAAGTTGCGAGGGAAGATGCCCGCCTTCTTGGCGCCGGCCTCGTCGACGTACTCGCCGCCGTACCAGTCGGCGTCTTCATCGTCCGTCACAGCAATGATCTGGCCGGCGGGGAAGTTGAGGTCGTCCTCGTGCGGCGACGAGTAATCGTAGAGCGCCTTGACGCGGAACAGGGCGGCCATGGCGGCGGTGTCTGCAGCGGGAGCAATCTTGTATAGGAGGCAGGCTGCCGTGGCCTGGCCTGACCAGAAGCTTTGTACTCTTGTGCTAGGAGGAGGTTGTCGTCGTATGTGTGGGGCAGTCTAGAGAGCCGTCTGTCCCTTGGTCAGCCGGTGAGTGGCTAAAACGTGGGGAGGAATGGGTGAGGGGGATGGACGTCGCGTAATTGCTGTGCCCAGGCGGGTGTTTCAGCCCGGTTTGCAGCACCGTGGAGAGCTTCGAGAGAGTCTGTCTCGCAGCCGGCGGCAGGATATGCTGGGCGTTTGAGCTTTTGAGGTTTGCAGAGGATGAAATGCACCAGAGGGCTGTGAAACGCGGTGGATCACGGGCTGTGAGTGTGTCGACGTCAGCGCAGCATAACCAGGCAATGACGAAGATGACCAGGCGCCCCCAATGAGCTCCGGCCGCTGGGCAACTAGAGCGCAGGCGGTCGCAGGTAGTCGCAGGTAGTCGCAGGTAGCAGTACCGGGCGGCGTGTGTCTGTCTAGCAGTGGATTGGCCGGATGCCACGACGGTGCGATGGTGGCGGAGGGGCCAAAAACAATGGATGGGAGAGCCGGCGGGCGTGGAAGCGTCGCTAGATAAGTTGTCGCCTCAGGGACCGAGGATGTGCCGCACTCGTCACGGTTACAGCGCAGTACTCGGTCGTTGCGATCAATCACTACTGCCTAGAGGGAAGTTTCCAGGCAGGTAACTGAGAGCTCGCGATTTAGGGGATTTGGGGGGCGGTCGCTAACTTAAGCTTCCATCTACCTTGCAAAGACGAAACATGCTAGGCATCTAGGATCTATATTTATACACTCAATGCACGGCAAGGGGAGCTTCGTTTCAATGTTTCGACGCCGACCAGCATCTGCAATGGCGAGCACCTGACGACCACCCATTGCTTTGGACAAAACAGCCTGCAGATTCCACACCGGCCCTTCCAGCAGCTCTTCGGACCTCCGGGGCGAGCGCTCTCGACACAGCCTCTCTGATGCCGCAGCCCTCGGCCAAGAAACCACGCGGCTGTGGCACATGCAGAAGATGCATGCCTGCACGGAGTGCTCGCAGAAGGCTAATCCCGCTGTCGCACATGGAAGACGGCGCCCTTGCGTGACTTTAATTACCTGCTACGTGCACGTATAAACCGACAGGCCTGCCGTGCACAAGCTGCTCCAACAGGGTCATCCTTAGGCGCATCTATTCTCCATATTGCGCCACCGGTTGGATGTTTCGCCCGGCCAGGCGCCACAGCGCAGACCCCTCCAGCTCTCCTGTAATATGTAGGTACTGGTACCTGCTTGCTTGGATGCCTGTAACAGACACGGCAGCGCTCCATAGAAGCAAGGCACAGCGGCTGCTTTAGTGGGGGTGGCAGCATCATATCTCACATCGCAGCGGGTTAGTAATAATCTGCATTTTCCACTGTACAACGACCCAACGAGCTATCAGATGCACGAATGAGCAACGCGATCTCGACAACCAGCACGGATAGCTGCTGCAATAAATCATCACGAACTGTATACAGCCAGAGCAAGCATTCGGCATACCATGGCTACCGGTCAGGGCGGCCCGCTCAAGGGCATCCTGAAAAATATTGGCGATGCTCCAGAGAAGCCCGAAACCGCACGTGAAGTCGCCATCCGCCATGCCACACTACTAGAGCATAGAAAGCAGCTCGAAAGCCAGATTCTCGACAATTTAATCCTTTTGTCCGAGTATCCCCTCGTCAGAGATGCTCAATTCGACGCGTCAAGCCCAGCGGCATCCGACATTGCAGACTTCAAAGCAAACGTCCGACTCTTTCAGCCCTCTGACTACGACGACCTCATTGAGGAACGCAACGTGAACGAACTATGTGGCTATACCCTATGTGCGAAGCCTAGACGCCAGACAGGCTCGGGCGGAGAGTGGAAGATTACAAACAGCGGCGAGATTGTCAAGCGCAAGGAGCTTGAGAAGTGGTGCTCCCAGCAGTGTGCGCGCAGAGCCCTCTTTGTCAAGGTCCAGCTTAACGAGACTGCTGCCTGGGAGCGGGCCGGCATCCCTGACATTCAGATTGATCTTTTGGAGGAAGACCTGTCGGCCGAGACGGAAGCTGATCGAGCTGCTCGCAAGCTAGGGGAGCTCAAGTTGGAAGACCAGCGACAGGCTGCCCGAGACTCGGCTGCTCTAGCGATGGAAAGAGGTGACGACAAATTTGGCCCTCCAGTCAACAAGGTCAAAGTTACTTTGAAAGAAAAGGACGTCAAGGCGCCTTCTGAGTTTGCTCCTCCGGCTGAAGCTGGCAACTCGGAGGATCATCTACTTGTTGATGGCTACAAAGCGAAAATTCCTGAGAAAAAGGAATCAGAGATATAAGGTGGCCAGATGGAATTTAACAAAAGTTGCATAATCCGGGCGTTGGGCTATCATTTTGGTCATGGGCATGTATTGGGAAAAAAATTACGTTGGTTTAGGCATAAAGATACCCATCAGTAACATGACTTGGTACTATTCTTCCATATATTCCAGATACACCATGTAGGTGCAACAGGGCAATAGCAGAAGAACACCCCCAGTTCAATGAACGATATGATATCCAGTCACCGCATTCACAGAGTGAACAGAAGAGGGACGGATTTGTTTTGGCAATCAAGCGTCATCTCGAAATTAATCAGAGAATCGGCGACACCTTGTGGGGTGAAAGATCTTTCTTTTTTTCGAGATCTATACACTCACTACCATCCTGAGACGCCAACCTGCAAAATGTTGCAAAACCAGAGACCCAATTTTCCACAAAAAAAGAAGCTTTTTAGTCGCGACGAGGGCGGTCACCGAAGCGGCGCTGGCCACGCTCAGGGGCCTGAGCCTGAGAGACGGGGATGACGTTGACGGGGATGGAGTCGAACTATGAGAAAAAAAACCATGTTAGTCTTCACTTCAAGTCTGCAATTTGGTTTCCAAGTTTTTGGGGGAAAACATACGCCAAGGTGCTTGAGCAGGTCCTTGGTCTCGTTGTCGACATCCAGCTGGCCAGCCTCGGAAAAGTCCAGAGCAGAGACCTCGGGAACGAACTGATCCTTGCGCTCACGCTCCTCCTCCTGAAGCTTGAAGGAGATACCGCGGACGGGTCCACGCTGAATACGCTTCATCAGGTGGGTGGTGTAACCGGCAATCTTGTTGCGGAGGCGCTTGGAGGCAATGATGGCAATCTCATCGCAGATGCGCTTGTTGGTCTCGAAGTCGAGAGTGAGACGGGGGTAGTACCGCTCAATGATGACCTTGGCGGACTTCTTGACAGTCTTGGTACGAACGCGACCCATATTGGCGGTATTGGCTTGGTGGTTGGTGGTTGGTGAATGAAGCGTTGCGAGATTCCCGTCTTCGAAAAGTTGGTGGTTAGCTCTGCTTGGTTGTGGGGAGCGTATTGATTAGGGCTCGAAATATCAGCACGTGCAGCGTCATGTGATACTAATTTGTGCAGTATCAACTTGACGTCTAACTCTTTCTGGCTAGTATGCTTGCCTAATTAGGCCATTTAGATGTTCAAATCAAAGAAGTCAGATTGTCATGGAAGATATATACTGCTCATTCTTATTGCTGCGACTTTATTTTACTTTACATGAATTGTACATGGGTAGAACTTGACAAAACTCCATAACATACAGGTGTTGAGCAATCTTCAACGCAGCCCGTCGATTTCTATAGCGAGCTCGTAATTGCTAAACCTGTTTTCCCCACCAAACTCTCTCTCTTCTCATGACCGTGATGGCTCATCCAAAATCTCATCGGCGACACGGTTCCAACGAGTCTCGTCTGAAACACGCGCAGAAGGTTGGCTAGTAGTTTTTGGTGCAGTACGAGTGTAGCTCTTAGTTTTACCATCGTGATAAATTTCTGTCAAGCCTTTGCTCTCCCTGGCGACGACCTGCGCCTCAGCACTCGTCTCCCGGAGCTGTAGGACGACTTTGCCACTGGGATCAACATTGGCGGTCGTGGCTTCGACGTATGCCTTGGCACCACCGAATGTGGTTGTGTCCAGATGCATGATGCCGTTCAACATAGTCTTGTTGGATGAGATCCTTGCGCGCGTCATTGTTCTAAAGTTGAATTCGTTGTCGCCAGGAGGAGCATCAGCGACGAAGCCTCCAACGCCCAGCTTGGGTGGGGCAGGTCCAGCCTTGGGGTAGACCACTCGAGCCAATGCAGGTGTACGCTTGCCCTGGGGACCATAGACGGGATGGTTTTCCATGAATGAGCTGGTTCGCAGGTAGCTGATACCTGCGGAGGGGTGGCTCGGAGGGGGGCCAGATTTGCCGTACGGACTGTCAGAAGCAAGGCTGTCGCGGTTGGACCAGAAAGTTTGGATGATGCCGACCGGTTGTCCCAGGGGCGCCAAGTCGAGGAACTTTGAGACGAGCGCATACAATGTCACTCGGTCATTGCGCAATGAACGCAAATAATCTGTGAATTGCTCTTCGGAGATATCCTTCGCCTCAATCTTGGCGGGTGCTTCTTTTCCGGTTTCTTTTGCGGCCCTATTTTGACTCGTAGTAATGTCGTCGGCGAGTTTCTCCTTTAGCAATGCTCGGAACTGCGCCCGCTTGGGGCGAACTTTCTTGTCCAGGTATTCGATAAACTTTCCCTCCGTCATTCTAGCAAGCCAAGGTCCCTGAAACTTCCATCGTCGATCGTCCCCGAGCCCAGCCTTGAAATCTGTAACGTCCATATCCTCCTCAAAGACCGACTTGTGCCACAGCTCCGTCCGTGAAGATGAATCGGCCTTCTTGTCGGTATTGTGCGGCACGGACATGGCGACTCGCAGCTCCTGGAACTTCTCTAATGACAGAGAGTGGTCGGCAGCAGAGGCAAAGTTTGTGACGTTCTCAACAGTGTCGAGCTGCTTGACGCGGATAAAGGGCGTTGATGTGGCCAATGTGGATTTGAGAGGAAATGGGCGTTTAAGTCCCCAGTCGCCCTTTTCGCGCGATGCCAGGGGAGATGTGATGGACTGATGCTGCGGGTATGGTCTCGTCATTGTCGCAGACTTGTGATCTCCGATACGGAGATTCGTTGAGGGCGGTTCGGGGAGGGGCTTGGGAATTGAGAACATCCGTGATGTCCTCAAAAGGGCCCCTCCGGGCGATACGGCGCGACCCCCCATTATGGCTGTTGGAGCTCGTCGGGAAGCTCAATGGCCTGCGATCGAATGCCACTCATACGATGGTCGTGATGCAAATTCTCGTTGGCAGACGAGCTTTCCCGTCTGCCGATGTTGAGCCGGCTGAAGTCCCCTCGTTGTGGCTGGCCAGATGTGGCGCGTGAGTGAATGCCCCGCCAAAATTTCATGGCGCATTCCAGGGTATGTACCTTGGCTCGAGTGATTGAAGTTGGGGAACAAGAAAAAACTTCCCAAGAGACAAAAGAAGGGTTCGCCGTTTGGCTGGGCTAGAGTTTGGAGGATATAATCCTGGAAAATAATGCTCACGACCAAAAGAATGGCGTCCAATGTTTACACGTCCCCGGCTTTGAGTTTTGAACTCCTTGCAAAATGCTCAGTTAGTTTCATGTTCATGTTGGAGTATCCCCCACCATTACTGACAACCAGCCCAGACAACGAGAGCTCGTGCCTCTATTCTCACATTGCCCCATGGGCCTGTTCAGTTACCGATATTTATGCCTGTAGCCACCCAGGCGTCTCTAAAGGGCATCACTCCAGAGCAGTTGGAAGACACTGGCTGTCGTCTCTGCCTAAATAACACCTATCACTTGGGACTCAAGCCTGGACAAGAGATTCTCGATGCCGTTGGTGGTGCTCACAAGTTGCAAGGATGGAATCACAATCTTCTCACTGATAGCGGAGGGTACGTTTCAAACTTCTCAGGTAACTTGAGCATCTACTTACCTTTCACGGTAGCTTCCAAATGGTAAGCTTGTTGAAGCTGGCCACAATCACAGAGGAAGGCGTTCGCTTCTTGAGTCCTCATGACGGATCACCCATGCTACTCACTCCAGAGCACTCCATGTCACTGCAAAACTCAATAGGCAGCGATATCATGATGCAGCTCGACGATGTCTTGGTGACTACCTCTCCGGACAAAGCCCGAATGCGAGAGGCTATGGAGCGGAGCGTAAGATGGCTGGATAGATGCATTGCCGCTCACAAAAACCCCGATAGACAGAACCTGTTTTGCATTATCCAAGGAGGCTTGGACCTCGAGATGCGACGGGAATGCTGTAAGGAGATGGTAGCCAGGGATACACCCGGCATTGCTATTGGCGGACTCAGCGGAGGAGAAGCAAAAGCAGATTACTGCCGCGTTGTCGAGACTTGCACAGCTCTTTTACCCGATCTAAAGCCCCGATATGTGATGGGCATCGGCTACCCCGAAGATTTGATCGTTAGTGTCGCCCTCGGAGCAGATATGTTTGACTGCGTCTGGCCAACAAGAACCGCGCGATTCGGAAACGCCGTCACCAAGCATGGCGTCTTGAACATCCGAAACGCAAAATACGCCTCTGATTTTGGGCCTATTGAGCCCGGCTGCGGCTGCATGTGTTGCAGGGAGAGCGAGGATGGCATGGGCATCACGAGAGCTTTTATTCACCATAATGCCTCAAAGGAGACGGCAGCTGCGCATTTGTTGACGATTCACAATGTGTGGTATCAGTTGCAACTCATGCGGGACATTCGACAGGCGATTATTGAGGATCGATTTCCTGCATTGATTCGGCAGTTTTTTGCGCAGCTTTATGAGGACAAGTCACAGTATCCTGAGTGGGCTGTGGATGCCCTTAAGAAAGTCAACGTTGACTTGACGGCATAGATTTAATACTCATTATTCGTGTTACCCAGATGCTGCTGCTTATGCAGTACACACAGTCAAAATACATGTAGCTACATAAATATCCAGTTGATAGCTTCCAAGGCTATAGGTATCTTGCGCAGTGACATTTCCAACGTTTATCTCTAACCTTTGATAAAAAGGCAACTTTCACCATCAAATCTTCCATTATAGCGTATGCTCAACTGCCCCCTCTCAAATCATAATGGCAAAGCCAGCTATTGCAAGTGCACCGGCAACGAGGCCCGCACGAGCAGTTGGAGCAGCATTGTGTGACGTTGTGGTAGGACGAGGCTGAGTTACAGTCACAGTGACCTGACCTCCATCTCCTCCAGCTGTAGAATCCCCTGAACTTCCCGTTGAGTCTGGTGGAGGGAAAGGGTTATCGTTTGTATTCGAAGAGGGCCCTTTTGTCGTGATATCGCATGCGTCGCTAAAATGATCGCAGAAGGTGGCAAAGGTTTTGGCCACTGCGTTATTGTTAGCGTACTGCATGATACCTTCAACTACATGAGTTATAAAGAGAGTACGAACCATCGTAAGCAGTCAAAGCATCGCCCGTGGTAATAGTGGCAGCCCAGTCTCGGCAGGTCGAAGCATACGTATCGATCTCATCAGTCCATGTAACCTCTCCACCCAGCGCACTCCGGCAGCTAAATTACCTCGTCAGTCTCGATTTCCACAAAGACGAGCTTGGGCCTTGTCATACCAATAGCAGTAGGCCTGCTCACTATACACCAAATTCGTAAAGCCAGGTGTATTTTTCGTACACTGTTCAAAGATATCTACCATTGAAATACACGCTGACGCGTAAGTTGTCACGGCAGAAGCTGGAGAACTCGTTGTCGTCGAAGCGGTCGATCTACCTTGTGTAGCAGATGTTTGTTGCGGGATCTTGCTCGGCGAGGAGGCCGGTGAAGGGATCGACGTCGAGGCAGCTAGTGTAGGAGACTGGAAATGTGAAGATTGTGCGGTGGATGATGGCTCTGATTCTTTTGTAACTGATCCGCCTCCGCCAGAGTTGCCGCCAGAGTTGCCGCCAGAGTTTCCGCCAGAGTTTCCGACGCAGATCTGTGGAGAGTTTCCGCAGGCTGAGTAGAAGTAACCATAGGCTGGCGGTTTATTAGAGCTGAATACAAACTGGAAGCATGAAATTTATTAGATACATACCTGAGATTTGCGAAGTCAGCTGAGGCGCCTCGGACACCAGATAATCGGCACAGCTGCTGTAAGCGGGAGCTACATCAGTTGTCCCTACGCAGCAAGCACATTCAGCGAGAGAAAGGGGATTCGCCGTGGAGAGCGCCGTAGCGCCCCCAGCTTGAACAACGCAGCCTGAGACGAAATCGGCGACTGCTGTACAGATCTGGTAGCCTGGATCGTTGGAGTTGACGGCATTTACAACGGCGCCGTAGTCGACCAATGGCAGAGTCAAGTGTTGCGCAGCTACGCCGCTTGCCAGTACCGGTATCAGCAGAGCGAGAACCATCTTGTACAGCTGGAACAGAGGCTCTGTGGAAGGTAAACAACAGAAAGCGATGGGGGAGGGAATTGGAAAACTACACAAAAGACAATCCAGCGAGGAGGTGAGGCTCTACATGTATTTTGTTTGCTTGCCCAAAGCTCCTACGATACCCCATTTTCAACAACAGCTCAGCTTCTAGCGCCCCCAAATCAGATAGACAGCCAATTTATCGCATCACGGGGACGAGTCTAGACAGCTCGGTGCTTGGAGAGGCGCAGAGAATGAGAGCATTATGCAGCCTAAGCGACGCGGATTTCCTCGTCCTTGCTGCTGTTTACGCCCACGAGCCAATTATCGAGCGGCTTCCCGGTGCGGCTGAATCAGTAGCTTGCCAGTAGGCAGCAAAAAGGCTTGGCTAGCAGCGGCTCGGCGCGACGTGGTGTTGGAAGGATTTGACTGTTGGCTTGGGAGCAGGGAGACGGTACGATCAATTAGGTAGTTGTAGCATCTTGGGATGCGGTCAAACGAGATGGTATGGAGAAATAGAGCTTCTCACGTAAAAGCTTTGGAAATAGACGCCCTTTTCCGGAATCAAATCAGGGGAGCAGAAGCCATGTTCGTAGGTGGCATCGATTGAGTTGCGGGCGACGCTGCGGTGCCTTGACGGGTCCATCTGCATTTGGCGCTTTTGGCGTCTTGGGCTAATCAGGCGTCGATGGCTAGTGCCACGAAGTGCTGTGAGCATGCATAAGACGCTATCGACTTGGCGGGCTGGAGCGGCTGAGACTTGCAGGTGGCGAGGGGGATAATGAAGCTGAGAAGAAGCAAGATGGCTTGATGCCTTGTTGTGTGCTGTTGGGACTGATTCCTGGACTATGGCTTGATGTTTGTTGACCTGAGCTGACCTGAGATAATTCGAGAGCGATGCCTGATGCTGATGGTAGTACGGGGTAGAAGTTGAGGTGATACTGCACAATCGATTAGCATGTGCGAGTGGGCCTCGTGTCTGCCTGGCCCCCGACGGCGGTTGAGCGGCACTGCAGCTATGCTTCTTAGTGCCGTCAACCTTATTGAGCTTTCGGTATCCTTGTCATACAGCGTTTTGCAACCACCAGCCGCCAGCTTGACAACATGAGCCCATATATCAGGTAGAGAGCGATAAGCAGGTTTTCGGGCCTACCTACAGCAGCAGCAATGAGCCGTATTTACGCTATGGGTATAGATGCGGCATCAATTGATTAAATCCCTCCATATTGCAGTCACATATGCAGCGTCTAGCCGGTGTGTGTGTGTGTTGACTCACTTGTTGCGATTGCCGACATGAACCTACACCTACATTGCTTTTGAAGACCAACATGCTGCGTCTGCAAGGTTCGAGGTCTCATCAGTCCGTATGAATGACAATTGTACTGCTTTCCAATGTTCTGGTTATACATCTGGAGATCGACTTTTTACCCCGGATGAGAGCGGGACCGCTAATCAAAATCGCCCCCTTTTTTATACGATCAAGGGCTGCGTATTTTTAGCAACGGCGTGTTGGCATGTCATGTAATAACATGGCCGGAAATTTCACCTATGAGTTGATGGATTCTTTCAAATTGAGATGGAGCACGTCTTGCGGTTGCTTCGTAATAAGGTATTACTACTAGCACTTGTAGCAGTTGGCATCATCCCGAATCCTCGTATCATTGAGATATTAAAAGGGCTCCGGGATGCTCCGTAACTCAATCGTCATTTGGCAATTCGTCGGATATGGGCTTTCCGACCCTCGCTCTGCTAGCCGAGCGTCCGGTAGGCTTGGTCGAGCGATGCGGAGGGCATCAGCGCCGCATCATGATCGCTTGCAGCCGTTAATCGGAGACATTGGTTCCTGGGTTATGCACGTTGTGCTAGTACCAACACCCATCCATTGGTATTGACTACAAGCAGAAGTATCATCAGCAGCGGCAGACCTGGAAATGCCGTTGCTAATGCCAATACCAATGCTGCTTGCTGCTGCCGCTACCGCTTTCATCGAGTTCCCCGTACATAGTCTGACCGTGCTCGTACATACTCAAATGCATCGCTGACAGGCGGCCCTACGGAAGACTTCAAATGCCTCTCCTGTGGTTCGGCCACGTACAAATGCAATCCTGCCTAGAGGTCCACTGCTGCAAGCCGTCCCCGGTGTGTGCGGTTGATGGATACTCCTCCGACCAGAGCCCGTGTGCTGGTGCTTCGGGATCCTTTTCAGCGGCCGTCAGTGGTGGTTGGAGGGGTTTTGGTTGATTGATGTCATGGCATCTGCAGCATCATGCATTGCTCTAGAAACAATCCCAGGGCCCTGTTTGGCCTGCGCATCTGCCGTGGTCTGCTCTGCTGGCCTGCATGCATCTAGACTGTAAGCAGGCGTAAGGAGAAGCACGATTGCTCCACAGCAGCAGCACCTAGACCTGCCGCTTCCGAATCCAACACGGACCCAGGTGTCAGAAAAAAGCAACACCACACAATTCGTGGATACACGCTCGTGAAGTTGTGGTGCCCAACCGTGGACAATCAAAATTGCAGAGGGGACGCACAACAGGCTCAATCAAATGGCCCCTATATTAGCAACGGTAGGCACGTGATTGAGGCGACGGGACGGGCCTGGTAAGACATGTTGGACGGAATTGGCCCCGACTGGAATTAGGGGAAGCGAGGCGGCTATGACGATGGCGACAATTGAAATTACACCACGGCCATGTCATTAAACGCCCAAGGCCTCGGGCGCCGGCGCGTGCCAACTGGACCGCAACCTTGACGCAGCCGGCAAAGCAAGACAAAAACAAAGCGAGATATTCCCAGATAAAGCAGAAACACCACCGGCAGTTCCAGCCCACGGCAGAGCGCAGCATCGCCGCAGCATCAACCCGCATCTCGTCTGTCTGTCGCGTCACCGGCTTCGCACCTCAGGCCTCTCTCATTCGCAAATTCACTCTCCCTTCACTCTTGCCGCTGCTCCACCCACACTCGCAGCACACGCACAAGCACAAGCACAAGGGCTGCTTCTTCCTCTGCTTCTTCTGCCCGTTCGGCGTGTTCCTGGCGCATGTCGCCTCGCTGCAACCCACCAGCCTCTACGATTCGATGTCGTCTCCGCCCAATGCAGCGCCGCCACGGCGTGCAGCGCCAGCCTCCGGCGACGACGCACAGTCACTGAGCCAGCTGTCACTGTCGCTGTCTCTGACGCCGGGCCCGCGATCCCCAGGACTGCCCGCGTCCCCATCGACGCCGCTGCCTTTAAATGCGTCTTCTCGCCATGCCTCGCCCTCGTCCAGAGGCACTCCCACCCCCTCGCTCAGTCCCTCGGGCAGAGAATCGCGCGCCGGAACTCCCACCCTCGTCCGCAAGGCCTCGATGAACTCCCTGCACTCGGCAAATGGCGTTGGCCCCTCGCGGTCGCTGTCCAGGCGCTCCAGCCTTGGGCAGGTTGTTTCACCGGGCTTGAGGGCGTCGTTTGGCATGCCCAGCTTCGAGCCCGAGTGGCGGCCGCCCCTGACGCCAAGCTCGGTGGCCAGCGGCCATTTCAAGGACGAGCTCGAGGCGCATCACGGCCCTGTGTCGACGCTCCACACCGAGACGGTGGTGATTCTCAACGATGCAGTCTACGGCCACCGGTTTTCCCGCCCGCGCACCCCCAAGAGTGCATTAAGCACCATTGTGGAGCGGCCCGAGCGAATCAAGGCCGGTGTCTTGGGCGTGTCCACCGCGTATGTGCGTCTTGGTGAGCGCCACTCTGATGGAGCGCTGCCTATCCAGCCAAAGGGAAATGTGCACCTGCTGCCCAGCATCCCCTTTCGCATTCACAAGACGGACCGGAGGCTGCCGCTGCTGTCCCCCGCTGTCACAAACGTCCATGGGACAAAATGGATGGAGGAGCTCAAGACCATGTGCGAGTCCGCCGAGGAGGTGCTGGCTCGTGGAGGCAAGGAGCTGCAGAGACCTACTATAACACGAGGTCAAGACCATGCCGCCCCAGAGAAGCTCCATGAGGGCGATTTGTATCTTTGCCCCGAGTCACTGGATGCTATCGAGGGTGCCCTGGGCGCTGTATGTGAAGGTGTAGATGCTGTTTTCTCAGCTGGGCCACGGCGAGCATTTGTGGCCGTTCGGCCTCCGGGACATCACTGCTCTGACAATCTGCCATCCGGCTTCTGCTGGGTGAACAATGTTCATGTTGGAATCATGCACGGTATCCTCAACCATGGCCTGACGCACGCCGCCATCATCGACTTTGACTTACACCACGGAGATGGGTCTCAATCCATTGCGTGGGCACACAACTCGCGAGCCATGGCTGCCACCAAGAACCATGCCGCCTGGAAAAAGACGTCGATAGGCTACTTCAGCTTGCACGACATCAACTCCTACCCTTGTGAGAACGGCGATGATGACAAGATCAAGAACGCAAGTATTTGCATCGAAAATGCACACGGGCAAAACGTTTGGAACACCCATCTCCAGCCGTGGAAAACGGTGGAAGATTTCTGGGATCTCTACGAGACCAAGTACACGATACTTCTCGACAAGGCCCGCATCTATCTCAAAGGCCAGGCAGAGAAGCTACAAGACGCAGGACTTAGCCCACGGGCTGTCATCTTTCTCTCTGCAGGTTTTGATGCCAGCGAATGGGAGGGCGCTGGAATGCAGCGTCATAAAGTCAACGTACCTAACGAGTTTTACGCACGATTGACTCAAGACGTCGTTCGACTTGCCGCAGAGGAAGGCCTTGCTGTTGACGGTCGCATCGTCAGTGTCTTGGAGGGTGGCTATAGTGACAGAGCCTTGACTGCGGGCATCTTCAGCCATCTCAGCGGTCTTGTTGGCAAGCAAAATCTACCTCGACAGGGCGGCTCTTTTACGGATGGTGCGTACGACGAGGACGGCGAGCGTGTTGTACAACCACTGGGTTCGATTAATCCGTACGATCCCTCATGGTGGGCGGCTGATGAGCTTGAAAAGTTGGAAGCCACAGTTGCGCAGTTTGATGCCACACCGAAGAAACCGCGTCTATCTCCTACTCCAACATATTGCTCGCCAACCCATGCGTCCACGGCGAGGGCTGTGAACCCTCTCAAAATGCAGCGGAGCATGTCGTCTCTCATCAACAGATCAACAGTCTCAAGCCGGTCTCCTTCTCCATCGCCCCCTGACGTGTCATGGATGGTTGCTGCCAAGGAGCTTTCGAAGCTCCTCATACCACGAGATCGCCAAACTGAAAGTGCTACATTTGAAGATCTGAACCCAGAGGCAAATCGGGTACGACGAGAGAGAGCACTATCTGGAGCGACAGAGCTTGATCGGCCAACATCGAGAATGTCGCTTCGTGAACGCAAGCCTAGAGCTATCGATCCTATCCAAGAACAAGAGGAGACTCGGCAGATGAAGGACCGGAGGAAGCCTGTGGCTGTTTCGACAATTGCTGCAGAAAAGGTAAGCATTCTTTTGGTCTCAAAGATTAACAATAGCTAATTTGTAATCAGGCAACCGCTCGTGGTCAGACACCGCAACCTCTCGTTGGTGACGTCCCAAAGAAGAGCAATCGACGCCTTACTACATCGTCAGTCGCCCATACACAGCAGCGCAGCGTCTCTCGCACCATGCCGATCAGCGAAGAAATGCCGCTTCGCCCATCCACGTCGGCAGGCCCCGTCTCAGGGAGGCCTCTTTCAATCGCAGACAGCAGCTCCCAGAGCCTCAGACCCTCTGGGAGAATCACCGTTAGCAGATCACGGCCGACTACTGCGCACGGGGAACCGGCTCTCAGATCACCCATGCTTGAAGCCAGAAGGGAGACGGCTGCAGAGAGAGCTCCACAATCTGCGGCGTCAAGGCTGGACGCTACTATTGACGACATGGATAAGATCACCAAAGGCATCAAGAAGATCAAGATCAATCTGATCACCCAGTCGCAGAAGGAAGCCCGGGAGAAGGCCCGGCTTGAGGCTGAACAAGCCCAAGCTGCAGCCGCAGCAGCAGTTGCCAGATCACCACGAACTTCGTCTGCCAGCACCAACAGATCTGTGGAGTCTGGCGGCCTCAAGACCCCCACCAGCACTTCTGACCGTAGATCTATCGCTTCCGCCACATCTCCGGATAGTACCATGCCGGCACTGACCTCCGAAAGTGGCCTATCTACGCCCAATATGGAGCACTTTACACCACGGACAGTTTCTCCTGAAGCGAGACAAACGGTTCCAAATATGAGCTCTCCTCGGTCGAGTCAAGCGGCGGAAGAAACGCCTGAATTTTTCGTGCCGTATCAGCCTGGAGGGCCACCTCCTGTTCCTGTCGCTTCTCAAGAGCCACTGAAATGGCTCCCTCCGACTCTTCCCGCTGGCGCTCCAGCTGCTGCGCCTACCCTTAAGAAGAAGAACAGCACTCTGTTCCAATATAGTGGCAGCGGCAGCATTCCCTTTGCGCCCAGGTTGGCGAGCCAGTCTAGTACTTCATCACAACCCAAGGTTCAGAGGAAACCCAGTGGGACTATCAGGGGAGTCCCCAGATCCCCTCCAAAGAAATAGGTGGCTGCTACGAGTATGCGATATGAGGATTCTTTTTAGATTTCTTTCTGTCATTTAGGGTTGGAATTGTACGGAACAACGGAAATGGCTAGGAGTTTACTGCTTTGCTTGCTTGATTTTGTAATTTCTATGTTTTTTTGCTTGTTTAGCGCTTGCTGAAGCCTGTTCTCTCCCTTTTTTGAGACCAACTGTTTTACTAGTCAGTATGTACACCTTCATACTACCAGCATTAGAATGCTGGTTTTCTCTCATTTATGATACCCATTCTCAAGCAATGAAATCAAAATCTTGTTGGAGGCTATATATATTCTATCTTTTGATCTCCTACTTCTATGGATGGTATTTCCGTCGATTTAAAACTTGACTTGTTTGTCTCCTCTAAGCAATCCTTGTAGTCCATTATAGCTCTACATCTAATCCATTTTGCATTGAAATATATCATGGTGAAGAGAAAAAGAAATCTCTATAAGAAATGTTGGCGGAATTCCTTGAGAGAAACGCTCACGTCGGTGAGCGCAGCCTTTGTGACTTCTCCAGCTTCGGGATGGCCCTGGCGCTGGAATGTCCAGACTTGCTCAACGCCGAGGCTTTCCAAGAAAGTGAGGGCGCGTGAGTAGTTTGTTGCTACTTGGGCGAGTCCGTGGCTGTCGTCTGACATTGTGAATTTGCCGCCCAGTTGAAGCCATTGCTACATAACATGTTTGTAAGAAACTTGAAACAACTCTTGATTTGGGATGGGGGGGGGGGGGAAACTCACCTCTGAAATGACTCTGCATGGATATGGCTCCGCGAGGCCCTTTCGAAGAGCCGACGTGTTGCACTCCAGCCAGGCCCCAATCTCGGCAGCGTACTCGAGATTTCTCTTGATCCTCTGCCACACGCCCTCCCACTGCCGTACATCCCTGCCCGGCTCCTCGCTCATCAGCCGAATGAGATCAAAGTGGCCCACAATCCGCGGCTTCAGCGCCTTGAGCATCTCATACTGCAAGTCGTAGTAATCCTCATACACGCGCTCTTCTGAGCCGCCCGCTGCTTTCACGGCGGCCGCGTACATGGCCTTGTCGAAGTCGATGGGGATGCTGTGCACATGGTGAAGCGATCCGATGAAGTAGTCCAGATGGGGCGATTCTGCAAAGAGGTTTTGGACGAGAGGCGCAAAGGAAGGGCGGATGAATTCGGCTTCGAAGCCGATGATGATGTGGATTTGGGAGGCGTAGGCGTTTTGGAGGCGGCGGGCTTCGAGGATGTAGGCGTTGTGGCGGGGAGGGAGGACGGCGAGGGAGGCTTTGGGGTCGTCGAGCTGGGAGGTTGTTGTGTGAGTTGGATTTCAGGTACTTTCTAGGGCAATCTTGTTGATTGGTTACAAGAGGGGTGAAGTGAGAGTATGATGGGATTTTTGGTGTTGACATGTGAAGGTGAGATGGAGGGGTAAGTTGTGACTCTTGGTTTGACGAATCAAAGGATATGTGTTTGTATGCTGTTCAATGAGTGTAACCTACCTCTTCGGGATATAGATCTCGCTCCTCATAGCGTGGCATGTGCTCTGTAAGGCCAATGGTTTTATACCCAACAGATATAGCGTGCTTGATGATGTCCTCGAGCTCATCGGCAGCGTGGCCGGGGCAGAACTGCCCCGAGTGGGAATGCATTGTAAAGGCCATTGCGAAGACGAGATAACTAGCCTGGTAAGAAGTAGTAGAATATGTGCTTGAATAGATGAGATGATTGAATGGGGTATATCATGTACGTTGAGAGATTGAGTTGGCCTTTATGAGATCTAAAGTTTTGTATACGCTCTATTTTCCAAGACTGGACGACCCACTAAATCTTTTAGAAGCGGGACAGACCCGGTAATCTCGGGACCCGTGAGAAGATTCTGTAAAACCATTGGTCCGTTTGTTGAGGCATGAGGGGGACGTTGCAAAGAGGACTTAATGTCTAAAGATAGATTTCGCTTTGATGCTATAGTATCTAAGCGTTGGATATTACTTATGGAAACTCAGTAATGAATGTCTGCGCATTCAATCAACTCTACTCTCCTCCAAGTTGTCATGTTCAGCCACAGAGCGATGCAGCACCAGCCACAATATCAAATGTGGCTGCTGCCGAGTCATGTCTTATCACAATCATCTTTATTGGTTGCTTCAAGTATCACATCTCAGATCAAGCAAGGACCCTTTGAAAGGTTCAAAAAAATGATTTCTTGAAAGGGAAAGGCCCATTTTATTTCTACCTATTTGTTAAGCTTCATTCTGGGGAGCGAACAGCTCCGCAAGGAAAAGCTTAGCAAGAGCTCATTCTCCCTTCCCGCGGCTTTGAAACTGCAAAATGCTCCTCTTCTCCTCCATTCATCATTCAGCAGGGCCTATTCTCAATTCCTCTACTTGAAATCCACAGTTTAGAAACAGCCGTCTGCAATTAATTTGCCCAACCTAGTCGTTTACGAGGGCATCTCAGAAACCACTCGCGGCACTAACACTCAACTGTGACAGCGCCCAGGCCGCCCTGCCAGCAACTGGAGTCTGCAGCCGATTGTCGGCCAGCATGCAGCACAATAAGCCCGTGAGAATGCAAGACGGCGGTCTCGTGCGCTGCCATTTGCCTATTTCTCCGCAACTGAGATGAAGAGCAAAGAGAAAACGGCCACAAGTGTGCCCTCCTCTACGGAATGGTGGCAGCTCGCCAGGCCCGTCTGCAATTTGTCAGTCAGCACAGCCGTTGAAGCCAAAACAAAACAAGGCGGCTTGGCTGCTCTCCGAACTGGTGCATCATCGTGCGTGAGGCTGAGGGCCGCGAGCGTCGTCTGTGGTTTTCATCTCGGCAATCCGGCAACGTCGGCGCACGACCCGCGCATTAAGGACGGCGCCAGTTCAGGCTTGATGCGATTAGCAGCTCCAGGATGGTGGACCACGTCTTGATGCTTTTGTGGTCGTGAAGCAGATACAGCTCAGTTGATCTGTCTTCATCGTCGCCATTCTCTGATAATAGCAAATAACCTGCGTATGGCAGGCGTATATTGTTACCCAGCCTGCCACCCTCTTTTATCCCTCATCCGTCCTCTTCACGCTGCCAAACGGTCGGGTAGCAGCGGTAGGAGCTAAACTTCCAATATTTGATCTGCAGGCTGAATTTGGACCCCTGCCACTCCGGGCTGCAGCTGAAAACAAAGCCCAAACCCGTTGTGATGAGCATCCAATCAGCATTCTGCCCCCGACGGAAATACCACCGCTCTTGTTCCGCCGCGGAGACGAGCTTCCGAAAGAGGCCTGTCAAAGGCATCCGGGCCAAAAGTGCTGCTTGACAAAGAATGCCTTGCCTGCCTCTCTTTCGCGAATAAGGCGGCGACAAGTGCACGACCCCTGCAAACAATCAATGGCCCCTCAAGGTCACGATGCATGGTGTTATCGGGGGCACTCTTCCTCGTATACATACTGTAGTCTGTAACTTAATAATATTATTACTGGGATATCGCAGGTGTGAAGGATATTTCTCTCTTTTCTCGCTGTGCGGAGCTGGAGTCGATATCTTGGTAGAAGCAACAGACATCAGATACTCGCTGGCTTCTATATGCCGGCCCCCAATCATCAAGTATGGTGAACATGCAGACTCTACCGCCTTCTCTCTCATTACTGGTCTGTTCCCTCCTTGCGACAACTTCTTCCGCTCTGCATGTCAGGCCCCGTCTCGATGTCTATCCCACGCCAGTCGCGAATCTTCCAAACGCAGCAGCACCAGCCACCATCACCGCTGCGCCGCCTCTCGATATTCTAGGCGACTTGAAGTTTGCGCGGGCTCTACCTACCATCCCCTCATGTGCCACATCGTGTGTTGCCTCGGCGGTCACAAAGTCGACAGATTGCAAACTGGGAGACTACCAATGCGAGTGTAATTTTGCGACTGTCATTAATCAAGGGGCGGCTTCCTGCGTTCAAACCGCTTGTGGATTTGAGGGCGCTCTTCGTAAGTGGACTTGGAAAATCTTTGAAGACTGGAACTGATGAGATTGTATAGAGGCGCAGGTAGCGGGCGAGCAACTGTGTCTCAGTGTGCTCGGGGGACTTGTTCCTTCTTCTACGCCGACCAACAATAACAATAACAATCCTAGTCCCTCACCCGGCTCTGGCTCTTCGTCTTCGAACGGATCTTCGCCAAAACCAAGCAGTTCATCAGGAGGATCATCTGGTTCTGGTTCTGGATCCAACTCCGGCTCAGGCTCTGGGTCCAACTCTGGATCCGGCTCCAGCTCCGGCTCGCATAAACCCAGCAAAAAGACCAAGCTCTCCGGTGGTGCCATTGCCGGCATTGTCGTCGGCGTTGTAGCGGGCATATTCGCCGCAGCCGGAGCCATCTGGAGGTTCTGCCTGACCAAGATGAAAGGAGGAAGCACTGCTGAAGGCACAGCCGCAGCTGGAGTAAATGGAACAAACGGAGCACCGCCCTCTGGCGCTGCTCTCGAAACCGCCCAAGTACATCCCGATCCCGCCAAGCCTACCGGACTTACTTCGACGACGCCGCTGTCGACGACGCCGAGCGAGTTGTCCAATAACCACCCTCACACCGTTTCGAGCGTATCACCACCGTATCAAAGCCCTGTTACACCAACTCCTCCAGTGTACCCCAACGCGGCGGAGCTGCCCAACGGATCATGGCCGCAACAGCAGCAGCCTCCAGCTGGATATGTATATCCGCCTCCTCAACCAACCGGGCAGCCAATGCATGGCTATCAAGTGCCTGGACAGCAGCAACAATACGCGCCAGTTCAGTCCTATCCGCAAATGCACCAGGGTTATCATGAAGCTCCGGGAGCACCACCGCCCGAAATGGCTGGTGATACGCATATTGTGCAGGAGTTACACGGACAAACTACTTCAGGGGGGGTTTATGAGATGGGGCACTGAGACGAGAGTGAAAATTGTATAAGTATATAACGGAGCTAAATAATGTATGTAATTCAGAATGATATCCACGTCTATTTAAAATCTTAGAGGTATATCTTGCGCGATTCTATAAGTGAAGATGAGAACGGACAAAAACTGAGAAAAGCAAAGAATCGCTCTACAAAAGAAAAATCTTAGATCAGAAGCATCTAGAATCCCCACAAGGCCTTTGACGTCCACCAAGGCCTCTTCCCCTGAGTCTCAGTCCTCTCTTCAGCTCTGTTATACCCTTCTTCCTGGACGTCATGATTCCCAACAATGTTCAAAAACACTTCATTCAACGTCGTAGGGCTGACGCTATAATGCGCAACACCTAGATAATCTTTCTGCTCTTCCAACATAATCAGGAGTCTGCCCCTTGCGCTCTCAGTGCTATTCGAACTTCCGACTAGCATTGGCACCGCAGAAGAAGGCATCGAGAAGCGCATCTGTCCGTGGTACGTCTCCTGTTCGACTGTCGCTCCGGAAAAGTTATTCAGTACCCAAACACGAAGAGCCTCCATCTCTGCTGTAGAAGAGTGCGGCGCAGTCTTGCTGACGAGATGTACATGTAATGTGTCGCCGAAGCGGTGGCGAAGCTTCTCTGTCGATCCGAGGGCGAGCATGCGGCGGGCCATGATGCCTGCGCGGTTGGCGAGAGCGTCGGCTTCTTCCATGCTGTGCGTCGTGAGGAGGATGGAGCGCCCTGGCACGATGGCCTCGAGAGTGCGCCACATGATGCGTTTAGCTGCTGCGTCGAGGCCGGAAGATGGCTCGTCGAGGAGAATCACGGGAGGATTTCCGGTGAGGGCGATGCCGAGCGAGAGTTTGCGCTTGTTGCCCCCTGAGAGGGTGTGTGCCATGACGTCTGCGTAGGATTCTAGCCCGACGGCACGGATGACGGCTGGGACTTGGTGGTCCACGTTGGAGATGCCACGGAGACGGGAGTAGTGGCAGAGGTGCTCGCTCACAGTCATGTTGTCGATGGCGTCGAACTGGGGACACACGCCTAGGTTTGCTCGGGCGGCGGCGCGGCGTTTGGTGATGGAGACGTTTTCGATGAAGACGTCGCCTCCATTGCGGCTTGGTGCGATGTCGCCTCGTATGAGAGAGATTGTGGTGGATTTGCCGGCACCGTTGGGACCGAGAAGGGCAAAGACTTGGCCGTGTTCGATGCCAAAGGAGACGTTGTCGACGGCCGTATTCTTTCCGAATGCTTTTGTTAGGTGGGCGATGCGAAGACCATCGGATTGACCTTCTGTGCCATCTACTCGGAGGAGCTCTTCAGCGATTTCTGGGTCGTCAATCTCGGGGGAGGCTTTTGCTTTCTCGGGGGTGTATCGACCAGCACCGCTCTCAACCCAGACGACTATTGAAAACCAGAATACAGATTGTAAGATAAGATACAGAAGAGGACCTCCATAGGCGACAAGGGCTGCAGGATTTGCTTGAAGCTGGTCGTTATCACAGGTTGTTGAAAAGATGTTCTGACCGACCATTAATGTGCGAATCAGCGATCCAGTGGGGAAGATTGCAGCAATTACCCAGTGGGCTATGAGCACATCTCGATTAGTGTTGGCAGCGGGAGAGTACGTGAGGATGAATAGATAGGCAATCAGGTAGATGGCAAAACCCAGACCTTGAACGACAGAGGTCAAGGCATACGTAGCCATGGGACTCGCGGCAATGAGACCAAGGAAATAGGAGATGATGATTGTCGTAAGGCCGTAAAAGATGAAAATGGGGAATAGATAGCCTCCGTGGTACCATGAATTTGAAGACACGACAAATATCATGGCAGCAAAGATCATGGGCAGCAATATGATGCCAAAGTCAAATAGCAAGTGCGCGGCCCAAACAGGCAGAGTACGAACACCGCTCGAGTACTGCAAGCTGCGAATGTTCCTGAGCCTTTCTGTGTTTGGATATAAGCCGAATAGGCCAGGGAAGATTGAACAGGCAACAGAGAAATAGACAATTAGCTGTAGTCCTCTGCCGGTTGAAGGTGCAACTGGATAATCGAATTCTTTGTACTCCGTTACAATGGTGGTGTTGGCTAGTATCGTATTCAAGAAGTTTTGGCCGATGACTGCAGAGTACATGGAAAAGTTGTCTGCTTTGAAAGCCAATGTTGGTGATGAAGTTGAATCGCCGAGCCATAGGCCTGCAGGCGTAACTGTCCTTCGATTGTCTTGGACAAAATCTTCAAGGGAGGAAAGCGAGTTTACTAGATCAACGGTGACGTTGCCGAGAGAAATGGTTGAAGAGTCTCTCTTCGTTGCGCTCGGCTTAGGTAGAATGGGCTTGAATAAGTCTTCCATTGAGGATCCACCAAATTGAGATGACGGACCACCCACAAGATGGGCAGTATCCAGGAGCTTGAAGTAGTCATCATTTGATGAATTGCTACTCCGCTGTGCGGGCGAGCAGCCCACTGCGTTATTGTTACGGATCAGAATTTGGATAACTGCAGCGGCGATAATGGGAACCAAAAAGGCCGCCGCATAAGGAAGCCAATTCGTTTTGAAGACTGTGAATCGCTTTCGAATAAGTACACCAGTCTGCTGAACCATGCCAATCTGTCTTCCTGACAGCAATGGTAAACTATCGCCGACAGTGGGAACTTCACTTGTTAGTTTTGTGACCTTTTCGTGTACCATGTCGGGTTTTCGTTGTAGATTGTCGCCATGAGCTTCTTCAGCCAAATGCAAGAACACATCTTCAATGGTTGGACCAGATGACCTATAAGGGATTCCGGCAGTTTCCAGAGCTCGAATTACCTTGGCAGCCTGATCAGAAGACGATGCCACATAGGTAACGTTGTTTGTGGCAATCTTTTTTGTGACACCTTCAAAGTCAGGCACAGCGTCTAGGCTCCTTGGGTCTAACAAATGGATGCGGTAACCAGAACCAAAAGTATCCTTGAGCTGCGCAGAAGAGCCTTCAGCTCTAAGAGTGCCCTTGGATAAAATAGCGATATTGTCAGCGAGCAGATCTGCTTCATCAAGGAAATGCGTAGTCATGATGATTGTTCGCGAGCCTCGTTCTTTCAAGAGAATGTCCCAGATTTTTCTCCGCGATAGGGGATCAATACCGGACGAGACTTCATCCACACAGCAGACAGAACTGCCACCAATCAACATCATTCCGAGCTGAAGCTTCCGCTTTTGACCCCCAGACAAGGTTTTTGACCAAGCTTTTGCTTTTGAGCGGAGCCCAATGGCATCAATCAAGGCTGCAATCTCGGTTTCCGGAGTTTTCCTGCGTGGGTGTTTGATACGACTGAAGAGTCGGATATGCTCTTCCACAGTAAGTTCATCCCACAGAACATTCTGCTGCGGAGCAAAGCCAAGGCCGCCAGATGTATCAACAGAGATATCACCGCTGGTAAAATCACTGATGCCAGCGATGGCGTCAAGTGTGGTGCTTTTACCACTACCGTTAGCACCTAGGAGCGCTAAGATCTCACCCCTCTTGGCTGTTAACGTCAAGTTATTGACTGCAACCACCTCGGGTCTTGGTGGTGAGACGAAAGAGAATAATTTTCGAACAAGGCTTGGTTTGTAAATCTTTGTCATGTTGTCTATGCGAACAGTTTCTACGACGCCACTCGTCGGGTCCTTGAGAGATGATGAAGATCGAGTTCCTGTTGATACGCCGTGCAGATTCTGCTCAATAAAGGCTGCAATGAAAGGATACACAGCCATCTGGATGAAGAAGAAGATCCAGTGGACGATGCCAGGAAGACTAGAGGTGGCACTCGGAGGTGCGTGTATCAAATTTGTAGCTTTTCCGTCTTGCTCGAATCGAGCAATATAGATGACGAAATAGACAAAATTGCACGGCGTAAAGAGCAAGCTCAAAACGGCCACTGTTCCAGTATTGGGATGCGGAATTACTTGAGCAACTATTCCCAGCACGATCCAGATGACAGCAGTCACTACACCAGATAGCTGGGCCTTTTTAAAGAAAGATGCACCAAGCAGTGACATTGAAGTAATGGCGACGCCGCTGATGATGAAGAAGATAATCATGATGCCAAAGCTTGTGTTTGTCCAGATGGTGACTCTGGTGACGATTGATGCGACAATCCAGCCTGGCATATATGTTATGGTAAAGGCGTTGTGGTGAGAGATTAATCTGGCAAACTGGCGATGCCAACCTTTGCTGGTAGGCATCATGGCGTCGATGAGCTGGGATATGCCCTTTTCTCTCTCGGTGGCAATGAAACCAGGCATGTGATAGCAAACACCAATTAGACCCATGATGAAAGCAACACTCAAATAGTGGATGAAAGAGCTCTGATACTTTCGTCGAACCTCAGCTTGGCGTTCATCTTCAGTCAGTTCGGTATAGGGATACTGCTGCGTCATTTTAGGAAAAGAAGATCCCGATTCTAGGCCCGCAATGGCGGAATCAACAGCCCTCTGGAGAGGTAGTGCATATATCTGGGCATCATTATCGTCTTTATCAGTCTGGAAGCTGTTTCCCAAACCGCCATCAGCACGTAAGGTGTAGTTCCAGAAGCCACCATGGCCTTCATCTGAAGAAGTATAGAATACCACAGCACCGAAGCAGTTTGACGTGCCACGAATAGTACTCAGACAATTATATCCCAAGTCGGACTCGTCCTTTATGGTGATTGCATGTTTACCAGCACCCTCGACAATTCCAGAAACAGAACCGATGACATGCTCGATATTGCCACTGGTGTGACCGCTGTTGACAAAGACAACCGTGTCTCGGCCGCCGGCTGACTTGGAGAGGGCGCTTTCGAGAGAAATGATGTCGGATGGAGAGCCAATGCCGAACTTGTCGTTGGGCTGAGTGAACTTCTGCCCGATGCCCAAGTAGACAGAGAGGACGATGGGGAGGACCAGGGCGCTGTAGAAGGTTGACACGAAGTGGCGAGTGATGATGATTTTGAGCGTCTTCTCTGTCAGAGCTCGTATCTGTGTGTAGAGAACCATGATGGGATGCGGTTATTGAGGCTTATCCATGCTATAGTGGTTTGCTGAAGGATTGTGAGAAGGGGAATAGTATTGGAAGGCCCTCAATCGAGAAAATGCTGTGAGAATGAATGTATAAGTAGATCGAATAGCATAATCCAGATCCAAGCAGGAATCTGATGCAGAAAAAGAGAGAATCAGCGGCCTTTAATAGACCAATGCCTTCTTCAAGTTGTCTCAGCCGAGAACCGAGTCATCTTCGACGCTAGCCTCCAAACCAGTCGCAACGGCCGCTGTGATGGCAGACGAGAATGCTTGGATCGGGCATGGCATTGATCCGCGTATGATGGACAGGGGTCTGCCGTGCTTCTAGAGTCTCGGTTGGATCGTTCAGCCCTGCGACTGGATAGAAGATGATGTAAAGGAGTCGAGGAGGAGCTGCTAACTTGCTGCCTGGCCATAGCTGCGCCATGTGCACGGCTCGTTGAAGTCTATAAGCCCTGAAAGCCCCGTAGGATCCCCTGGCCTTGGCGGCATTTAGCGAACGCCTCAGCCAACCGCAGCGAGCTAACAGCGCCAGATTTGGCCCGGAATGGACAAGCCAGCCGCTAAAGGCTCCTGTGGAGCGCGGGAGCTTTTCAGCGGCACGTACTTCCTAAATGGGAAGAAGGACTGAATGAGTGGTTACTTCATAGATGAGAACTGAGAGCATAGCCATATTCAATTTAAGCGATCCAGGTATATTAGAAATATGAATCATTCAAACACAGCCGCTTTACGAGCCTCTTGGACAACCAGATACATGTCTTTACGCCTTCTACGTCAAACAACACATCACCAACACCCGACTTACACTAACACAACCCAACCACACCACTCTCCACATAGGACAAACCCCTGCCAACTTTCCTGGATTTACGAGCAATACGGTGCTTAAGCAAACGTCACATCCCAAACCAGCTCTGCTGATCTAGGCCCAAATGTCTCATAGCGTCGATCCTGCGCGACGTGGGCTGCCAGCATTCGGGCTGGCAATTTTAAGCTGCTTCAACGCTAAGAAACGCTTAAAAGTGGCTGCTTGGCTTGGCTGTGGATCAGCGCGAGAACCCGACAAATACGCGCAATACGGCGAGATCGTTGGAGTGAGGCTGTGGTGGCTCGAGCTGTTATTGGTCGCTGCTCCAAGGGGCTGGTGTCCCTTGGCAGTTTTCTGCACTCATCCTAATTGGCTTTCATCAAGAGTCGGTGAAACATTGATATATTGTAATAAATTACTGGCCTGTTAGGCAATATACTGGTATTGAGACAGTTGTAGAAGATTATAAAGCGAGTCGACTTACGATATGGTAGGGTGGATGTAAGTGAAGGGTCAGGTTGGCACCACGATACATTTAATGGAGCTAAATGCTATGCTTACGGTTCAAGGTAAGATTGGTCGTATCTCGTCTCTCTATTTCTCAGTTGTATACTACCTAACATAAACATAGGTATCACTCGTCGAGGATTTCTTAATCTCGAGATATATCAAGACTCGCAATCATCGACTCCAGCTCCAAAATCACCATCTCGTATATCGCCTCCTGAAGCCTGGGCTTCTTCAAATCCTTTCCATATCCAAAATCACAATCAAGAACTTTTTGCGTGAGTTCTTGGTAGACCGGCCCCAGATATGATCGTTGTGATGCAAGTCGTCGAATCCCCTCGATGTCGCTGTGATCCACACGTTCCCATCTTCCAATAGCCAAGAGAGCAGCTCCCAAGCTGTAAAGCGTTACGTTGCGCACACCGTGTTTGTATTGTGCGTCTTCGATGGAAAGATGTACTAAGCTGGCGGGTGATTCAACTTCCATTGCAGTATCTTCTGAGCCGGGCGCGCTATGGGTCAACTCTACTCCAAAGTGTAAGGTTTGAAGAGATTCTGTCAGGTCATCTCCTTGTCGAAAAAATGCGAGGTCTCCCACATTCCACAATTCCTTGAGCCAAGGCGTCGAATTGAACTTGAGCACCGCAGAAACAAGACGGTGAGCTAACCGCAGCTGGCTGACAATGTCAAGCCTATTATGTGCAGATTGTCCAAGTGCTTCATCCATAGGCATCACGTCGTCTAACTCCATATTATTGCAATGAGATTCCTTTGGCCAGGGGAAGAAACAATGTCGAAATGCTTCTTGCACGCCACTGTCGATATGACCCAAGCCTTCTTTGTTATATGATATGTTTGGGGCTGAACAGCGATTTGAGAGCTCTGAGCAAAAGTGTCCAGTTAGCTGTAAGTCATCTGGCCCAGCGGTTGACGACTGTGAGGTAGCTATAGACACAGCGGATGCTACTGGTGATGCTTCGCTCACAATGTCAGAGCTGTCGCTGATGCTAGCAAATCTCACTTTCTGACGCTTTCGCTGGCCTCTCTGTGATTCATCCATCTTTGACGGCGGTAGTAACAAACTTGCACCAGACCAGGCGATAGAGCCCATAGTTCTTGATCTGACTTGCATTCTCGTTAAGCCTGTTTCAACTAGTGGCCGTTGTAGCACATCATCATAGCACAGAATAGCAATCTCCATCTGGACTTCGGTATCTGCCTTGGCATCTAGAAACAGCTTGACAAGGTGCCGAAGGCTTGGCACCTCTGCTTCTGACCAAGTCGCCATGAGGCCTTCGTGGAGAGCCTTGGATGCGCGTCGTATAGATCCGTATGCCCCAAACTCTGCTGGCAGTTTTCGTGCTCTATCAGATGATCTCTTAATTGCGCAGCACGAAGGCGTCTGGAGTTCGTTGACTTGTTTTCGGAGTCGTAATAAATCGCCGTTGGACTTCTCGAGGCAGGCTATTTTGTCTTCGAAAGCTTTCGTCTCGATAGTAATCTTGACTCGTTTTCTCAGCTTTCGCATGGCATCTTTCAAGGACTTCGACTTGAGATTCTCATCCTTAACGGAAATGTTAATTTTCAGGTCCCAGATGATATTTCCATGTGTCAGCTTCTTACTCTCTCTTTTTCCTCCTCCAGCGGTAGGAAGCACTGGAATGCGTTCTGTAGCGCCGTAATGCTCGCGTTTATATCATCGATGACATCTTTTAACAGTGGGAGATTTCTTCCAAAGACATCTTCTAACTCCGCCGAAGGTCTGTATCCGTCCCATTGACCATGCGTTGGATTTTTCATCATGTCGTCGATTTCCGTCTTGTTTGGAATGACAAGCCTCAGTAGCAACTCCACCTCGTTAAGAAAACAGCCTCGTTGTGCACCAAACAGTTTTCGAATTCTCTCAATCTCGGCGGAATAATGACAAAAGATTTTGAATTTGGATCGAACTTCTTTGTAAGTGCCAATGGTTTTCCCCACTTGAGGCAAGATCTTAAACATAATGGATACTGGATCCATTTTGCAGGTATCGTTAGCTCTGCTGACGCTCAATTTGAAGGATATTGTCGGCGGATTTCGAGGTGATTTCGTTTCACGCTGATCTATGGTGGGAATTAAAATGACAAATGGGACGGGACTTTACAGAATTCCCAGAAACAACTGAGGCGAAACGCGCAGCGGCAGCCTCGAATACACACGTCCTACGGAGTACATACGCTTATATGCGATATATGCATTCAGCATGCCCTGCGAAACCCACACAGCCATCAGATCCCAGTCGGCTTCTAGCAATGCAATTGGCTAAATCCAGCTATTCTCAGAACACCTCCGCGCTTCCAGGGCGGCTATGTATTTTTGTGCCACCTGGTTGTTCGCGTAGCAACCTAGCTCGCTTTGTATGTGTTTATAGTGTATGCCTCTACGAAGCAGCATTTTCCGCTGTAGCTCATGCCGGTCATCATAGATGACCATTCCATCGATTTAAATTTCTCACGAATTAAGATATATTCTTTGAGGCCGATGCGCCAGAGAATGTGATACAGGGCCAGAATGGCACAACCTTCACAATCTCAGCAAGGAAACGACAATCTGATCAATAATATCCGGGAATGGCAATCCCAGCAACAGAACCTTCAATCTACAGATTATGTAGACAAGGTTCTCGAACATATTGAAATCCCTCGCCTCTCTGCAGGTTTATTGTCGCTTTTTAAAGAGGCTATTCTTTTACTACGGGAGCAGGCTACCATCCCAAACGATGTTCGAATTAGCCTCGAACGTAGCTGCAGCGCCTTGATCCTGTGGTCAGATGGCTATGGAATCGCTCAGGGTCATCTCAATGATATCTTTCAGAGATCAAGCAAACTTCGCCACAAGGTCTTGAAGAGCCTTTCACGTCTCGGGCGTGTACTCACCGAACGTACGTATGCATCCTTTCTCGCATTGTAAAAAATGCCTCTTAGATGGCTAATGTGCGCCCTGTGATCTGCAGGATTGATACCCTTGGCAGAAATCTCAACGGTGGAGCTGCAACAGTTGTGTTCGGGCGTGGAGTCTAGCATCGAAAAAGCTTGTAGCATTATCAACGAAGAGTCATGCAGACAGGGTGATGATTCTTCGAGCGATGCCGGATCTACCTTCTCAGATGATGACATCTATGAAGTTGCAGAGGACTTAAGAATCGATACATGCGTTCTATCCAGCCTCGACCCTCTCATAAAGTATCCCGTATTTGATCTTCAGAAAGAAGATGTCTCTAAAGATGACATTCACTCCACTTGGAGTCCGCAGAAATTTTATATTGACAAAATCATTAACGACTTCCCTCTTATAGACCGTTCCCTTGCTTCACGTCTTGGAAACACTAATTTTGAACGTTATCTGAGATGCCAGGCAAACAGAGACGCTATAGAGAATGAAGAAGGCGCGCTTTTGACTGCGCAGGAGGCGCCAGAACCTGCTGGCACAGTCATCACGGGTTCTAAATTTCATGACTCTGGAGTTGGCACCTCCATAGGGCCGACAATCATCCACCCGCAAACGATAATAAGTCAAAGCCGCAAAGACCAATCCGTTCGTGTACCGCCACTGCCAAAAGGCGCCAAAGATGGCATGCCTTTCTCTTGCATTGCGTGCAATAGCAATGTTGTCATTACCAACAACTCCGGTTGGAAGTAAGTGTTTGAACGACGATAGGCTTGAGTGTATGAGAGGCTAAACATTTTCAAGGCGTCATATTTATCTTGACCTTCAACCATACACGTGTCTGGATGTATCATGTTCGCATAGCAGCACGGCATTTGAAAGCCGTGAGAAATGGATCTCTCATCTGGCACTAGACCATGGGATGGAACCGAATTGGCATTCTCTTGAGTGTCCCCTTTGCAAGCACGTAACTGGTGGCGGAAGATTGGCTGTTACTGGACACTTCTCCAAGCATCTCGAAGAGATTTCGCTTTCAGCGCTGCCAATAGGAATTTACTCAAATGAGGATTCTGAACACGGTTCTGAGGTGTCTGATCAAGACGATGACAGCGAAAACTCTCAACAGAAATTGCAACTCAAAGATAAAGGCAAGGGTAAATTGACGGCCATCATTGATAACGATCCAATAAATGAGCAGAATACTGGTTCCAATACCCTTTATGTCTACAATTTTTCGAAAGAAGCATCTGAGGAAGGACTCAAAGCTATATTCTCTAAGCAGCAAGGCTATGAGAAGATGTTATTTAAGACTACGCAGGCTGGACCCATATGCTTTGTCGAATTTCATGACACAACTTCTGCTATAAAGGCCCTTCTCAATATACATGGGCAGACCTTGCCATTGTATGAAACTCTCAAGGGCGGCATCCGCATGAGCTTTGCCAGCAACTTCCAGGGGCAACTTAGCGAACTCGGAATCGGAGATGGCTGGTCAGACTCTGGGCCAAAGCCTTCGCCCTCTGAGGACTTGCCTCTTCCTCCAGGATGGGCTATCTTCAACCAAGAAAAAACTCACAGAATTTACTATTATAACTCGGAGACCAATGTAACCTATTGGCAAAGGCCTCTTTTTAACTTCCCCTACAAACGCCCTCCCGACATGCCGCCTATCTACCAGGGGTGGATTCCTCTTTATGACCATGGTCACCAGCAATGGCTTTTTGTCAACCAAGATACTGGGCGAGCTCAGTGGGAGGCCCCTCTCATTACTCCCGCCTACAACCCTCCTCCTCATATGCCGCCTATTCCTCCGGAATGGACTCCCCTCTTCGACCACAGATACCAGCGATGGTACTACAGAAACCAAGAGACTGGACGAACTCAGTGGGAGGCTCCTGGTGTCAGTCAGGCTGCTTTCAAAGAAGCTGCTGAGAGAGCTGCTGTTGAGACGTCAGCGCAAGAAGCAAAAGAAGAGGCTGTTCTTGCAGCGGAGGGGCGACCCGCCGTTGCTTCCAAAAAGGAAGTAGATTTAATGGCAGGATTAGTAACAAAGAAAGAAGACGAAAATGAACTTCCGAAGGAGAATCAGTATGCGCTTCGAGTCAGTGTCGCAAAGACGGAAGAGGCACCATCAGCAGAGGAGGAAGAAAGAGCATCACGGGAAGAAGCACGATTACTACGAGAGGAAATACGAGCACTACGAGAAGAGGCACGAACACTACGGGAGGGGATACGAGCAGCCCAAGAAGCAAAACAAACCACTCGAGATGAGGAGCAGACTACCCAAGAAGCAAAGGAGCGGACTGCCAGTGAGGCAGAAAAGCAAGCCGATACTCTTGCCCCTCAGAAACCAAGCTAGCTGTGTTAATCAAAATCAAGAAACCCGACCTTGGAAGAGCCAAGTTTCTTCCGAGAATAAAAATGAGTTTTTGTACTTCAAAAAAAGAACTGCTACAAAACTAGCATTTGGTCAAACGGCTAAAGAAGCAAAGTCCTTCCAGTCCTTCACTTTTCAGTTCCCAAAGATGGGTCTCGAGGTTTTGAAAATGGATACCGGCGATAGCGCTGGGTCGATTTTATTGACCGAGTCGCTCAATATTGTGGTATCTCAATGTACAGCACTGTGTAATTGTACGTGTTATTGAGCATCTCGTAACAGGTCAATCCATCATTTCAATTCGAGGTGCTGTGTACTAGGTCCTCATCAATCATACATGGCTATCTAACAAATAAGACTAGAAATACTTAATTTGGCATCACCCAATCGCATAAAGATATCTCTGGCCGTGCTTCTTGGATTCCGTATTTCAAGCCGCGGCGTAAATATACGTACATAATAAGTGACGAGACGGGCAGCAAAGCAAACCGTGTGTAATGAATATTAAGTACTATTCAACATATGAGTTCTTAACAATTGCGAATGTATTAGATGAAGTCAAAATAACATTAAATTATGACACCATCTGAAGCTTAGCTCAGAGTGGTATTAACGATCTGTACGTAGATTGCGCGCCATCTGTACGAGTCACATAGATTGCCTTATATTCAAGCAATGATTACAAATTTGACAGGCTCCTACCCCGTTTCATGATTGATAATGTAAGGCTACTCGATGGATTTTGGAGTCAGAATTGCGTCTAGGCCTTTGATCTATCTATATGGACCTTGGCGAGTAATCCCGATTGCGGAGCAGGTGGCGGCATGCCTAAAGATCATTGCAACCTGTAGAGTTAGTGGCCTGCAATTGTGATGTGAACTGTTAAAGTTTTTAAAAACGAGACCCTGATGACGTAAAACCTCCACACTTAAATCCGAGTTGAGTCCGGTCATTTTAGAAGATCGGTAGCTCCATGTTTGTTTGTGTAAATCCTTTTGTTCGTAGAGGATAGACAAGGTTAATAAACACAGAAAATCGAAGGTTGTATACGTCAAAGTACGTGTCACTATGCCTATCAAGCTACTGAAGCTTTACAGATTGTCACAATTTGATCTATGAATTGACATCTGATAGCAAAAGCTGTCAAATTAGTAAACCCGGTGATGTAATGTCCGATCGAAACGAGATCATTTACATTTTGAACAAGGCATCATTTTTTCAGATATCGCAATCAAGGTCTTTATCATAGCGAAGCTATCGGCACAGGGGGACTGTTTCCTACTTGCGGCGTAGTGGGCATTTTACATCTTATACCCAGTTTACGGGACTGCCGGCAGCGGATACTGCTATTCCATATTAGGTGGGCGCTCAAACTTGCTGGTTCGCTGGTCATTACCAACCTAAGTTTAGTACTCCGGCTGTTGACTGACGAACCGTAGGCGAATACCTACTTGTAGCTGTGATTTAAAGAGAATTGGCAACTCGAGCCGCTCGTAAGCCATCCGTATTCGGCCGTCTGTCTGAGGCTTTGCGGCATAGCTGATTGACTAATAGCTGCCAAAGTCATATCATCGTGGAGCGTGATTCCATATCAACGGCGACGGATGTCCGCTTTTCGCGGGCCGCAAAATTTGTTCAGACAGATACGCTTGGAGTTCCTACGTAGTTATTCATATATATATATAATACTTGAAGACCTTTAAATCAATTGATGCAAACAGCAACTCAGTCAAGTAGCGAGCCTCATAACAGCTCTAAAAGAGTTTCCAAACAATCTTCTTCCGTATTCCACTTATTGTTGGTGTTGAAGTCATAACAAAACAACTGCCATGCAGTCTTTCCGGCAGTACAACTCTCTAGGCAAACGCCTAGAAGCTCAATTGCATCGAACTCGAACAGCAAATCGCACTATTCCATCCACAGCAGATGTGCAACCCGCCGATGTCGACTTAGAAGCAGCTTCGTCTGGCTCAACAGATGTCGAAGACGATGCGTCGCAACTCGAACGGCCTCTTAGCAAGATAGGCACAAATCTAGCAGCAGCGCTTACGGGGATAACAAAACAGCAACACCCAGATGCGAACGACAAGAATGTGTTTGTCGTAAGCTTTGAAGGGCCAAACGACCCGTTGAACCCACGCAATTGGTCACTTACCAAACGAGTATTCTGTACCTTCAATGTCGGCATGATTGCGCTTGTGGTTGGTATGGCGGCGTCTATAGACTCAGCAGTTATTGCCAGAGCAGCAAAGGATTTTGGAGTTAGTCAAGTTGCCGAGGCACTTGCAACAGGCTTGGTAAGTAGTTACTGCACAATTCCAGTTTGAATCAATTGACCTTGGTTAACATGTACCTTTGAAAAACAGTTTCTTGTTGGTTTTGGATTCGGCGCTCTCATTGCTGGCCCAATGTCGGAAACAGTCGGTCGTAACCCCGTATACTTTGGCTCTTTGGCGATATACATGCTCTTTCTTATGGGAGCTGGGTTATCAAAGTCTCTAGGCGCACAGCTGGTGTGTCGATTCTTTGCTGGATTCTTTGGAGAGTCGCCACTATCTACTGTTGGAGGATCTATTAGCGACATGTGGGATCCTATGAACCGCTTAATTGCGTTTCCGATCTTTGCAAGTAAGCTGCACAAACCACTTGACTTCCGATGAGATGATGCTAACAATTCATATAGCTGCTGGCCTAATGGGCCCAGTGACCGGACCTATCATTGGCGGCTGGATCTCTCAATCGTTAAACGTATCGTGGCGATGGGTGGAATGGGTTTCCATCATCGCATCCGGAACTCTTCTCGTATCACTGCTTCTCTTCCAACCCGAGACTTATGAGCCAATTCTACTGCAGTGGAAAGCCAGTCACCTCCGCCAACTAACTGGAGACAAGCGCTACGTCTCTGTTGCCGAAATTCAACATTTGTCCTTCAGCGCTCGCATGTTGACGGCAGTGAAGCGACCGTTTATTATGACAATCCAGGAACCCACAATCATGTTATGGACCGGATATCTGACTGTTGTCTACCTGATGCTGTTTGGTTTCCTCGACGGCTATACGTTTGTTTTCCAGCAAACCTACAACCTCTCTGACGGCATTACTGGTCTCCTCTTTTTGGGCATCGGAGTTGGACTGATTCTAGCCGCCCTGTGTCTCACTCCCCTTCTCTACAGGTGGGCGAAGAAGGAGATCACCAAGCTTCAAACTGAGAAGCCTGACGGAAGTGCTCGCATTCCGCCTGAATTCTTCCTTTGGTATGCCCTCATTGGCGCACCGGCCATCCCCATCTCTTTTTTCTGGATGGGCTGGACAGCATACCCCCATGTAAGCATTTGGTCGCCTATTGTGGCTTCAGTGTTTTTCGGATTCGGCATCCTTTCTGTTTTTGTGTCTACATACATGTATCTCATCGACATGTACGAAGTATACGCAGCAAGTGCTTTGACAATGATTACACTGGTGCGCTATGTTGCCTCGGGTGGAATGATCGAAATATCTCTCCCGATGTACAAGAATCTTGGCATCCACTGGGCTTTGACCATGTTGGGGCTTATCTCACTGGTATTTACGACGGTGCCGTATGCATTTTACCGGTTCGGTCCCTGGATTCGATCAAAGAGTCGGTTTGCAAAGGCGCAGTGAGGGGGATGATTATGAATTACGAGGCACTTCAAATTGATATCAGGGGAAGGATAGTATGAGCATGCATTATGGCTGGTTAAAAAAGTTCTAACTAAAAGGAAAATTGGAGATATATGAAACATGGAATACAATTTGTATCCACGGCGCGATACATATAATGAGCAAATAGCATTCAGAATATAGAGTTTAGATACGAGAATTAATATTAGGGCTGGGTTTAAATGAAATAATTCGATATCATACCTGTCTAGTTGTTACTAGGTACATGCAGGTGCTAATCATACACGGCATCAAAGAAGAACTATCCCCTGTTCAAAGCGATCCCCACCGCCTAGCAATCCCAGCATCATCCAAAATTGTAAGGCGTCGATAGACGAAATCGACGGAAGAGCAGCAGAAAGATAACAGTTAGGTGTAGCAAGGTATGGTAGCTACTCAATAAGAAATAAAAAAACATAGTTGAAGACTTTTAGAATTATGTTCCAATTTTGAAACTCCCAGAAAAAAGATTCGGTAAGTGCGAGAAATCTAACCCAAGGGGTCTCTACAGCCGCAGCTAGTTTAGCGGCCTGCAGTTGCAGAAACTGTGACTATCAACTCAATCGATCGCCCCATCGAATCATATCATGAGACAAAGGAAATATGTAAATCTTGAGCTTAAAATTTGATAGAGGGTTGGGAAGTAGTGGGTTGCTGACCGCAGGGGAAGTTTACGTCGGGGACATATTTTAGGCATACAGATATTAATTGGTGATATTAAGTACGGCTATGAAGGCGGGACGTTATTTTTGAAACAATTTTCGTTTAGTACATAATTTCGAAGCACATGTATAACGAAAGGCCCTAGTTTAATTAAACTTCCAGATCTATAAAAGTATGCTGCCCGTTTATTCTCATCAACAGCAAGGCATTTCATCAGCAGTTGGACAACCGCCCGTTAGGGCCCCCTATCACAATTCTCATGTATAATAAAAGTAGATTACACAATAGTTGAATAACTAAGTTCATCTAGCACATACAATATCGCATAAACTTACATTTGGAATCGCAAATACTGCGAGCTCATCCCTCTGTTCGTCCACATCTATTCATCATAAGTTTCCTCGTACTCTTCTTCGTACTCTTCCCTAGCTTCTTCTAGCTCTTCATAGTCGCTGCTACTAGGGCTACTGGAATCTTCAACATCATGAAGAGCCTCCTGATACTCCTCTCGTGCCTCTTCTACCGACTCCCGATCACTCTCAGACACATAGCGTCCCTCTGAGTCTCTCGTAGGGAGATCGTCATTGTAACTGTACTCGTTGCGATATTCTTCTTCGACAATTACAGGTTGAGGTGGGATGTAAGGCGGACGCTCTCTTTCTTCATCACTGCTGTCGTCTTCCAAAGCGTGATGTAGTAAGGCGCCTCCCACTAAACCAGCGGCGACACCACCAGCTGCACCGAGAAACACGGATTTCCCAGAAGAGCTTTTCTGCTTCTCCGCTCTGCCGTGATTCTCGCCATCATAACCGCTATACTGCCCCGATGCTGAAGGGGCGCCATAACCTGCTGGAGGCGCTGGAGAGCCGCCATAAGAGGCCGAGTGGGGGGGACCTGGAGGAACTGCATAGCTTCCTGATGTTTGTCCATAAGCAGCTGCAGGGGGGTAAGGCGAAGAGCCACCGCCCCGTGAATCGTGGCTCGGAAATGGCTCTGATTGAGGCTGAAAACTATCATATCCAGGGGCCTCCCACTGAACTATTCCGACTTCTCGGTTGACGTAGAACCATTTCTGGTATCTGTAGTCAAAGTAAGGGGCCCACCCTGATGGAAGAGGCGGTTGATGAGAGGGGGGGTTGAAGGGGGGGTCGAAAAGAGGCAACTCCCACTGGGCTGTTCCTGTGTCTGGGTGCTTGTAAGACCATCGCTGTGAATCTTGGTCATAGTAAGTTACCCATCCCTCAGGAAGAGGCGGCCTGTCAGATGAAGACTGGGGAGAGGCGTGATACTGCGAAGGAGGAGGCCCAGAAGGGGGTCTCTCATCGTTGGAAGCATGGTAGCCATATCCCCCATGCTGGTCTGAACCCATTGCTAAAGTCAGCTATACGTTCCATTTATATCAATGAATGTGCATTCGATGAAGCTCTTACCGGGAGGATGAGGCTGGTAGGTCTGAGAGCCGGGCCGGCCAGCTCCGATTCCGAGTTCGCCAAATTGGCCTGAGAGGTTGTCAACGTACGACATTATGGAAGCCGGGCTGAAACGGCGCAAGAACGGCTACTGATACGCAGTCTGGGTGTAGACAGAAACAGAAGTTGCAGCAGAGCAAAAAGAACGATTAGGGCGGAAGAAAGTGTCTAGATATAGTTGCCGCTGGTGGAGAGAGAATAAAGCAAAATGCAAAGTGAGAATGTTCAAAGAAGAGTTTACTGGGGCCGGCTATGCATGCACTGTTAAATGATTGCGCTGGGCGGCACGAGGCGCAGGCAGGTTCAGTGAATGGGACCCGGAAGAGATGCCGGGCCAACGACATCTACAAGTACCCGTTTTGTTGGTCCAACATCATCGCATGTTCTGGTACAAGTACAGCATTCTAAAACCAATGGAAGGAATGTGACCTGTTTCGCTAATCGAGCAGTCACACGGGCCGTACCGAACGCGCCATTTTCTGGCTTGTTGGTCGAAGGCGAAGATGCCCTCTGTGCCCCTATGGGGACCGCCGAGTGCTTGGCAAAGAGCCAAGGTGAATGAGCTTTGTTGATTGGCTTATGGCTTGTGTGTAGTACTAGGAGGCTTAGCTTTAGATAATTGTACAGAGAGAACGAACAGAAGAGACTCTGCGTGGGTTTATTTCAATATTCGCTGCAGGCCGAGGTACATTGTTTCTATGGATGGAGGGGCAGAAGACTCTAGAGCTTGGACACAACGAGGGGCAGAGCATGTACCAACACCTATCGCCCTGGCGGCTATCAGACGGGAATCCATGCTTTGAACGTAAAACGGAACCAACGTGCAGTTTGATGGGACGAAAAAGGAAACTATTAAACTTCAGACGACATCAAGATGCAGCCAAGCAAAAATGCGCCCTACAAGGCATTGGAGGCCCTCGTAGCACCGTCTAGGGAATGCGATGCCATGATGAAATACCTGCACATGCACAGCCACAGAATTGATCATGATGTCTAATACTGCTAGTAGTACCACCTATGCACTTATATGCCAAAAATCTAACACCACTATTACCTGGAGACAACCCACTTAGTGGTGGAACTCAAGTAGTAGTGGTGCTAGAATTTTAGCATATCTCGTGCAAAACGTCTTAGCCATGGTGGGAATATACGCTGCAAGCATGGAATCTCAGCGCCAAAAGGGACAGCCCAGGCGGCTACGGGTCCCCGCCAAGCCGGACTCTGGTATGGCCTGGTGTTATTGGCAGAAGAGGCTGACGGCACTGCCTCCAATTGATTACACACGAGGCCGATCTAAGTTAGTTGCAAGTAGGAGGAGACCATACCTCATAATACAGCCATCTCCAGCTCGTCCAGCTCGCTCAGCTATCTCTCATTTCAATAAGAGCGCCATCAACAGCAGTGCTATCAGTTTGTCTCTTCTCTCGTCATCTCAGCCTACCCTTCTACGCGCTCGATCGATCGATTGATACCTCTTGGCCATGTCCGGATACCCTGGGCAAGGCTACCACGGCGCGGGCCATCACGGCGGTGGTGGTTACGGATACGACAACAACAACTATCCTCCTCAACCCAGCTATGGCGGCGGCGGCGGCGGCGGCGGCGGCTATGATGGACAGGGAGGATATCCCCAGCAAGGATACAACGCTCCTCACGGCGGCTATGGAGGTCAGGGCGGCTATCCTCCCCAGCAACAGTACAATTCGCCTGCTCCTGGCGGTTACGGCGGTCCCTCTCAACAAGGCGGCTACGGCAACTACCAACAGCCTCCGCCGCAGCATGGAGGATACGGGCCGCCTCAGGGAGGATATGGACCGCCTCAGGGCGGATACAACGGCGGCCAGATCCATCAATATCCCGGCTCGCATCACCCGCCTCCAGGCTTCGATCCCCACGGCAATCCTCTGAACCCTCCGAGCGCTGCGCACGCGAGAGCTGGTCCGCCGCCGCCTTCTGCCCCCCAACAGTTTGGCCATGGCGCGCCGTCTGGCTATACATTCCAATATTCGAATTGTACGGGAAAGCGAAAAGCATTGTTGATTGGAATCAACTACTTTGGCAGCAAAGCCGAACTGAAGGGATGCATCAACGACGTTCGCAATGTGTCAGCTTTCCTGATCGAAAGGTACAACTACAAGCGCGAGGATATGGTCATTCTGACGGATGATCAATCCGAGCCCAGAATGCGGCCAACAAAGGCAAACATCCAAGACGCTATGGGCTGGCTTGTCAGAGGCGCACAGCCCAATGACTCCCTGTTCCTTCACTATTCCGGTACGCAATGCCCTCAATGATGTTTATATGTAGTAAGCTAACTGGCCTTTTCTTGTTCCTAGGCCACGGTGGCCAGACCGAAGATCAAGACGGCGACGAGGAGGACGGTTCCGATGAAGTCATATACCCTGTTGACTTTCAGCAAGCCGGACATATTGTCGACGATGAGATTCACTTCCGTGTTGTTAGGCCCTTGCAGGCCGGAGTCCGTCTTACAGCCATTTTCGATTCATGTCACTCAGCGACCGTCATGGATCTACCTTATGTGTACTCTACCAAGGGTGTTCTCAAAGAGCCCAATTTGGCCAAGGAAGCCGGCCAGGGTCTCTTGGGGGCTATATCCTCGTATGCTTCGGGCGATATAGCCGGTGTGACCAGCAGCATCATGGGCTTCGCCAAGCAGGCCTTCAGCGGAGATGGCGCTTACAAGAAGACGGTGGCTACAAGGACGTCGTCAGCGGATGTTATCATGTGGTCCGGCAGCAAAGATGATCAGACATCGTACGTGCTATGCTCTATATCTAAAGCAAAGTTATGCTTTTGAGAGATGGAAATGCTGACTTGATTTACTAGTGCCGATGCCTTTGTTGGAACTGAAGCCACTGGCGCTATGTCATGGGCTTTCATTTCTGCCCTGAAAAGGAACCCCGAACAGAGCTATGTTGAGCTGCTCAACAGCGTCCGAGAGATTCTCGAGACCAAGTATACTCAAAAACCACAGCTGTCTTGCAGCCATCCTCTAGGTATGTTGATTTTGTGACTAACACTTCTGAATATGTCTAATATGTCAACGTAGATACCAACCTGATGTTTGTCATGTAATTCGTACAAACGCTGTTTCAAAATGAACTTGAACTGTGACGCGACCTTGGAGACATCACAACTCGTTTGTCAAGCGCTCCAGTTTGTTGGTCGTCCTGGTGTCGAATCTCGCGCAGGATTCAGGACAACGGTGTATCCAGATTGCGTTACGCTCAGGTTTGTAAGAGCTAAAGTGGTGGTGATGGGAAGCAACACTCGGAATCCGTGAACTTGGCGCTGAAACTGCGACCCAAGCCAGGCGGCTCACCTAACTAGGCAGCAACAGCGGAAAAAGCTGGAGTACAATGATAGAATAACACGCCCCTCAATCCTGTTGTTAGAAAGAATAAGACGACTTGATGGGTAGTATTTTTCGAAAAAAGGGTGCATATCTATCTACCTGTGGATACCTTCAATTGTTATTCTGTCCAAAAAACACGCCCCTCAATCCTGTTGTTAGAAAGAATAAGACGACCTCGATGGGTAGTGTTCTTCGAAAAAAGGGTGTATACCTATCTACCTGTGGATACCTTACAAGATAAGTTAATGCCAACGGGACGCTGACCTAGGAAGCGCGCAGCTGATTTTGCTGATTTTGCTGATTTTGCCGATTTTTTCAAATTTGGCCAGAATCGTAAGGGTACCTTAGGTCCAAAAAGTGGCGTAAATCTAGCAACCTAATTGGTTGAAATGCCTTATGTAATTAAATTTATAGGCCTCTAATTGGCTAATTTCAGCGGCAGAACTCCGGAAGTCTTTTTTTACCTTTTTTTCACCTTGATTAATTACAGTCAACCGGATTGATCAGGATCGCCTTGATTGATCAGGATCGCCTTATTTGAGTGCAGTCAACCGAATTAATCAGGATCGCCTTGATTGATCGCAATCGCCTTGATTAATCGCAATGGCCTGGATTAATCGGAATTGCCTGGATTGATCAGAATTGCCTTGATTAATCAGAATCGCCTTATTTGATCAGAATCACCTCGATTAGTCGCAATTGCCTTGATTAATTGCAGGCATCTTATGTAATAGAACCGGCAAAACCACGGCTTCTTCTTGGCAGAGCTTCGGCTGATTCACTCTTCTAGGCTTCCAATTGGCCAGTAAAAGTGGGTTAAAATTCTAACCACCAATTGAAGTACGTTATTTCTAGCTGTGGCGTCAAATTGTGGTAGCTTAGCTTTTTGTCAAGACGTTAAATAGCTTAGCTGTAGCTAATGCTCTCCACTTCGTGTATTCACATTACTAATCAGCTGCGCTGATTATTCTGTCCGAAAAACACGCCCCTCAATCCTGTTGTTAGAAAGAATAAGACGACTTGTTGGGTAGTGTTTTTCGAAAAAAGGGTGTATACCTATCCATCTATCTGTGGATACCTTGTTATTCTGTCTGAGATTGTCACGTGACCTACTACGGCACGCCCATAGTTCTCTCCTCTGCTTGTCACTAGGTACTTAGCTTAGTTCTTCTCATCATCTTCATCACAGTTTTCAGTCACAGTCACAGTACACCCTTCGAGTGTCAGTGCCTTTGGTTGTTGTTTTTGTTCTCATTTGCTATGCTTTGTTCGTGATCCCATCTTTCATCGTGATCCCTCACATTGGTGGACATTTGGGCAATCAGGAGGAAGCTATACCGTATGTTATTTTGACAGCTGGGCATTGGTACCGACAACATCCACATGAAGATTGACTCGCTTTGCCGGCACAATAGGGATTAAAGAGAGGCCAAGCCTCTCTAGTCACACAAGACAAGTAAACGGCCCAAGAGTTGCCTCATTGTGTGGCCTCAGTCGTAAATGCCGAGCGATATTTGGAAGCTCGTGTGCGGTGCACAGCAAAGGTACATTCTGCGTACAGATTCTTTGTGCGTATTCACCTTTACTACAATAACATTGAAGGCATCATGTTGAGCCTTCATTGCGGGAACTCAGCGAGCACAGGCAAAAACGTATGCGTTTAGTTTGAACCTCTTAAAATCCCAGTTCGTAATAAACAAGAACCAGATGCCATCTCCAAATGTAGGCTTTGCTTATGCAACAATGTCATTCTCTTTGCCATCTTTCGCTCTCCATCCCGTCTATAACAATTATCCCAATATATAATATGATACACATCAAAAAGAACAGCTAGCTCCAGGATGACCCAGTTGTAGAATATCGACTACATGTAGTTGATAGCCAGTCCTAATTACGGGCAGCATCTCATTCCTTATGTGGGAGCCTGCTAAGACAAGTCTTGATATGATCTAGTATCAAGTCGATTGAATTCTGGAGACTGTTTTCTACTTTGTAGCCACATAAACAGACATAAGGCGCGAGGCCTTTGCAGTGTTTCTTCTTGATATGACAGCGAAAATTGGGTTTGCGGCCAAACAGTTGCTTGCAGCGACATTGAAATCCCGAGGTTATGTGGGTAGTGGAGGTTCTCAAGTGCCGCCTATAACTCTTACTACTTCTGAATGGTAGTTTGCACTCTGCGCAGTAGTTCTCTGTGCGTTGGTTGCGAGAAGACCCAGCGCTGCCCACTACACCGCTGATATATTCTGTGTGTGAACCGGGTGTGGGTTGGTTTTGTATAAACAACGACGCGGATCTTGTAATCCGTGCGGAACCCAAGCTCGACGCGGTTGTGGGGGTTTTCGGTCGCGGAGTGTCTGTCACAGGCGACTGGGTCCTATTGTTTGGATGAGACACGGGAGTAGTCGAATCGCGAACAACGAGAGCTGGTAGCACTGGAGTTAGCCCAATACCGCCATTTAAAATTGAGAGTGCCTTGGTGCAGAGAAGGAGATGACTACAGGTAGAGTACTCACGCGGATTGCTCTCCGGGTTGGATTCCTCGACAGGCGCGCCACATCCATCGTTGTCCGACGCAACATCCAGCAAACTTTTGAATCGAGATCCATAAGGCCTGAATTCATCTTCCAATAAGACATTCAGTAAGTGTTCGGCTTCGTCTTCGTCTTCTCCAATAGAAATGTTCTACATTGGGCGATAGGGGATCAAGATTATCAGCACAAAGTACGGTTAATCACCAAATAGTGACGCAGACCCTACCATTTTCGATACCAGTCATGTGTTAGCAGTGCGTATCAGAGCTTGAAATGGGAATGCATCATCCGAATTTAGTCTTCCAGTCTTGAGAGTAGAGGATTTTTACGCTGCCTGCTCAGTACCTTCTCTTTCAATCATGCTATCTCAACAGGAAAGAAGTACGAACAGAAGCTAAAACCTTTTTTTCTTGATTGGGATTTGCATCCATTCATCCCGCTGCTTTCCGTATTGATGGCATTATAGGTACCTAGTTACGAGTGTGCTTCCCCATGAAAGGTAGGTAGCCACTCAAACCCACCTTTCCTTCCATTTTTGGTAGGGAGTGGCACGACAACGTTTTGCACCGTGGTGGACGAAATGGAGCATCACATCGCCTGGGTAGCAATTTAGAAAGGAAAATGTTATACATGTAAACCACTACAAAGGTAGTCAACGCACCGCAGCCACATACGACGATGGTAACTCGTCGAAGCTACTCAGTGGCTGGCCTCCCCGCACACAACGCTGCACCGGCTGGCTGCCCACGCGATTGGTAACGGGCAAAAAAATTGCTGCATGTCCCGCGATGACAGGCAGATGTGAGATGTGATGCCGGGGAACGGATGCTGAAACGACGTCGTCTGACAGGGATGTCTCTGCAGATGGTGTGTCGAGCCAACGAAGTCTCCTGTGGGCTCTTCCACTCATGGCATTCGAATCTGATAATGGCAATGGCATCGTATATCATTTCGTAGATGCAGTCAACGATAATGACAACCAGAGCTTGGTCAACGCAACTGATTGATAGCATCCATCTCGTTTTATGTGGAACGCGAGTTCTGTCGCGTCCACGGACATAATGCCGCTGCCGACACTTACACTACAGCCACGCCCAGCCCCGCCCATGCACCCCTGGACACCATCATTCTCAGAGGATAGCTGTAGGTTGCGAATGTGTTGGACCACATGCAGCTGCGACTATGGCACGGTCAGGAGTTTTCGATATTCAACTCATTGACTTTAATCAAGTCACGCTTAGCTTATTAAACTGATATGCTGTTGTAACTCTAGCGGATGTAGGCACTCCTAAAGTACAGTATCTCTACCGACGACTTATTGTAATTGCCTCCTGGGTTAAGTTTGATCTTAATCAGTCTATATTACCATGGTCATAAAAGAAAACAAGAGCAGAAAACGTTGAAATCAAATAAGAAACAAACACGGCTCAAATACCACAGGCACGCTGTCTCCAACTCAGCTACATATAATTCCTACTCAAACCCCAGTAGCGCTCTGAGTGCCATAGCACATACGGCCCTCTCATTCTGCTGTCGTCCCCCACCCAATACAGACATCCTCCACCAGGAGGACCCCATCAGATCGAGGCCACTACCACAGGTACATGTACGCAGCATTTTCGTCTGAGCCTTATGGTGGTGAGCACGCTATTTCTTCGGTCGGCCTCGCTTGCGCTGTCCACAAGGCTTAATATGCTTTTTTAGTAGAGTAATTGCATCTGGGCTGTTGCTTTCTATTTGATATCCGCACGAGCAGATAAAAGGTACAGTAGGGTTGCAGGGCTTCTTCCGTTCGATATGTTTGAGAAAATTATCCTTGCGACCGGACGTATGCGTGCAGCAACATTGAAAAGTCGCTAGTCGATGGGCTTTTGTTGTTTCCACATGCCGTCGGAAGTCCTTCTCGAGCTTGAAAGGCCTGTTACACTCTACGCAGTGGTACCGTCCGCTTTGGCTGTGCAATGAATCGGTATTGTTCAATACATCGGAGTAAGCTGTGTATGATCCGGAGGCGAATTGGTCGGGAGAAAATGGTGGCGCAGAATTCGAGTCTAATATATCTCGAGGAGTGGTCGATAGCGATGGTGTCTCCTCTTGGAGACGGATATCGAGGGCGGGCGGATTGGGGGTGTAAGTTGGTTCTACTGGGATTTTGATCAGTACATGTACTAAAACGACAGATGACGCGCTCTAAAGGAGAGTGGTTGCTCACGCAATTGGCGCCCAAGCATGGACTCTTCTGTTTCTTTTCCATATTGAGTCTCATCTTCGTATGCAAGATCTTCATATATGAAATCTTCCCACGTAAAGTCCAGAGGACATTCGGCTTCGGATGACAACTGGGATCCCCCCATTGTCAATTGCACTAGTGGGTACAGGTAGTCCTAGCAATTCAGTGGCGGCTCGGGGCATATCAGAGTTCAATGCAGCTTAGGTGGAGGGGAGAATACATCATCTGATGGCCAGGTATTCTTTTTGTTTCCGGAAGGAGAAAGAAAGTAGGGAAAAGATAAACGAAATAGCGTTTGCTCCTTAATATATATATGGAAATGTATAGGATCTAACCTTCTCATTTGCTTGTACTATCATCGAACTGTTTTCGAGCTCGTGCTTCGCAAGTATAGGCCATTTTCGAGTTGACAGTGGATCCACAAGTCTCTTACATACAGTATGCCGGGTGGCAGGGTTGCAACAACTCAGGCCTCCTCTTCACGTAATTGGACGACCATTTCTGAGGTCGTCGGCCTGCTAACATTGAAGACTTGATGTAAATGCCGTGCAAACAACACTTTCTCGTTGGAGATAAGTAATAGCATACAACTCTTACATCATCGCCGTTCGCATACTACTAATGAACATATTAATACACCAAGACATTTTCTTGGGCGTAAATGTAACGCCTACAGATACATGAATTGTAAGGTACCTCATGTCCCTTGTGCAGTTGTAAACGGCCCTTCACACTGTGAGCGCTGGCCTGACTGGGTGGGCGGCACTGGGCGGCTTTGGGGCTAGCCGCGAGCCTTTAGTGCCCGCACCGGGCTTCCCTAGCTGTCCTGATCACGCAGGCAGCTTTGCGATCTCTCAGCCGGCCATCCGTCTACCTGGCAATTGTATGTCATCCGGTGCCCAGGATGTCCCAATCCTGGCCACAAGTACATAACCCCCTCTCATACCTTATTCATGCCTGCCTCGTCTTGGCCACATCTTGTATCCCCATCCTAGTGTACTCTACATATTAGGCCCTTCAGCCGCCTTGGCCACATCATGGCTTCTCAGCGAGTTTAACATCCATTTTACCCTTGGTTATACTCGTCACGTGTATTTCGGATTCGAATAGCTACTGTATGTAGTACGCAACCCTCCATAGGGCTGGCAACAAAGGAAAGGAGGGTATCTCAATACTGACACCCGCCTAAGTAGGTACCTAAGGTATCGATGTAATACGTTGAATTACACAAAGCAACTAAGCCTTATTGCCCTTACACCTTGCAAAGAGTTGAATCCATCTGTTCTTTCGAATTTGGTCATCGTGTGTTGCGTTTAAAGTGTGACTACATCTACTCTCGGCGACCGACTAATGTACCTCATAGGGGGGTGTTTGGCAGGATGCTGCGTCGCAGCCTTTGACCAGCGAAAGTCTTCCTTCCCGCTTGCGGGGACGGCAGTGCGACAGGTCTGGCAAGTTGGGAGGAATACACCGGACTCAATAGTATACACTGAATTCGGTGCTTTTAGTATGGAGATCAGTAGTCGCTCCATGCACACTAATAACCGAGTTTAACACAGCATGTAACGCCGTCTTGCAGATAGGCTTGATTCCAATTCAAGATGCGATTGCCATGCAGCAAGTGCCGCGGCGGGTAGACTTAACTCTACATGTTGCTTCCCGCGTGAACTTTCTACCCGCGTGAACTTTCCGAGCCGTCTTCATCTGTATCATAAGGCTCTGCGAGAATGGCTTGATCCCAGATATTTGTTATGCCTTTTGTGAACATTTCTATTTAGGTCGAGGATTAGCATTACGAACATGTCAACTAAGCAGGCCCCCTCCTCATGACGTCCCAACGCACAACAAAGTGCCGGGCAATGATGGGCCTTGATTTGCGAGAGCAAAAAGCTCCGTATGGAAATTGACAGGGCGGGGCGTGGCGTGGCATGGCATCGATTATTTGTGAGGCCGAGCTGGTTCGCCTGTTTTGTAGTCTCTCTCTCTTCTCACGAGCTTCTCCTCCACAGGTGTGGCCTTAGGCTGGCCTCCAAAAAGCTTTTAGCTGGACGCATGAGCAAGGATCGAGCTGAAAACTAATACAAGGCCTGTTATCCGCGCCTGCTTGTATAGAGTGCCTAACACAATTGCTTTCCGGGACATCAAATGAAGTCATGTAAGTGTGCACGTACGTCCAACGGAGTTCTGCACGCCGGACCGGCCACCGAGAAACACTGGCATACCAAATCCTGAAGCTGAAAAGTGAACCCGAGGTTTAAAAAAACCTCATCATATACCTATACGGAGTTTGCGATAAACAGCAGCTCTTCAGTTAACCTAGAGTATTATCCCAGGGTTAAAAGGGCCCTGAGAATGCAAAAATCAGAGTCATTCTCTTTTCTCGTAGATAGGCATGTGTGTACTTGATCAGTAGCATCTGCAGGTCAGCAGTATTTCGAGTGTCCGTCTTTTCTACTGTCCCTCTACCTAACCGATCTTGTTTAAACTTAAAGTGAGTCTAACATAATCACATCAAGTATAGCAAAGGCTTAATGTGGCTACTACACCCTCTCTCTGTGCACCGATCCAACTAGATTCTTGAGAGTATTAAGTTGGGGTATATAAACGGGTAACTAGGTCGACACAGCATGGGGGGAGAATGGTAGATGGAAAGCAAAAGAAGGAAAGAAGGAAAGAAGGAAAGAAAAGCGGCAGACGTCTTAGACCAACTCACACATGCTTGAGGAATTACAAAACCAGAAAACTATTATTAGAAACCTCGAGATATTCGGGTAAGTCTAGCAACGAACCTATGCCGCCAATGTGAAAAAAATATCGATCCTTTGTCAGAAGTCCATGTAAGTGTACGTCCACCCGTTGGTGACTAGCTGAGTCTAGAGCGAAATATCCCGAATGAAAAGCATTATTGGCAGTAATTTGGCAGGCAAGTAGGGCTGCTTCATGGTGTATTCTAAAAGCAATCACACCATTACAGTTTTCACAGTCGGTTCGTGCCAGTCTCAACAACGTATTCGGAACAGGGTAGCCCGGATGTAAGAAAGAGATTATGCCTTTTTCCTCAAGATGTCTCTAAGGCTGGGAAGGTATGCACGCCTCACTATTCGCCAACGAGAGTGGGATTTCCATGCTGTAAAATAGCGAGACCTTGAAGCGAAGATTGAGGAGAGAGAAGAGGACAGAGGACAGAGTAGCATTTGGTTCCCTCTTTCTTTTATTATCGCCAAACTCGGAGTCGTTGGTATTGTGGGACTATAAACTCGTAAATTATCCAGTTCATATGCGTGCCTATCAGTTACCTGGATCAAATTATCCAATCGCGAAAATAGCCCTGCCTATGGACACACATGGATATATACTGGAAAAGCTGGTGCGCATAAACATTCGGGTACTGTAGTAGCGCGGCAACGCTGAGATATGTTCGCATGTAAAATTTTGTAATGCAGCATCTAGCCAGGCGAAATCTGGCTTAAAGGCCAGAATATTTCGGACCATTTCACATATAAGGAATCACAAGATCAGGGATATGCTAGATCTCATCATGTTTTGGCCCCCAAAATGTGATATCCTTTGCGGAACGAGAGTACCCGACAAAGCCGTCGGGCTTTCTAGATTCATTGGACGCCATGTCAAGACTTGGACATTGATTATGAGCAGCTCCATCCACACACGTCACGTGTAATTGCCTTGTTTTATTACACGGATAGTGACTGGCTGAAGTGATAAGGCAAGACGTAGCTCACCTTACTAACAGGAATTTTTCCCAAAAGGCATCCACAATAGTCTTCTCTTCTCTACCCTTCTGGGCTAATTTTGGGCATATTAGACATTCTGCTCAAAGCCTGCTCTTGTAGGCCAATTTTCGCTTGACTGACAGAAAGAGGCATTCAACGGTCGGGCATTCATGCGTGCAAGCAAGCGCTCTATCAAATGCGCTGGCTATGCCTTGTGGGATCAAGCATCCAATCAAGAAAATGGCCCTTCATATTAGTACAAAGTCATATAGACACGGCACTGAAAATGCTAGGGGCCTGAGCGATGGGAAATTCTTACGACAGCCGCAGTTGCCATATCTATAAAGGCATGCCCATATCGTATCTTCCATTGTCTAAGATCCACTCTTCATCCTCTAGTACTCTGAAGAGATCAATGTTGGAATACTATTCCCTCAACAAATACATTCAATCCCAGTTATTCTTCTTACTTAAAGAAATTTCACCGGCCATTTTTATCTATTCAATACTTAAGACTCCTAGAGTCCAAGAAATGGCTGGAACTTCAGATACGAACAATAAGTGTAAGTAACAGGAACTTGAGGGATGTACTTATATATACTAATTGATAGATCAGCCGGAAATGGAGTGCGCGTCCAAGCTTCAGTCAGTCATCAGATGCAGCAGTGGCTATCAGAGTCTGATAAAGAGGCTCCTTGGACGCCCCTTGGCCTCACTAATCCCTCAGCTGGGCATGTCGCTGCCAATACTGTGACCGGAGGTAATCCGGAAATTTTGCTGGATAATTCTACTATCCAAACTCATAATGGTGGTAACAACGCCTAAGAGAAGAGGACTCATGCTGGAGTTGTTAGATGTAGCTTGACCTTGATGGAGGTACTTCTGTTCCTTGGGGTTTTATCCAAACACGTTGAGCCTCTATGTTAGCCAATAAATGCAATATTTTCTCATGTCTTTGCTGCTGGACACTTATCGTAGTAGCTTTTATGCAGGTGATTCCAGAAATTAATCCTCTTAACGAAGCTTTATATAAGAATATAAGTAACTTAATTACTTGTCCACCTAACCTGAATAAAACGGCAAAATCACTTTTTCGTCTTATGATAGTAATCAACTGTGGCTACGTTTACAACTTCTCAGCATAGAAACGAGGTCTAGTCAGTTGTATCTTTCTGTTTGCGCACTTACTAAATCGGTCGCTGCCCGAAATAATGCTCAGACACAACGTGGGTTATTATAGTTCCAATCGAACGCGTTTAAAATGCCGTAGAAATGTATGACAGCTCCGAGCACCACGAAACTATGGAATATCTGATGAGAAGCGCCCCAAATGTCGTATTTCTCGGGCTTTCGAGACTCTGGGAAGTGAGTCTAGTAACGCTTAGCAACGAACATTATCAGTACGTTTAAAAGTAAAGACACTTACAATGTAAAAGAATACTCCCGTTAACATTGCAACGCCTTCAAGATAATAGTAGCGAAGACCAGCTTGCTTATCAAGCTGAGCATACGGAAAGATAGTAGCGGCATGTATGATGGGTGCAAAAGCAGAGAGGCCAGTAGCAACAAAGGTAGAGACTCGTAACGTCCGCCACTTGGGACTCTGAAATTTGGGATTCACAACTACGATACCAGTGAGCAATCCCAGTGAACCTATCTAACGTCATGATAGTTAGCATCAACAATATCTCAGCACGGGCAAGTTGCAGCATACCATCGTCCAATAGAGTTTCTGTAAGTGAGGCTCGCAGTAAAAGCCTATGTAGATGCCAGAGATGAACGACCCCAAGATCTGAACAACAATAGTAGCATAGTCGAACCGTGCCCATAGGCTCGCATATGCCTCAGAATGACACAACAGCATGTGGTACATGGACGAGATTCCGAAGCAGATAACAGACGTCGATAAGTATATGTGAAACACCAACTGATCTCTCCATGACGCATTAGGGTAGTGAGAGCTGAAGTATACATATAGGCCATAGTTGCCTACAACAGCAATCACCGCGGGCACCAAGTGAGTGTATATGTTGGCAGTTTCATTGTGAACATATCCCAGACTCTCAAAACATAGCTTAACGGAACCGGTAATAGGGCGATAGCCGGTACGGATAAAGCTGTTGTGGCCATACCAGGGAGGAATCTCCGCGGAGGTCTGAAGTCGTCGCGTCGTCTTGGGTGCTTGCGAACGTCTATCCTCGTTGTCGCTGTCAGCGTCGGGGTCTATACCACCGACACCGGTCGGGGATAAGCGTCTATACAGAGCCATATAGATGCCAAGACGCAAGGTATGATGGTAGAAAATAATTAGAAACTACAGAGAGAAGAAGCAGCGACAGTCGAGGGGCAGGAGAGAATATAGTTCAAGAAAACGTGGTTGTCATGTAAGGCTGACGATCAGCACACGTGTGAGAGGAGTGGAAACAAAACTGGAGAATGTTTGCAGTTGCATAGCTTTATGAAAACATAATCCTAGTCAGAATCCAGTGGGACTCGGTTATTAATAGATGGTAATAGAGCATGATTGGTTCGACAAGGTCTTATACACGTATTTTGCGATATTTTGACGATATCCGACTGGGGTCCGCGGATAAACAAAAGTGGTGGTATTGGCGGGTAGTAAGACTACTAGTTATTCGGATAAGCTTCTCATTGGTGAAACAACTCACACTTGACTGCATTTGGGCAGTTTTACGCCTTCCAGTCTTATGATCATGCCTATTCTCACAACTTCAACTTGTGTTTAGTAACACAGCCTTCGGCCCTTTGACGATTGAATAGGTTATAAATAGTTGAGAGCCTCGATGACAAGGATAGTTTCAAGTCCTATGTCCTATCTTGACATCACGCCTTATTCTCGGCATATAGTATCGGTATGTCAGAAGGATGTTCAACATAAGCTTGAAACCCATGTCGGGGGAATAGACGATGAGAAAACTTCGGAGCTGGCGTCAATATTCAGGCCGATTTGCTTGAGAGCTTCCTTGAGCCTCAATGTAGGCCAGAATAGTTGTGAGAGTTGCTAGAATATAATGTAATACACGCTCCTTGTATACTTTGTCCTAGAATAGTTCATCAAATCCTATGACGTTAAGCTCAGAAACACCTCTCTGTTCTATGCAATCATGAAGTCCAGTACCGATGTCCGTGTTAACGGCTGGACAATGTCCCCTGACGGGCGGGGAACCATGGACATACTATGGACTTGCATTTTCACCACTTTTCTCTGTACCTTCACCATCCTTTGTCTCAACTTACCTGCTAGAAACGAAAGCTCGCTTCGTGTCCAAGGTCGTAAGATCTTATGGATGGCCATCGCCATTGCTGGACCCGAATTCTTACTCACAGCGGCTGCCGGCCAACTTGCCGCTGCGCGAGACTCCGTCAAGGCGTTCCACGCTCTCGGACATACCTCATGGACATACCGACATGGCTTCTATGCCAACATGGGCGGATTCGAGCTACAGCCCCTGGACGGCGCACCGTTCCCGATAAATTCGAAACATATACTCTGGTTAATGTCGCGCGGCTATATCGAGTTTCCGACTATATCAGACGAAGAACTCTTGGACAAGTCCAAGAAGGATACCGTTGCCAAGCTCATCACTTGTTTCCAAGTTGGATACTTGATTGTTCAATGCATTGCACGTGGCGTCCAGAAGCTTCCAGTAACGACGATAGAACTGTCGACTGTTGCTATAGTCGTATGCTCCATCATGACGAGCATCTGCTGGATGTCCAAACCTCAAGACGTCCGTTATCCCATCCGAATCAATATGCCTGTGACTATGGATCAAGTCCTCCGCGAGGCTGGTCCCGTCGCTGCACGGCCTTACCGACAAACTCCTCTCGATTTTGTAGACGACCTGACACCGAGCTGGGCTCTCAACATACAACCATTCATCAAACTGCCTGTCGGTCCTCACGAGCGTCCTCTACCTCGTATTGGCGACAGCAGATTGCCCTGGCTAGAAACTCTAGAGAGTCTCTACTTGTGCCTCGCCACTGTGGTCTATGCATCCGTACATCTGACCGGGTGGAACTTTGAATTCCCATCTCGAGTCGAGCAGATCCTCTGGAGGGTATCGAGCCTGATCCTGGTAGGCACAACAGCCCTATTCTGGGTCCTAGAGGCGGGCGCTATTTTGCAACGATACGGCAGTGACCAGAAAATTTGGACAAGAATGTTGAGAAAAGAGGATAAAAAGTCGGACGTCACAGTAACAGTACTTGAGGATGCATTAGTCGAAACGCCAGCCATGGCATCAGGAGGCGAGCCGTCGTCTTCATTACAGCCTCAGCAGCAGCGCGATTTAGAAAAAGAAGAAGAGGCCTGGGCCCCAAAACAGCTGCCTCTCGTCTGGGAGTTTTGGAGCATCCTCCCAATTGCTCTCATCTACGCCACGGCGAGGGCGTATATCCTCGTCGAGCCATTGCTTGGCTTGAGGTCGATGCAGGCGGGGGCGTTTGACACGGTTGACTGGATGGCCTTTATTCCCCATGTGGGTTAGAATAAATACAAGATGGAGAAAATTTTGAGAAACTGGAGGGCGACAGAGTCAAGTTTATATGTTTGTGTCAAGTTCAAGATCATAGGGCGAAGCGGACCCCGCAATTCGATAGTGAGATGGTGTAAGCACTTTAGCTCAGTCTTGGCTGAAATCTCCAAATACAATGCTGTCGATTCATCTTATAGGACTCTTCATGAACCAAAGTCAATTCCATCTCTCTTATAAATCATGCCAAAAATAAAAATCCTCGACGGCGGCCTCGGCACCTCCCTTGAGCAAAACCACAACATCATTTTTAGCTCCGACACCCCTCTCTGGTCCTCTCATCTCCTCATCTCCGATCCCTCTACTCTATTGCAGTGCCAAAAGGACTTTGGAGATGTGCCTGTAGATGTCATCCTCACAGCAACATATCAAGTCTCACTTCATGGCTTCGCAAACACAAAAACTGCCGACTTTCCCAACGGCATTGATGCCTCGCAAGTGCCTCAATTCCTCGAAACCGCTGTGAAAATTGCAGAGGATGCAAAGCAGCCTGCGTGTGCCATCGCATTGAGCGTTGGGCCCTACGGCGCATGCATGGTCCCAAGTCAGGAGTACAGCGGCAGATATGACGCCGCCCACGATTCCGGAGACGCTCTGCTTGCATGGCACCGTGAACGCTTAGAAGTATTTGGCCTCATAAAGGACGTTAAACAGCGGGTCCAGTACATCGCCCTCGAGACGGTTCCTCGCCTGGACGAAGTCATCTCCATGCGCCGCGCTTTGAGTGCCGTCCCTGGTCTCTTTCCCGACCTCCCATTTTGGATCTCATGCCTATTCCCCAACGAAGACGAAAGCATACCAGACGGGAGCTCCCCAGAAGATGTCATCCGCGCCATGCTTGACCCTTCTCTCGCAGCAGCGGTACCATGGGGCGTGGGAATCAACTGCACAAAAGTATGGAAGCTCGACTCTTTATTACGCCGCTATGAAGCTGCCATTAAGAGTCTACTCCAGGAAGGCGTTATAACAGACTGGCCGGCATTGGTGCTTTATCCGGATGGGACGAATGGCGAGGTATATAACACAACTACTAAACAGTGGGAATTACCAGAAGGCGCCGAGCGAGAAGATGGAATTCCGTGGGAGAAGCAGCTCACAGAAGTTGTACGGGCTACAGAAGAGAGAGGGAAGTGGTCCCAGATCATTGTGGGTGGGTGCTGCATGGCCAGCCCGAGTGATATCAAGAGACTTCATGGCTGTATAAACGCTTAAAGGTGGGCACAATAATTAAATATACATTGGGTAGTGTTTTGAGCTATAATACTACCGCAAATTCCCGTCTCAGAATCCCAGACCCGAGATATCAACGCTCAATGGCTTCCCAGACAACATCTCAGCAACCACCTTTCCAGTCCCCAAGCTCAAACTAATACCCCACGGCCCATGTCCAGCCGCAATAAAAACACCCCCTTCTTGTCCCTCCTTCAAATTGGTATCCTTCGCAAGCTTCTCGTTCGTCAATCTCGCAATATATGGTGTCCCCCTATTCGTAACCGGCCTAAAACACAATCCCTCTCGCACAATCTCCAAATCCTCTCCACCAGAAGTCACAATCAGACGCCGCGCAATATCCTTCAGCTTTTCTAAAGGCTGACTTATAGTAGCCGCCTTGAGAGCAGGTCCAGGAAGAGCAAGACCAGGGCTATTCACGCCAGCAACGTAAATCTCCCCGTTGGGCCGAGAGTAAATTTCTGGTGAGTGCGCACCCATCGTCGTGTAGACGGAATGACAGGTTGTCACTTTGCTGGGAGCCTTCAAAACGAGGGAGTGCCCACCTAGACCCCCAATGGGGATATCAAGGGAGAAGCGATCCTTGAACAGTGTTTTAAAGACTTGGGGCGTCCAGCTTCCCGCTGCCAAAAGAACCTTGGTAGCCGGTATCAAGATCTCTTCCGATGTCTCTGTATTTTTGATGACAACTCCACAGAGTTTGCTATTGTCATCAGTTTCCAGGCGCAACGCCGCAGCAGGATTGTGAACTTGAACTCCTGCAGCCTTGACTTTTTCCAACAGAAACTTGCAACATAGTAAGGGATCTCTGGTTCCAGTCATCATGTCAGTAAGCACATAAAGAATTCCAAGGAGGATGCAATTCTTACACAATCGCCGTCCCACTCCCATCATCAATCACATTCACAGAGTCCCCCTCAACCCTCCTCAACCAATCCGGCACTTCGTCATCCTTATGCTCCCTCCTCGCCTCCACAAGCCCAGCCCTACTCGTCCCTTCCAACAGCCAGTCCTCCCCCCGTTTCCCGTCTAATAACGGCCCATTCGGCTCATAGCTCACCGTCACGCTCTTCGCATACGCCCATCTCTCTCTGCCATTCTCCTCGTCGGCCAGCCTTTTATGCTCTTCAAAGCTTAGCTCAGCCAAGGGAACCAAGTCGGGACGGAACCAGTATTTGGCCAGGAATCCTCCCGCATAGCCAGAAGCGGATGAGAAGAGTTCCTGCGCAGAGTCGACGAGATGAATTGTGGTGCCTGGTTGATGCTGGCGGAGGTAGAAGGCCGTCGAGAGGCCAATGACACCGCTACCGAGGATGACCGTGTGGGCCATTGTGTCTTTTTTGCTTAATAGATTAACAAGAATATAAAGTTCAAATCATCGCTATGAGTCGTCTTGATCTCGGCATTTACAACTCAGTTTACAGAAGCAATTGGCCGTCTCGACCTCCGGCACCGGCCGTCTTATAACTCGAGCCGGCTTAAGCCGTGCAGCTTTCCAACTCTCATCAACGGCTATACATCTCCAATAATAGCCCCTCCTTTCTCTCCACAGACATGCCGCCATCGGCTGAAAAATCATCCTTGGCGAGAAAAAAATAGTCGACTCTAGAGCCGTCTCATTTCTCTTCCTCTTAATCACTGAACTACTGCACTCTATTCCCCCCCATTCTCCGCACACATGGCTTCTAAAGTTTTCATTGTGACCGGCGCCAGCAAAGGCCTTGGCGCAGCCATCGTCCAGCATCTTTTGGCGCAATCGCACAAGGTCGTCGTCACGGCACGGTCCGAAAGCCCGCTGCAGAAACTCAAAGAAGCACATCCTACCCAAGTAGAGTATGTCGCAGGAGATATTACAAGTGAAGATGCAAGTTATAAATCTTTCATTTTTTTTTTCTCTTCTATTTTCTTTTGTTCTTCTTGTTTTAAATGTTTTTTTTTCTAAAGTATCTAACAAGTCTTTCAGATTGCTGAGAGATTAACAGCACTTGCTGTCAATTCATTTGGTCAACTCGACGGTGTGGTCATCAACCATGGAGTTTTGGAGCCCAAGAGGTTTGCAGACGAGTCTATACAAGACACCAAGACCTTCTACGATGTCAACTTGTTTAGCTACATTGCCATGGTAAGACATCAAACAGTATCTAGCATCGGGTGGCTGCTGACATGACATGCCATAGGCCAGGGCTAGTCTGAAAGAAGTCAAGAAGACCAAAGGCTGCATCGTCTGGGTATCCTCAGGCGCGGCTCTCAAGGCCTACCAAGCGTGGAGCACCTATGGCTCTGCCAAGGCGGCAGTCAACTCCATGGCCGCTCACCTTGCGGTGGAAGAGCCTGACATCACCAGCGTCAGCTTCGGGCCAGGCCGAGTCAACACTGACATGCAGGCGGTCATCAGAGAAAAGGGCAAAGACACCATGGCAAAGGCGCAGCACCAAAACTTTGTCGATGCCCTGGAGCAAGGCGAGCTGCTGAGGCCTGAGCAGCCAGGCAATGTCATTGCCAAATTTGTGGCCAACCCTCTGCATAAGCTGAGCGGACAATACGTCAAGTATGTGCACCGTCCAGAATCATGATGCCAATTGCTGACAATATCTAGCTGGAACTCACCTGAACTGGCGGCTTACCAGGAATAATACCCTAAAACTTGGTTGCATTAGCCAATAGTCAACACAATATAGATGTAAATAGCAATGTGAAGGGATAGATTTGTAGTCAGTCGAAAGATGAAAAGCTCTTAATGATCTCCACATGGGGATTCAGTATTAGCATGGAATATAAGTTTTTTCATCACACAAATCAGGGTGCTTGAACCGAATAAAATAAACATTGAAAGCAAAAATATGCCTACCTTGTGATTTGGTGACCCAGCGTTGGCTCTTTGACGCTATGCCAATGCTCATTCCCAGAACTTGTCAACTGTTAGTCTCAAGTACAGACTGCTCGTGGCGTAGCTTGAAACCAGAGTTGGGCACTTGTTGGTTCAGGAGAGTGTGTCCGCATTATGTATTCTCGGAATTTGATAATACTTTACTTGGTACATCACGATGTGCCATGGGTTTGTCGCGGCAAGGGCGGAACCGGTGCTTACATTTTGAAGCTTGGAAAACTTTTGCAGCACTGCCTGAGAAGCATTGTTAGCTATTGGAGCGCAACGAAATAGCCCGCGATAAAGCAGAAAACGAAGCACCAGGTGTGAAATCAGAAATGTCTATTTGGCTAAGACGTGTCTATCAGCATGGGAGGCTTGTCGGACCTCCTCAGACTGGGGCGACAACATATCTCATCAGGAAAGCGATTGGGGCTGCCGCGTGTCAAAGAGATGCTCCTTACCTGTATAAACGAGCAGCGGCAGCGGCACGCGCGGTGCTGAAGACCAGAGATGCGCGTCAAGCTCGATCCGAGCTTGTGCAGAGCTCTTCTTGCTGTCTTCGCTGCCAGAGAGAAAGAAGTTGAAAGAAGGAAAGGGTTTGGAAAGCAAGAAGCTCGAGCTAATAAACTTTTTTTTTTTTTTTTTCTATAAAACTGGCCCGCGCTAGGCAGGTCCCACTTGTACTCCATACCTGGTGAAATGCTGCAGCACGTGAATCGAGCCCCCTTCCAAGCCAGTCAGCGACGCAGCTTCAGTGGGCTGGGTCGGTCTCTGGCACGCGCCGCGCTGAGGGCCAGCAGAAGCGAGACGCCTACGAGGCCCTGGCCGCGCCCGAGTACAGGAGACATGGGCGACATAAGTACCCCGTACCGCTCCCAGTTTCCCTTATAACAGCAGCGGTCGCCCCACTAACAAACCTCTTGGCTGGAAACCATTCAATTCATCATCCATCTCGCTGCGCCAGATATCATCGTCAGCCGCAAAGCATATTCACGTTGACGTGCATTTATTTGGCAGTCACAATCATACATGATCCGCCTCTCTTAATCTCTCTTCTCCATCTCATACGCATTCCTTTGCATCCGTTTTCATCACTTGTGACTCTCCGCCAAAGCCGCCTTTCACTTCACTTTCAAGCACTATCGCGTCTAAGCCGGAGACCTAATCTCGCCCTTTTTCTTCAACATGTCGGATCATGAGTTTCCAGGTAAGCTCGGTCTGTCCATTACAATGCGGGCGCTTTCTTTCTCCTTCTCTTTCCATTGCCCTCTGTACCAAAAAATAAATCACAGCCATGACCACCACGCCTATCAGCCGTGCGTCACTGCTTATTATCTCATCTTCCGCGGTGTTGGGGCCAATAACACCAAACCTTGGATTTCATTGTTTGTTTCCATGAAACCATACAAACAGCGGATCAAGGTTCCCCTTTCCTTTATTAAGTCTTTTCCAATCTTTCCATCTGCATTTTCACATTTCATCTTCAATCCCCACAGTTCTTCGTTTTCTTCCCAAGCCTCTCGTCTCATTCTACGTCTATTGAAGTCTACCTCCAAGAGCATTCCGTATCACCATACACAGCATGTCGGGATATGACTATGACTACTACATGGGCGGTTCGCCCTCAAGCACCAGTACCCAATCGCGAATCTGTGCACAACGAGAGAAATCACTAACTTCTTCTACAGGAAGCAATGATGACTTGTCGCTGCCCAAAGGTATGACACACATCTGTCATATTTTCGAATATCTACCAAAGCTAACCATGTACTAGCTACGGTTCAGAAAATTGTGAGCGAGATATTACCAGCTCAATCAGGTGTTTCGTTCGCAAAGGAGGCTCGCGATCTACTCATTGAATGCTGTGTCGAGTTCATAACTCTCATCTCGTCCGAGGCCAATGAGATTTCCGAGAAGGAGGCCAAGAAGACCATCGCCTGCGACCACATCACAAAGGCTCTAGAGCGGTTGGGATTTTCCGACTACGTACCAGCCGTTCTAGAAGCCGCAGCTGAACATAAGGAAGTTCAAAAGGTTCGCGCATGTCTCCCACATCCACAGATTCACGTCAGGGTACGGCTATGCTAACACCATCCAGGGACGAGAGAAGAAAGCGGACAAATTCGCCAACAGCGGCATGTCTATGGAAGAGCTCGCCCGTTTGCAGGAAGAACAGTTTGCAGCAGCTAAGCAGCGCCACACATGATGGGGTTTTTGTTACGTTGATATTCAGTCAGGAGGGCGTCAGGTGGGCATTGCAAGGCGTTTGTATAAACAGGTTTACGAGGGTCGGTCAACAGGTCAGATCCTGATTGGGGGGCCTTTTGGGAGGGGGGTTCTTTTCGTTTGCTTTTTTCGTCGTGCTACAATATTGAGATTATGCTCGCATAGCCATTGAATCGATAATTCTGCTTGATATCCTTGATTCCAAGTGCTGGCCCTGCGTCCCTCAATCCACGCGTTTGGGCTTATCGATAACAAGGGGCTTCAGTGATGTAACATTAGGCTGCTTCTCACATGTTACAGCCCCACCAGTGGTCTGTTGCCACTGACTTGATTGATGCCTATCGTCGATCTCATCACCTTTTCCAACTATAAAAAGCTGCGTATCAATCTTTGCAAAAGAAGATTCGAGGGATCCATCAAAATAGGTCGAAAACACCGCCAACGCCACAAGCCTTCAGGACCCCGCGTCCCTCGCTGGCTCGCTCGCAAAATGGGCCAAGAAGAATCTACTCTAGCCGATGCCCACGGGCCTCCAGAGACGCTTCAAGAGAGAAGTTTACAGGGTGTCGCGGAATACATCAAGAGCGGCGATGCTCGGCGCATTGTGGTTTTAACGGGCGCGGGAATCTCTACCGCAGCTGGAAGTAAGTCGATCACACCCTTTCCCACCCACTCGGTCCATATTGACGCCTGGTTGGCGCATAGTTCCGGACTTTCGATCGCCAAAGACGGGCCTGTACAGCAACTTGGCCCGTTTAAAACTGCCATATGCCGAGGCCGTGTTCGACATTGCCTACTTTCGCAACCGTCCCGAGCCATTCTATGTCCTCGCGCAAGAACTATACCCCGGAAAGTTTCATCCGACAGTCTCACATGCCTTTATTGCGCTCCTTGCCCAGAAAGGGCTTCTTCAGATGCTCTTTACACAGAACATTGACTGCTTGGAGCGCGCAGCTGGCGTTCCTTCGGACAAGATTGTGGAGGCCCACGGCAGCTTTGCGACTCAGCGCTGCATTGAGTGCAAGGTCGTGTTTGCCGATGACAAGATGAAGAAGCATGTGCTCCGGGGCGACGTTCCTCGCTGCGAGGAATGCAAGGGCCTGGTCAAGCCAGACATAACATTTTTCGGCGAAGCGCTTCCAAGAGCATTCTCTGAAAAGTCGCACCACACGGCCATGGCAGACCTTGTTCTGATTATTGGCACAAGTCTGACTGTGTACCCCTTTGCTAGCCTCCCAGACATGGCGAGACAGAAGTCGCCGCGGGTGCTTTTCAACATGGAAAAGGTTGGCTCATTAGGGTCACGAGTCGATGATGTGCTGGAACTGGGATCATGCGACGATGGCATCCGAAAGCTGGCTGAGCTGCTGGGGTGGACAGATGAGCTGGAGGATCTGTGGAGAAATATCATTGGACATGAGGAAGCCGAGAGACAACTGCGCAGCCAGATCGATCGCGACGAAGAGATTGAAGATGAGCTGCAGAAGTTGACTGGAGAGATTGAAACAGTCCTCAAACTCGATGAAGAAAGGGAGGAAGGCGAAGATGAAAAAGACGAAGATGTAGAAGAGAGCAAGAAGGTAGAAGACGAGAAGGCGTCAAATAATGCCCAAGGATCGGAAGATGTCGCAGACACAAAAGACGCTGTCGACACAAGAGAAGAGAAGAAAGACGAGCCCGAAGCACCTACCGAAACAGAGGAAGCAAAACCAGCTGACACAGCCAATACTAAGAACGAAGAGTCCGAAGCTACAAAAGAAACAGATGGCAAAGAAGCTGAAGAGTCAAAAAAGGAAGAGAGTGAAGAAAAGCCGCTACAAAAATGATTGAAAGGATCCATGTTATGACCTGATAGATTTCACGATACTTTTCATACTATGCTCGTTGGACGCGCAACAGACGGTCCATGCGCTATCTGCACTTTCTGGGTTACATGGGTTTCGAACGCTTATTGGTTTATATATCGGTTCATATATACTCTACAGGTATATACCGCAACACACGAGACTGTCTTGATAGATGCAAAGTAGAGAAGAGACTTGTTTTCATTGCAGCATTCCTGCCAACGGCACGTAACATATCTATCCTAAAGACGTCATAACTCGCTACCTTTGTGTCAAATTGTAAAGCATCATCGTATCACAGTCTAGCTTCACATTCGTTCAAGACATATAGGTAATACAAGGGCCCAGAAAGTAATACAGTCCTCCAAAACGTAGCAAGTCACTCCTGAAGTCCACCAATTTACTCACTCATACATACTTCTCCTTGACCCCCTCACAAACCACTATCAATCTGATCCGGAATATTCGTATTCGTCCACCTCCCCCACTGCCTACAAGTCTCCGCCACCACATTCGGAATCGACAATGCTCGCACCTTATCTGGAATCGTAAGAAACTGCGTAAACAATCCCGCCGAGGTATGCCACGCAATGTGACAGTGGAACGGCCACACGCCTGGATTGCTCGCAGCATCAAACTGCATCACCACGTGGCTACTTGGGGGCAGCAAGAAGACGTCTCGGCGCTGGGGGTTTGATGACCGGACGATTGTCTTGCCGTCCCATTCGCCGGCGCCCTGGTGGAGGATGTACATGTTGAAGCCGTGGAGGTGCATGGGATGGCTATAAAAGAATGGTCAGTGGATTTTTCATTACAATATGACAGGAGGTAGATGTTGGGGATGGATGGAGCTTGCTTACGCAACGGGAGATTGGTTCATGATGTTTATCCTGACACTCTTTGCGTTGCCGACGTTTCTCACGCTCCACTGCGACTGGAAGGTCAAATTGCCCAGGTTGCTCAGCAGCAATGTCGGGCTGTTGAAATTGCCCCTAAAAGAATCGCCATCTAGCGTCCATAGAGTATGGTTTGTCGCATTAACAAACACATTCAACTCAATCTCATTCGTCACATCTGGCTTGGGGACAGGCAGTTTCATGAAAGGCTCCGTCAGCGACAAGTCGTCATTGCTACACGTTCCCGGATCAGGAGCATTCCAGGGAGTAGACTGAGGAGCCTTGTTAGTATCCGCGTTATCGTAGTAAATGGCCGCGAGAGCATTTGGCTGACTGGTGAGCGAGCATATGGTGCTAATGTTGCTACGCATCCAGTAAGCGTCAAGAGTGCCATTCGCCTTGACGAGGACATTGGTGCGTTGGCCAATCCCCAGCGTGACCACGTCGGTCACGTAGGGCTTGACGTCGACAAAGTCGTTTGCAATGACTGTCATCTTGTGGCCGTCAATGGAGAAGCGCTGGAGGCCTTCGGCTCCGGTGTTGATGAGACGGAGAAGATGAGTCTTGCCGCGCTGGAATCGGAATTTCGCAATGCCAGCGTCATTGGTACATGGAGTGCCATCTGTGACCTTGGAGCAGTCAAAGAACATCTTACCGTTGATCAGGTTGTTATCTGAAAAGAAGATGTTCTCTCCAGGCACGGTGCTCATTGTTTTCTTCACCAAGTCATAGTAGTCGTCATGATACCAGTCAGACAACATGACAGGACCAACATCAACATCGTATTTCTGTGACTTTGGCCCATGAACGACTATCGGACCCGTGAGGCCACCCGCATATTGCGAAGAAAAGTGCGAGTGGTACCAAGTGGTGCCGTATAAAGTGGCCTTGAACTGATACGTGAAGCTGCTCCCAGGCGGCACAGGACACTGCGTCACAGAAGGCACGCCGTCTTCCCAGGGTGTTCCCTGCTGAAGAAATCCGTGCCAATGCAGTGCTGTGCCCTCTTCCGGCGCGGAGATGTTGTTATGCATGGTGACTTGAATCATGTCTCCCCAGTTGGCCTCGATCAAGGGGCCGGGATAAGCACCATTGACGAGGAGGACATTTCTCTGGTATCCATCAGGGGCAATAACACCGCGGCTAATGGTGAAATCATAACGCCTTATGACGCCCGTGTTGGGGCTCGTGTCATAGTAGTTGGTGTTGCAGTCGAGCGTGCTCCATGGGAACCCATTGGGAGTTGGATTGTTGGTAAGAAAGGAAGGTAACAATGGAGCAACCAATGTTCCTAATATAGATAGGCTAGAAAGTTGTCAGCATGTGTTATGCTCCAGATATTGAGATGAATGGGCGTAGAAGGGGACATGTATACCCGTTTGTTTGCTTCTGTGAGAGACTACTTTTGGCCACGGAGCCATCTCTCTTCACTCTTCTAGAGCTATAAGAAGCTCCCATCTTGACAAAGACTAGCTAGATGTATCACTTGAAGAGATGATGCTCAGATGGTTCATATTCTACTGTCCAGGTGGACTGAATCACCTCTATATATATTCACAGAACAGCTTCACAAAAACAGCTCCGGCTCACATGTAAACTCATTGTTTACCGCCTCGCCCCCCTCAACAAGAAGTCTGTTCGGGAAATTTCTTTCCACGAGCCAAGAAACTGAGGCAAACCCATGCCTGATTACATTATTCCCCCCTGGTCGCACTTAGTGAAAAAACAAACTTCCCTAGCCTCCATCCCGTATAAAACTATTGGCTTGGAGTAGGTCAGCCTCCCCGTAGGAGGATTTTCAGGGCGCAGGATCTTAGCTTCTCGTATAAGCAAGGCAAGGTGGTTAAAATGGTAATAACTTTATATAGAAGCCAAGGCCTGTGCATGCATGCGCATATGCATAGATCTCAGGTGAGGCTGTATATGGTGTCGTATGACCACTTTGGCCGGGTATTCATGACTGTTTGAAAATTTCAGAATATTCAGTCAAACTTTACAATGCTTCTAGTCCTAGCACTTGCTAGCTGCATAATGATGCCATCTCATCTTATCTGGCGAAACGCGACTATTGTCGAGGGCTGATAATCCTCCAAACTGTCTTGTGCTGGCCATGTACACAAGAGAAGGCTGCAGTTGGTAATACAGCATTCTCTGGCTCAACTCAAAGAGGACACAGCCCACGGTAGTATCATCTGCGATTGTTGTTCAATGTCTCAGGCCATTCTCTTGGCAGGCTTTACACCGTTCGGGGTTTTTTAGGACACCGACTCGATTCTGCCTTCCGGGTTAGTAGGACTGAAATTGGAAAAATAATAGTAATAGCTGAAACTGGAAAATACAATAAATGACAAAAGAGTGTTACACTCAACACGAGGAAAGGCGAAGGAAGGCATGTTGGGAGTTGAACCGCCAATCAACTTGTTGCTCGGTCTTTTCCAAGACAAGGGGTAATATCCCGCGTGGGGATGACAATGGAGGAAGGATTGAGTGATTGAAACGCACGGAAACATCTTGAGCTTCGGAAGTCGATTCCGTGAAGAGTCTCACGAGCTCTGCTCCTTCGATGGGTCTAGAATGCAGGGCCGGGTTATCGCCATGTCCATCTCGCTGATTTGATAAACTGATATTGACAAGGGGGTAGGATCAATATAGTCTATCATCATGAGTAGCAAGTATAATTATAGAAGTAGACGAAAAGCCCCACGTTCCTGGACCTGGCATAGCATAGAAGATTTGATAAATTACGTCGTACATGTGTGGTTACACGTGCTATCGTTTTGTTTCCCTAGAAACAAATACATGGCCGAAAATAGCCTCCGAAAACTTCCACATCGTCACCTTGTTTCAGCCGGCATATCCAAGCATCGGAATCAGCTCATCGGGCGGTGGCGGATGTCCGAGCCGAAGTTTTTCGATCAGGCCCTCATGTGCTCCATCTCGGGTACCGGGCATGTCAAAAAGATGACAGCATACGAGTGTTATGACTCTTTGCATATGTGGAGAATGACGGGCCGCAGTCCATTAAGCTAACACAACTGGAGGGTAGGATCGCTCTTCCAGAAAAAAGATGTACTATTTGATAATTCCTTTTTTCGAATGGGGTCCCAAAAGCTGGAGCATGCGCGTGTACGCTGTCATTCGTCGTACAAGGAGCGGCTGGAGATATTTCCCTGCGCGCCTGTGATATCCTGCAGCTATTCAGCTTAGCAAATGCGCCGCAGAAGCCGCAGAGGCAATGGAAACGGAATTGATAGTTCCATGTTTCTTCCGAGCATGACGTATGACGGCACTGACAAGCCAGACAAAGTATTGCCAATTAAGGCGAATGCGAATGTAGGTGTCAAGACAGCAGCTAACGCTGTATAATAAAAGGTGCGGCATAATATCGCAGTGACGGGAGGTGCGGACACATAAAAGGCACACTATTAAAATAAGAAGGAGAAAAGTTATTTCGTCCATGCCAAAGCAGATAAAGCTCCTGATGCTTTCCCTCATAGCTTCCCACCAGCTTATGAAAATTTCGTTCTTGTATACAAAGCTCCCAATGTCCCCAAGCCCTTTCACATAGTTTAGACATACATGACATGATTTGCGTCGGATTTGATCGTAAATGTCGTTTGATTTATTGTTATCTTACAGGGCAGCCGATTAGGCTACCGGTATACGCAGTTTGCAGCCAACGATTGACCTCTCGCGTGGTTCGTCCATTCGTTGTTTGTGTATGGGTGATTATTCGTCTCTTCTCCAAGCCGAGTTCGCTCTCAATACTATCGGCCGTCGCTGCGCTCGCATGTACAGTTCTTGTAGCTTGGGGTCGGCATCTGATCGGATCACGCTGCCAACGCCCATGAAGAATCTACGCCGCCTTTGTTAGCATCACAGCCAAGGCACGTCGGCAATCAACGCAGACATACCCGAATGTAGCACCAGATGCGCCCATGTACTGGCCGAGAGTCCGCATGATGCCTTGGGACCCAGCGCCATATCGGAAGATGTTAACGGTGCCTATCAAGGTGTCAACTCGCGAATCATGTGCAAATGAAGCTCCATGCAATTATCCCCTACCGAAAATGAAGCCCATAATAACACCAACAGCTATAAATTGACTTTAGCCTCATTCTCAATGCAAAAGCCAGGTCCGAAACAGGGCTTTAATAAAGGTTCTTACATCCGCCCATCATTGCGCCCATCTTGACTGTTAAAACTGTTAGCGAAATTACAGCCCCTCGAAATCGTTCGATGCCGTACGTTTGTCAAAAGTGGACGGGGCCTGGGCGCCGCCATGCTGGATCGGGGCAACGGGAGGCATTGCGAGCAAAGGATAACTGCAAAAGTGCGTAGAGGCGTGAGAATCGCGGGATCGTAGCTTTTTTTTGTCGTCAATCGCTTCTCCTCCACGATGTAAGTGCCAGTTGACGATGCCCCGGTCTGTCCACGACGAGACCCCAGCCGAGACTGCTCGCTGATTGGCCACACGCCGACAAAAGCGGGAGCGGCCAAATGTTGATGCGGCGCATGCTCATCACTGCTAGCGCCCCCCACAGTGCGGAGACTCCGGGCCCCAGCCAGTGCAGAACTGTGTCGACTCATCACGTGAAGCCAGGTCATGAGCCGATTCAGGGCCCCATATGGCCTTTTGCGATGGCCAGGAATCGCCTGGGACTGCCCGATGCGAGCCTGCAAAAACACTCGTCAAGAAATGCCCAAGCCTGCCTCGAGGCCGCGTTGTGGGAGCTGGGCGAGCAGCCTCTGAGACACCGCCGTGCACTGTATCATTTGGCCCCCCAGCGCTTCGACACGCCTAGCCCAGCGCTTAGCGGGCTAGGACGGCCAGACAAGATCCCCAAAGCACCATCCAGAGCACCTTCAGCCCGAGCTTCAACCTCCACGGCTCGCCAGCGTCGTGTGGAATCGCCCAGGATTGCGAGCTTCCGATCATTTCACAGTATGTTTCACATCTGCCGCAGCGCGCACAGGGCCGGCCCAGGGCCAGGGGCTGCACCCCAGCCTCGCTTGGTCGTGCCATGCCAACCCCCAATTGGCGTGCTGGCCAAAGGAGCCACCTCAACAACATGCTGACGATTTTTTGTGACAGCACCGTTGCCAACGACCGTCGAGTCTGATTTTTCTTTCCCAGGCGTCGTTTCTCCCGCCGACCGCAAGCGATAGAGTCTACTTCGTTGTGAGCCGTAGCAAGTGAAATTATTTTTTTTCCCGTTTCACTACGTCACGCGTGGCCCTGGGTGTTTTCTTTTTCTCTCCCCAGCAACAGGAGGCGACTGGCGACGACACACGCTCAACAAGTCCAACGGCGTGTTAAACTCCGCAGCGAGCAGGCGACAAAATCTCATCAAAAAAGACAAGAGGATAATAATACATACGCCGTGCCTTCCCATCGAGCAGAGCGACCACCCTTAAGCCTTACTCATGACTGCCGTCGCGAATCCTCCTACCTTTCCGCAAATCTCCCGGCCGCCATGGGGCACTATTAATGGCAACAATCAGGTGAATACAGAGGATGTGCGAGGAATGTTCATGACCCGCAAGAGTCTGTCGCGAAGCAACTCATCCTCGTCCATTTCCTCCAACGCCTCAAATACCACCGTTGCGACGAACGGCTCACACTCCAATGCCACATCGCTGTCGTCCGCTTCAGATTTGAGCCAGTGGTCGAATGGCAGCGCGAACCGCAAGAGACCCCAACCCAAGAACCCCTGGCCAGCCGGCAAAGAACCAGACTTTTCGAGACTTCCCCAAGGACGGCCCAACGGCATGGGGCCGTCCCACGGCGCCATGCAGCAAGCCGGGCAGGGACAGCCGCAAATGGGACCTCAGGGCATGATGCGACCCATGGGGCCCAGCGAGCAGCCGTTTCCTCCCGGCCAGCCTATGCTGTATCTGCTTTCTCTAAACGGCACATTTGAGCGCAAGACCATCGCCGTACCTTTCGCCCCCGAATCTATACGAATCGGCCGGCAGACGAACCAAAAGACGGTACCGACTGCTACGAATGGCTTCTTCGATAGTAAAGTGCTATCGCGGCAGCATGCCGAAATCTTTGCCGAACGAAACGGTAAAATCTACATCCGAGACGTTAAATCCTCCAACGGCACCTTTGTCAACGGCACTCGATTATCTCAGGAGAATCGCGAATCAGAACCACACGAGCTCCAGACGGCCGACCATCTGGAACTCGGTATTGATATTGTTAGTGAAGACCAAAAGACCGTCGTTCACCACAAGGTTGCCGCAAAGGTCGAACACGCCGGGTTTTTGAATACGTCAAACAACGTCTTGGATATGAACTTTGGAGATTTAGATCCTGCCAACAACGCCATGATGATTCCTGCTGGCGCAATGCAAATGCGGGGACGCGCTGGAAGTAACGTATCTATGGGTGGCAACGGCCGCATGATGGTTAATGGCGGTACTGTAAACGGCCATATGAACGGAATGGCGCAACAACGCTCTTTCTTCCTAACGCCTATTGCTACGGATCAGATTCTGAAGCGTCTTTCAGTGAGTGCTACACCAACTTCACCAGTTCTCTTATTTGCCAACTAACATGGAACCCAGAATGAAATGAGAAGCGCCAAACTCCAGGCCCAAGATTTGAGCCGTACGAATCAGTTCATCAACACCCTTTTGTCAAAAGAGGACCTAAAAGATCTCGAAAAATCAGATGCGCCAGAGCCAACCAAACAACCCCAGACCATGGTTAACGGCAATAACCTCTCCTTCCGAGCAGATCCCAAGGCTCGTTTCTCCGATCCCCCTGCACCACCGCCTCAGCAGCCTCTTCCCGAAAAGCCTGATGTACCGTCCCTTAAGAGAGGTTCGTTGGAAAGGCCAAGGCTAGACTCGGCAAACTCATCGCCGATTCGCCAAGAAAATCTGAACCAGATCATACAGCTCACCGAAGCGCTTAATATGGCGAAGCGAGATATTGATACCCAGACGGCGCGTATGCGTGAACTAGAAATGATGCTGCAAAAGGAGCGAGAGGCACGTGAGCTTGCTGAGGAACTGGCCAGGCGTCTTGAAGAGTCTGCCAATAGTCAGGTCAACGGCGTTGAGTCTCATGACGAGCTTGAGAAAACTCAGGAATTATCGCAGGGAGACATTGCAGACGACTCAAAGACGGTGCTCCCAGAGCTAGAAGAAGTCTCCCCAGCGGACAAGGTTGCCCAGGAGACTGCGGTAGCGCTACAATCTCGCATCGACACTATGGATGAGCAAATGCGAGAGCTGAAAATGCAGATGGAGCAGTGGCGGAGTCGATGTGAAAGTGCCGAGGCAGAACGCGATTCCGGCCGGAAAACTCTCGAAGAAATGGTCATCCAATTGCGTGAAGAGGAGGCCAAGCGCGTTGCGGCCGAGGAACGACGGAGGTCACGCTCAAGATCACTTCGCCGCGACCAAAATGGGGCAGCACAGAAGAGCGCTGCTTCTCCTGCTCCCGAAGCTGCCACGCCGGCAGTAAAACAAGAGAGATCTTTGACTAATTCTAGTCAAGATTCGGCAGACATGCCAAACCTGTCAAGGGCCAATACTATTACGCCTCAAACCTCACCCAGAGGCCCTCTACAGAACCAGCATTTGAGAGCTGGTATCCCCTACGCCTCCATGCTTGGTGTGGTGTTAATTGGCATGGGATTGATGGCATACATTAACGGATGGCAGCCATCCTCGCCTCAAACTGTTGAACGATAAATGTCGAGTTTCCTACAGGCGTTTTCTACAGTGATTTTTTCTTATTTGCAACGCAAGCTTTCTTGCGGTAATCTGCGATGGGTGTCTTTTTGCTGCACAGCATAGCACACACACGACATCAATACTTCATCATTATCAGATGATCACGAGAAAATGGAGGCAATCATGAATAGCACACTCAAAAGAACTGGACCTTTTTTTCTTTTATTTTTTTCCATCTCCTTATAAGTATACTAGGCTAGGTTTACCACTATTGTACCAACGACACACTTTCACTTTCTTTCAACTCTCCTTGTTGTTCTTTTTGTCATACATTTTACAATTCTTCAACGTGAAGACTTCTTTTTTTTTTTTCCTTTTTTCTTCTCTTGTTAAGCAGCAAGCATGCTGTAATGAACGCATACCTTTTTTTAGGGGGGAGATTTGTACTGGCCCGCAGCGGATAAGAACGAAGTACAGCGGAAACGAAGGAGGAATAAGGAGAGGGAGACCAGAGTTCTCGGCCAGAGCGGCATATGGAGTTTTCTTCTTCTTATTTACCATATATCGGTTGCATAGTATGCGGTTAAATGGGGGGCATAATAACAAATTCTATTGTCGATCCGGTCTCTCTGATGTTATGAAGAGAGTAGTATATGAATTATGATTAGATGAATGATGGGTTGCTGCTTTGCTTTATAAACGGGGGGGGGGGGGGGGGGGGGGGGGGGGGGGTGGATGCGAGATATTCTTTCTTTACGATTTATCTATATCTTGGTCGAATAATATTATCTGTGTTTATCCTGTAAGAGATCAACCTTGCATTGTAGACAATTTGACAGTTTAGACATTTGCGACTGTTATCAACTACCCTATTACAGACGAGTGAACTTTGCGGCCACCCGCATAGAATATCCGCACAAGAGCGGGTAGCCGGCCCCACCAAAAATCCGACGCTCTGGGGGAAAAGCATTGGTCCGATCAGCCACGGCGCGAAACATCATGCGATTGCTGGTGATGCAATCGAAAACTTGTTTGTAATAAATATCGAGCCAATGCAACACACGAAACTATCAGTTCAAGAACAAACCAAAGACAAACCCAGTTCTTGCATCCTACACGATCGAGACGAAACAGGCGCTCGCATGAACGATTGAGAGGGAGGACGAGAACCATTGAAAATACCACACAATATACAAAAGACAGACATCATGGGCACGTTTCAAAACAAGACATTTCGCTCCTCGGCCGACGCCAGCAAAATCGGCATGAAGTACCGCGCGCTCATGGCCAAGCACCCGTTCCTGGCCTTTGGCCTGCCCTTTATCGCCGTCATCGTGGCGGGCTCGTTTGTGCTGACGCCGGCGACGGCGATTCGGTACGAGAAGCACGATCGGAGGGTGCGCCAGATGACCAAGGAGGAGGAGCTGAATGTGCGGAGGGGGGCGCGCAAGGTGGACATGAAGGAGGAGTACTATGTGAGTTCTCGATCTTTTTGCTTTTTCTTGGTGGTCCGTTTTTTTGTCTCGCCCTGCATAACGGGCTTGACTATCTGCCAATCTATCTATCTATTCATGCAAGGGAGGAGAGAGGGAGAGACATTATGGAGGGGGAGGCAGAGAAAATTCGCCATATGCAGGGAGAGGCAGAGAACGGTGTACGAAGAAGAAAGAAGCAAAGAAAAAAACATGCGACATTTAAGAGGCTTGAGGCTAATGCAGAGTGACAACAGAGACTTGCCGGGAGAGACCTGGATAACTGGGAGCAGCAGAGAGTCAAGAGACTGCCTGGAGAAAATGATGGCATCCTGTAAAAAAAGCAAGTTGAGACACGGCTCAACATTCACACTTGTGCGTGTCTGTGCCTGTGCCTGTGACGCTCTCGAGGAAGGGATTGCGTGATTTGTTATCAGGCAGAGACATGCATGCAGTGACGTTGCTCAAGCCACAAACAGCAAAATAAAAAAAAAGAAAGAGAAAAGAAAGTTGCAGACTATTGCCCGGCCGCCAGCACGAGGGGGGAAAGCGAAATTACCATCATCATCCATTCACGAATCAAGCAAGAAAAGATCAGATCAGATCACAAAAAAGGGGGAATACGCCACCGATGAGCTCATGGGGGCTATCCAAGCAAAAAGCCTCGAAATCGAATCGATTGGCTACCGAGAGTCTGGTAGAGAAAGAAGCCAGGGCTCTCAGCTCAAGCCTTCTTTCTTGGCACTCATTTCAATTTCTTTTTTTTACTTTATTTTTAACAGCTTCTATTTTTCTTTTTCTTTTCTTTTTTCTTTTTCAGGTCGCCTCAGCGCTCAGCCCTACTCAATATTTGGTTTTTTATAACGCCACTTTCAACCCAGCTCTACCACTATTGCTTTTACTAGGTCATAGTCGACCACCAACCAAAAGAAGCAAGAATCCTTTCGGGACCGTATCTGTTCCGTGTATGCAAGGGCCATGTTGGGCTCAAAAAACCGGTCCCCAACTATTATCACTACTACTAGTCTCTGTTTAACATGGGTCATGGCACGAGGACAAAGGACTGAGTGAGGCCTTGGAACCCCAACGTTGACTCATACGGATCATCAGCAGGGCCACGACTCTAATCAGCGAAAAGGCCTCCAAATTCGTTACTAGTGCCGGGTTGGCAATCACATGGACCATGGTGTCGGTATCATCATCCCATGGGGTTTCGCCCCTGCAGTCTAGCATGGTCGATGTGACTGTGCTGTCCGCCCTACGTAAATGACAGAAGGATGATAGACACTGCGTCGGATCCTGCCAAAATGACTGAGGGGAAGCAAAAAGCCATGGGAGGTAAGCCTATCAGGGCGCTCTCTCCCTACAGGTTGATGGGGAATTCCATCTGTACCCCGGGCCCGAAGACCCGGACACTTATCTGTACCCCGGAGGGCCTGGGCCATGCAGGTTATCTTTTCGTTTTCAACATCCACTGGGCTGAGCTCTTACAAGAGAAGGGATGGGGAAGGGGGGGAGTGTATGATATCGCAACTCTGGAAAATCCGATCTTAGCCAGGGGAAACTAGACAAGAAAAAAGAGACAGCCGTGTACGGTTATAGCATCACTAGTCATCCGTACTACCCACCCGAAACCCCAATCACCTCCGTGCCGTTCCTTTTTATATACCCATTAGCGTGACACGTAAGTGACTGACAGGATGGACAGCACTAGTCTGCGGGCGTCGGATTGACAAAATCACAAGAGTTGAAAAAAAAAGAGGCCTAGCCAGGATTCTTGAGGCTATGGGAGAAATTATGGAGTGCTGACCAGCAAGCAGGGAAGCGTGCCGTGCCGCCAGGGGTGCGGGAGTGCTTGATAGCGTTATTCTAGCAGCACTTGTTAGTACTAAAAATTACTTGGACGATCAGCCCTTTTTCTCTCTTTCTTCCATATTCCATCTCGTTTTGCTCGGAGAATGGGAGGGGGGTGTCAAAAGAGAATTGAAGCGGGCTGTCATCCAAGCTCCCGGTTTGAACGCCGGATGAGATGGAAGACCAAACTCTTCGGGACACGATGCTTCCGGGAATGAGGGCGCCTCTTTTGCTTGACTGATATGTGACACAAACACAAACGTACATGTACACGATAACACGAGTGTACAAGACGGCTAGAGATATGAACACCGGAAATAGATGGGTTACGCAAATCCAAGCCGTCGGGTCCTTTTCAAATCCTCGAAATCAGCTACTCGTACAAAACTTCGGAAATGTGTCAATAAAAAAATCCTTCTGTGCTTGGTGTTGCGTGAAAGTGTGCTTCCGCTTAGGTGGTACGGGCTGTGATTTTGCTGTCATGTGGCTAAGCTGTACCTGCAGGTTGTCTTAAAACCTCTTGGCCAAGTACAAATCCATCTGGAAGTCCCGGGCTTTCCAGTGAGTTGACGGGCGCCGAATCAGGACGTATTCGGCATGGCTTGCTGGACGTTTGATCGTCCCTGTCAGTTTGGAATCTGCTGGTGTTAGTGTTGGTACAATCAGGTTGACAAGTGTATTCTCTTGATCCTTGAAACGAAAGGGCCTAGTCCGAGAGCAGAGCAAGGCTGCATGGATTAGAGCTCGCTCGGCACCCCTTTCAGCCCTGATTATATCTGGCCCATCAAGCAGTAGTAATCCGAAATTTGGAATTACACGTACCTGGCCAGTACTGAGATGGCAGTTGCTAGTGATGTTGCGGAAAAGCTGCTGCCATCAGTTGGAGAAGCTCCAGGGTAGGGAAGCAAGGAGTAGCCATGATGGCATCTGCTTCCAAGGGCCAATGTTGAGAGATGTTTCGATGATACGAGACACCTTTTTTCTTCTGGGATTGTCTCCAAAAGGCATCGTATGATATCCCTGCCAGTGCTCTAACTACATGTCGTAGGTAATGACGAGCAAAACATCAAATCTTGCTCAATGGTGCGGAGAAGCCTGTAAACATTCGGAATACGGATACTGTAAGAGAAACTGCAACGGTAACATCTACCAGAATATTCACTGGTCTTGAGAATTGTGCATTTCGGAGCGGATTTGTAAGAATGCCATGTACGTACATACTTGTATTGGTAATAGGCATGAAGGGGTTGCCACGACTGTAATTCTCTCTTCGATATACTGTCCATTACCGCATATCTAATTCTACCTTTATGTCGTCCACCATTTGCCAACTATAATTAGCTCCTGAAAACATACTGTTCGGCTCTCAGACTGAGTGACCTTTTGACTGATTCATGTGTCCAAACGGTTTCAAATCATCCACATCTCGACTCGCCACTAGTGTCCACGTACAAGCAAGACAAGTTGCGTGCTACCACGACTAGCTTCCCTCGGGACGAAGGCGGCACGCCTTGTGGGCGTTCCATCACGCTCGGCTTCGGGAGAACTAGGACTGAGAGCCTCAGGGCCTGTGGAGCAGCGACAGCCGGGTGGAATGAGAGTTGCGCGCCCATTTGCTCCAGTGCTCATCACTCGCCGGCGGAGCTGTTTGAGCCTTGTGGCCCTCGGATTGAGGCTCCCCGCACAAGAAGGATCTATAATGTAATCCATAAGCAGTACTGAGCAGCGGCAGAGCGGCAGGGCTGGATTAGTATGTGTGTACAAGTACTCGCACGGCATCTGTTGGTCCTCTTGCACTAGCAACGTGAAGCGGAGCCCAGGTCTGACAAATATGAGATTGCTTACCACGGCCGTGGAAGCGACGGGCAGGATGCAATGGTTACGGTAAGAGCATGTGAGAGCTAGTGTATCCAGAGCAGTGGAATCTGGCGTTGATTAGTGACTGCTTTGGCGTCCCAAACTCGAGCATTGCACGGCGTATGATAACGAGGCCGTGGAGTTGGGACTGCCCAACACCAACAGCCTGCATCGAGTGGTGATTTCTGATGAGGCATGCAAGGGTTGCAAAGGCCAGGCCGGGGTGTAGAGCACAGGGCAAGCCATGGCGAGAGTCCAAATGACCAAATATCAAGTGACGGACAAGGGCGAGGGGTCAGAAACGTGGTACCGACGAGGGTAGCATTTTCCACGGTCCCGTGCGCTTGGGACTCAGGGCGTCGGCAGACTTGCGACCAGGTTGTCGGATTCTGCTGCGCCGGTACTTTCGATGCCTACAGACTGCAGCACCGTAGGGGAAGGCAGGGAAAGCATGCGAGGAGCTCTGAACACCAAGCAGCGGCCGGGCGTTGGTGATGCCGCCGAGGGCTTGGGCCAAGTAGCACAGGCGGCGATGGCCTCTGCATCATCCTTGCAGCGGGCTTCCCGAGGCTCCTTTGCGCCAGGACGCCGACAAACATCGGCGACTTGACCATGATCTTAGCATAGAGCGCTGTACGCTGATGGCGATGGCTGCGCAGGGAGTCCAAGACCCGTCGTCGTGTGAGAGCAAGACACGGCTTTGTCATCATGCGACGCAACCACCACGACCTGCACTGCGACTGTATGCATGCATGTTTCTTGCGTGCAGCTCTAGCCTGCGCCGTACCTGCAGCCAACCTGTCCTTGTGACCACACTCGGCAGAGGCTCTACGGCACACACCCAGATAGAGTACAGCATCCTGCATGCTTTATCGGGCAGGTTGGCGGGGGGGCTGAGGGGAAATTGAAACGCAATCTCAGTATCGAGTTGGGGGCGCAATCTCTGGCTGTTGTATGTGCCCAAACATGTCAACTCCAGGTTTGTTGGCTCCCTGCCTCGAGCCCGACCGCCTGGTGCGCGGTGAAGCGTTATATGCATGAATATTGAATCTGCTGCAGCTGACATTTCCAGCTGGTGGATGGGGGGGTGTGGGCAAGGTCATCGGGCATCACGACGATTTCCATATTGGCCATTGCGGCCTGGGCAACACTATTTTCAAGCCCTTTGCAGAGAATCGAGCAAAGACATCAATGCTACGTGGTAAACGGCGTGTAGAGTTGTCGCACTTTGTGTGGAAAGGCCCGACGCGAACGGCAACTTGATAATGCTACTGACGCAGGTCAACTGTTGGCCATGTCTCGGACTGCACGTCTGGCCGTCAGTCACAAACTCGGGCTCCAGTCGTTCGGCGATGATTTGAACATGTTGATCGGCCACTCTAGCATCGTGATACCACAATTTCTCTGCTGCGGTGTGCCTCGTCGAGCAACCAACATGAAGATGGCGCCCACCGCTTGACAGGTGCTACAGTATGATTATGGTTATGGCACCCCGGCGCAAATCCAATTTACTGAGATTGCGGCTGCACGATGCCTGTGCGGCTGATCTGCCCAGGCTGCAGCTGGCTGCAGGAAAAGCAGCAAAGGGTAAAGTGCCTGCCATGGCAGCCTGCTTCCAATCGGAGCTCCCCTTTGAGAGCTTGATTCGCAGATTAGCCATCTTGACAAGATGACTGGTTGCATCCCGAAGCCCTGGGCAAAGGCAAAATCGTGGGGCCGTGGCATCTCAGAAATGGCTCTGCGAACATGACAATAGCACTACCCGAAGGCGTCGGAATTAATTCGTAGATGGGCTCGTACGACAAATCTTCCCGCCCATTACTCCGTTTCGCCCAACTAACACATTTTGACTTTGGCAGCGCAGCCATGGTGCCTGAGAGGCGTTGAGGGGAAGTCGAGGGCAGCGAATGAGCGATCGGGCCAAGCCAAGCCACAAAGCCCCAATACCCCTGTGCTGCTGGACGCCATCGTTCTAAGCGATCCGCCTAAGCCCATAAGTTGCCCTTATCACAGCCGTCACAGCACTCTGGGGCTCGCTTGAAGAGAAGAAGCACTGCCGTTGAGGGGGCAATGAGGGGAGATGAGGAGACGCAAAGGGCAGAGGGCGTAAATGGGACAAAAAATGGGACGTAAATGAAGGCACCTGGATGATGGAGAGCAGCTGATTGGCCCGCGGCTATGTGAAGCTGCATGAAACTGCGTGAACAACAGATCTTCCCCTCGTCCGCCCGCTGCACGATCGGTCTGGAGCCTCAGCCTCAGGGTACCCCGATCGGCAGCTGGGCCACGATTGCGACGGAAGTAGCTGAGCTGCCCTGTCCCAATAGTGCGGAGCCTTGCGCATGCAGCGTTCGATGTATGAGCTGAGTGATGGATTCGGTGTGTTTTTGCGCCCATCTACATGTGCATCATCTCGTGTGGGTTTTTGAAGATGTTCCCTGATTCCAGCAGACAGGCATCAAACAAGCTGGACTCTGGCATCTGGCACTTACACCCAACTCCGAGACAATCCCGCACTTACACGTATCTTGCTATTGCACTCCGCAAAAAACCAGCTTGTAACTATGTGCATTAGCGTATCCAGATGCTAAATGGGTACAGAGGCACTAGCTGCGGCAAGAGTCAGGAAAGGTCCCCGTTGATAAGGCAATAGGGCAGGAACCGACAATGCTCGCCAAGGTACACGATGTGATTTAGCAGGATATAGCAGATGATGTTGGAGCAAAACCAATGCTTAGTAGCCGTACTATTGCTCACGGACGGGAAGAGATTGCGCGATATGACTAAGAAGCAACATCTAAAGCACCTCGCTAAAACACCTCGCAGCCGTGCAATCCCGCCACGATGGACTCACAATCGCCATCATGACCAGTGGCGGCCAATGACAGTCGCCTCTGCACAAACTCCATTCCTATCCATTCCTATCTACTGATGCCGTGCCGTGTCCCGCCGTGTGCAATTAATCGTGCAGCTGACCGCCAGCAGAGAAAAAAGCAATTCTCGTCACAGACGGCGCTGCCAGATGCACGCCGGTGCCTGAACGATCGCTCCAGGGCACGGCACAGAAGAGGGGCACTAGCAGGTTTTTTGACTTTGACGATGCCGCTACCAGCATTCGTCGCAGCTGCTCGTGCCTGAGCCGTCCGGAGCCAAGGCCTCCCTTGCGTTCGCCATTTGCACAGCCAACAGCGTCGCATCGCTCGTCGAGGCCTTTGCTGAGAATCGCGCGCGCAGAGTGCCTCCAGGCCGCTGAAATTACTGCCCGCCAGGTAACTGCAGGACCACCGGGTGCTAGCTCGAGTCTGGATGCGGCTCCTTGCGTGCTGACGGCGAGGATGCTGCTACTTATTGATGTATGCTGTTGCAAGTAGTAAGTATTACCAGTACTGTAGGTCCAGGGCAGAACCAAGTCACACGGCGGGCGTCGTCAACCACGGGCTCAAGGGCACAAACTAGACTCGCCCTGTCAACATGACGTCTACCATATACAGCACGTTTCGCTGGACGGAAGGTTTTGACATGGACGGGGATCCCTAGCAGAGCTGCGACCAGGGCCATCAGCCCACGATTACGAGGTGGTAGCCGTGGTTGGCTTGGCCCGGACCCCAAAGGTGGTTCAGTTGGAGACGCAGGATGCAGATGCAGGGCAGCTTGTTTCGTTTGGTTTGGATCGCCCCAATCAGCGCTCGACTGCGGCTGAAGCAGACGTCAATGCACACACATCTCGACGTGATCTCTGCTTCTTTGCTTTTTGGCACCGCACCGGGCAGCTGGGAAGCCCCAGGACGCTGTTGGACGTGATTCTTGGCCCACGACACAACACAACATGCCATATTGCCTTCCAGACTGGACAAGCCACGCCCTGGATCCGGGTCTTGGCGGTCCCAACGCGCAAAAGTCGTCGGCACAGCCATCGGCTCACGGGTCTCAGTTGGGAGTCATCACCACGGCTAGTTTCGCACTCGGAGTCGCAGTGGAGAAGCCAAGGTTGCGCCCATGGCAGCTTTGCTCAGCAGCCACAGAAAGATACCTGGACCAGAGACGAGAGCCGGCCAAAGCCACCGCCCGGTCCAGGCTCCATCCGATGCCCATGCGAGGCACATGGGCTTTAACAGACCCCGGCATCTACACGCCCGCCAGCCAATCTACACGCCCAAACCCACGCCCAAGCCCACGCCCATGCTCCGACGCCCACGCCTCCGCATCATGATGGATTCACACATATAACACCAGCCCGTCTCCTCGGCACTCCGGATGGTCCTATGCATCGCATTGCTAACCCTCAAACTCGGGCTCGTAGACGCTTGAAAAGACACGATCGGCAGCGTTTGCGTTGATAGCTGCTCTAGACGAATCAACCGCCTCTGATCGCCTGTTTCGCCACCTCCTGCATTTGTGTGCCCGGACACGCCCATCATACGCACGACTACATCATACACAGCACCTCCTCACCTCCTACACTTTATTGGCCCGATCGTTCCGCCTTGGCTGCATGTCCGATTGAGTTTGCCATTTGACCAGCATATATATATTATCAACACCATCGCCATTTTTCTCATCTACTACTACTGTTACTACTACTATACCCCAATCGACTTACACCCGCACTCACCAACTCAACTCACTCATACCCACATCGACACACCAAACCATCTACACAACAACCATCGCCATCATGCCCATCTTCAGCGGCCTTGGCCAGCGACGAGGGTCCAAACCCCGCGAACTGCACATCCGAAAGATTTCATTCTCTGGCTGCTCACTTTCCTCGGCTTCCGACCGGTCATTCTCTTCAGACTCATCATCATCCACTCTGCGCGCACATACGCCTCGTCTGGCAACCAGCTCCGGCACTGCTTCCAGCTTCGACGGACTCTCTATTCACTCAACTTACCCACCCAAGCGACTGCATGACCGGCCATTTATCCTGTCTGATCGGCAACACTTTGAGTCGGCGCCGACATTCTACGACAGCGAAGATGCCGAGAGCAGCGACCTGGAAGCCTCTGAGAGAGACTTTGATGGCGAGGATGAGGATCAGACACAGTTCACCATGGAGTTACCTCATGCCAGCCCTGTGAGCAACCATGACTACGATGCCACAGAAGAGCCACATGATTACTTCTTCATGCACATCACAAGCAGACCGAAGCCAGCAAACCAATCTCGCTGGTCCGACTCTACTATTGCATCCACCATTGCCTCACTGGATGACCTCACTCCTGTGTCAAGCATGTCTGAGCCCACTTCAGCCGCTATTGCCGATGCTGAAGAGGCCGAAGCTGCTGGCGCATCTACCCCTAGCTCATTAACCTCCGCCGCCCCCGTCCCCAAGAGGCCAACATATAAGCCTGTCGACAGCTTTGACGACTACGTCAGGCGCGGGGGCTGGAAGCGAAGAGGCATCGTCTTCAACCGCGAAGACATGGACACTTTTGAATCCCGATGATGCATCGGCATAACACTACAACATCAACCACCATTTCCTATCAGTATCCATCTTCACTTCGTGGCATATATTTTTTATCATTATAAGCGTTTTAACTCCAACATTCAGCGTCTGCACTTTAGCACACTATGCACACAAAGACCTCAGAGTCTACAACATCTCTTTTTGTTTTATTTATTTTGTTTACGGAAAGGATTTCTATGGGATATTTGGCACGGCCTTGGATTATGGCTACACACTAAAGAGAATCAACGTTTGCATCACTGCATTTTCATATCAACGTTTGATATTTGGGACTTTTGGAACGAGGCGACGGCCGGGAAGGGATTGATTGGCATTGGATACCCGAGGGGGGTGGACCCTACAACACCACGACTACCAACTGCAACAATACGTCCATCATTTGAATTTTTTCTTTTTTGTCTACATTTTCATAGCTTAGCTACATACATACTCACAAGGGCAATAGTCCCTGACAAATCATTGCTCTAAATCTATATCAATACAAGAGCATAAACAACCAACGTCATTGATGCCCGCTTCCGCTGTGACTTGAAAAATTTTTTCGCTTTCGCCTTTCTCGTTTTTAGCTTGGCACTCGGTTTGGCTGCCGCCCGGCACGCACATGAGGCTTGGCCTTTCCAGCTGGACAGGGTATCTCGTCGTCATTGACTCTCCACCCCAGCTCTGGGCAAACGGCATATCGGCACATGCCGGCAATAGAGTCAGCGTGCAGTGTGCAGTAAAAAACCACCAAAAAAAAAAGGTACGAGTTGCCGGGCCACGCGACATGCCCCTGGCTAGCTTACGGTTTTTTTTTTTTTTTTTTCCCCAGCCAAGACTTTTTTTTTTTTTTCCAACATCGTGACTTGGACTGGGCGAGGCTCGGCAACACCGCCCCATGTTTGAAGGGGGACCAGGCCGGAAGAAGAGTTAGTATGGGTGGATGTTATTGGACCCCCGGCTAAGAAGGGCGGCGGTGCTATTAATAACAAGGGGGGTGGTGATGGGAATTTGAGAAATTGGGATACGAGATACGAATGGGAGCGTATTAGGTAGCTTGAAAGGATGCTTATCAGCGGGATTGCTTTTGTTGATTTACATTACGTTTTTTTCAACGGCATTGGCTGTAAATAGTATTTGGGTTTTGTGTATAAAGTTATGTGTAAGGTGCTCGTATATACGGATAGTGATTTAGGCTTTTTGGGTTGTCGGATGCCATACGGTGAGTGGTGAATGCCTTGTTATGTAAGTTTGCATCTTGTGGTATTTAGCATCAACGATGGCGTCAAAGTGTTTTCTAACGGAGAAACTTTTGGGACAAGCCCATTTTTTATGGAGATGACAGCTTCTCCAAATTCCAAATTCCCCGTAGCTTTGAGATACGGCTGAGGGGGACCGAAAAACTCTATGGCACGAGTACCTATCTTATGTAACTGAGCTTTTTGGTGAGATTTGAAAGCTTATGTTGCAGCCAACAGGAAACATATGCCGGCATCCGGTAACCTTAAAGAATAACTCCTTTCTTTCTTTCTTTTTTTTTTTTCAGGGGGAGCCGTGGGATTGGGAATGGCACGTTGGGGTTACATTGTTGTGAGCTGAGGGCATGTCCGAGTACGACTTTGCATTATCCCTGGTTAGATGAATCTAGATCTCGTTTCTTTTTTTCTTTTTCCTTCTTTTGACAATTGGAGATCTAGAGATAGTTTCAAGATAGTGCATAGGAGCTAGCAGTCAGTAATTAGACTTTTCGGTCTAGAAGGGTAAAAAAAGACTGCAAAAGCAAAGAAAACGGTTTGATAAAATTTTCTAGTCTCGGCATTCTCAAAGCTTTGACGCCCAGTAGTCTGGATGCTAGACCCCCAAGCTATCTAAAAGCTTCAATCAAAATTTTCTAAAACCAACAAACAGATTTAGTCTGGCCAATCCGAGCGCATTGACAGGAGATTGAGGAGGAGGCTCAGCCCAATCTGCCGGTACCGCCGCTATTTTCTCTTTTTTCCCCCCCTCTCTTTATTTGCTTCAATCTCGAAAAATCTACCCTAAAAAGGTTGGTGAGCATGATGTGAGACCCAGGACCCTGAAGAGCAGCAGGGGTAAAGTGCTTGCTGCTGTACCCCTGTCCAGCTCCACGTGGTGTGAGAGAAGAGAGGATTCCAGTGGGATGGTAACAGAGACCCCCCCGTAATATGTGATGCCGGAGTTTTAAAAATGGGGGGTTATGAATTGAGTGAGACGCGTTGGAATGAGAAGAGAACAGATTACTTGAATGCGCAGGATTACTGAAGGATTAGGCAAGGATGCAGAGAACTCCATGCAAAAATAAGGCAGAGGAATGAGACGTGAGGGCGGTGTGAGTATACACGTACATGTCTGGTTAGTGGACGGACTTTGCCGTGATTGAAGTAGGGCTGAAGATGGACCGCGTAGGGACTGCCCTTGTTTGTGTTTGAGGTTTCAAAATGAGGCGGTGTTTCTCTAAACTTCGTTTTCGCATCAACAAGTTCGTCTCATGTTTTTTTTGAGGCTGTTTGGCCCAATTAGAGTTAGAATGCGTGCACTGACCCAGAGCATTGAGCTTGTTAGCCGAGAGCTGTGGAGTAAGTGAAGCGATATTGTAGCTGTCAAACTCAGGTCTCTGCTAGGCAAAACTAGAGACGCGAGGAGCAATTAGGCGAAAAGTAAGGGCATAGCGGTGTGATTTGATCTCTACGTCATTGTTTCTGGAGATCGCTGGTCCGTGATGCAGGAAAACAGGCTTAGAGACTCCGAACTCGCAGTTGATACTGTTTCAAGCTAAAGTTAAAATATGATCTCATCCATTGCCTTTTTGTACCATCGTCTCGACTTAAAAAGCTTTTATTAGATGAACCTTGGATGTGACACTCGATGTGAAGGACACACGGCCTTTTGCTCGCCTCATTCTCTCTGCAGTTGTATATGACGAGGATAAACACGTTACCGTCATTCAAGATACAATACTTGGTGGCTAGCCGTCTCGATGATAGCAGCCTTTGAATTAATTGATACATCTCCATTGAGTTCTACTAGTACCAAGGCGGATGGCTTGTAATGCTCTTCAATTTATTGATAACGCATATAAAGCATACATGGATTAAGCTTTGGCTCAGCGTCAATCATTCCATAAGCTGTAGAAGCCTTGAGCGAAACCATATCGTGCTTAGTTCGGCTTTTCCCCTCAAACCTCTATTAGCTTAGAAGCTGGCTAGAGAATTTGGCATGCGACAACGGCCGCAACATCCTCCCCATCCAATGAATTGATTACTTTCCTAATTATTCAACTGCTCGTGAAGAATATTCGTTCATGTGGTGATGGCTTTGCTAGTCCAGCATCCAGTGATCTAGTGTCACTGGATGTTACAGTGGCCACATAATCATAATTGGCGAGCATCTCAACGATACATCAAAGCAGACGGCAGCCGTCTCACATTCTCAATACAGTCATGGTGCGGCAAACTGACCAATGAGAAGACATGAGCATTCTCAACTGCTAAAATCCAGCATCTTGCGGCATCTGGCGAGATGGCCGAGTTGGTTATGGCGTCAGGTTAAGGCTACCTTAACAGCAATTCCTGGTGGAGCAATCCGCGTGGGTTCGAGTCCCACTCTCGTCAAGCGTTTATTTTTTTTGCTTCTTTAGATGAGTAGCTCGTTACGAGTTCCGGACACTTTCCTAGGGACATTCACGTTGGCATGCCTACGTAGTGTCTATTCAGTGTTCGCCATATTCCCGAGCCATGTAAAGATCATAATGCGGACTCACACAAAGGTCCGTATAACCTGCTTCTTTCTCGAAACTGTTTCGACGTTTGCACTTTTTGTAGGAGAAAAGTATCTAGTCAGCGTTCGAGACGACAATGTTCGAAACAATTAAACAACTCTGTGGCTTCTGCTTGCGATGCTGAAATAAACTGCTTTGTTGTTATATCAGTGCCCGAGACTCTTAATGCATGTCGAAACCCAATTTCAGTCTACATAACACATTGTTCAATTTTTAAAATTATTGCTACTTTGCGTAGTATTTCGTGATAATTGTATTCGGACTAACATTAAGGAGTCACCAGCTTTAAAGCTCCTGAAATACGCCGTCCCTGATGGAGTGTACAGCAAAGGCTCAAAAGCTGCTGAGAAGCTACTTACTCATTTGCTCTCTCTCTCTTTATGCATGTATATAAAGAAAATTATACAGTAGGCGTATCTCATATCTTTGACTCTATTGCGGCAAGACAAAAAGTAGCTAGTCGGTTGGTCTAATTCAAGCCTTACAGCGAAGTGTCCGAGGTATTAGGGAGCTCTTTACCATCACATGCCACTTTACATCTAGATGTCAACGCCGACCGTAATTGGATACATGTATTCAGCATCTTCAATTTCGTAATTAGCCCAACCCGCAGCCTTGGGACCTGCGATTCCTCGAAAGAGCACTTTCAACTTGGAAGTACAGTGGCGTTGCGAGAACCTATACTTTAAGCAAAAACAGTATCTACGCTGTCTCATCTAAAAGAGCGCGACCAGGGAAATTATAGATATTGGGTGACCTTTCTAAAGAATCTCTTTGCTGCACCACACCAAGCCTGATAGATATTGCCTCTGAATGGTCACTCTTAACAAGTAGAACTACTAGTAGGTCCGGATCCCCAATTCAACATGAGAATTAGCAGAGCGAAGCAACTCTATGTCACTGGCTGGCTAATGTGGATTGATAATGTAGCATGCCACTATACGATGTTTAATAGACATGGGGAATTTTATTGCAGCATCGCATGTGGGAGTTTTCCCTCATAGCAAAGATCAAGCTACCCGCAACAGCGCAGGACAAACAAACTGCCCGTTTTCATGACTTCATACAGCTCAAATCTACCATTCTCGTCCTCAAAAGTCATATAATGCAAACATTGGTATGTAACCCAGTCCTAAACTCAACGCCATTGTGGCTGGTACACTTTGTTCAAGGTAAAGTCTTGTCCAATACATTGTTCAAGAGTGGCCTGAGATCCGCACGAGATGCTTGGTATGCTTAAGAGCGAAACATTTCGTCGTCAACACAAGCAATATTAAACGCTCAAAATATATAAAAAGAAGAAGAATAAAGCAACACAATTACACTTTTCAAAGAAATTTCCCTTTGCAGAGCTCAATGCAGTTTCCATGTATTCAATCCTACATCGTTAGTCATCAGCGAATCTGAGGCTTGGAGCTACAAACGGACAACTGTGGCGCCCCGCAGAATGCCTGTGGCTAGTGCATCGCTGTTCAATGTTTATGCTAGTGTTTTTTTTCCCAAAGCTCACCTTGCAGAATTTCGGCATCAAGGTTTCGGGCCTCTGCATTGCATCTCACCATCCACCTCACTCACTGAGTCGCAAGTCGCGACATCATCGGGCTGCCGTCGACAGCTTGACCAACGCCCTTTTCAGCCTGCATCGCGCGCGTCTGCAATTTACTCGTCTTGTCCTTTGTCTTCTCGCCCGCCATGGCGCCTCTCATCCTGCACAACGTCCCCGACGAAGAATGCTATGTCGGCGAGGACGGCATCAAGAGGCCATATGCCATGATATATCCGTATGGCATCTTCATCTCGCATCTCTCAAAGAACCAACTAACGATTGCCTCTACTCGCTAGACACGAAGGCACAACCAGAACACGGCGGAGCATCGCTGAAACAGGCTCCTTTGGCAAGTCAACAAGACGGTCTCGCTCCAAAACAGGCACGCCCGCCCGCGGCCGAGAGAATCCCACGCTCGCCGCCGCCGACAAGCTCTTCTACGACTGGGTCACGAACCAGTCCAGCGCCAACCCGCCCTCCAACCAGCGCAAGGCCACCGCCGGCGCCGCCTCAGGGGCCCAGGAAGACGCCGTGCCCCAGCGCGCCGCCGTCAAGTCGTCGCCCGTCGAGCTCGTCCTGCGCGGCTACCGCTCGTCGACGCAGCAGTACGCCGCCATCGCCCACTACGAGTCCCTCGCCGGCCTCATCCTCGAAGACTACCCCCGAGAGCCGCCGTCTTCCCAGCGACGGTACAAGTCGGAGCTGCGCGATCCCGCCTTTACGCGCCGCCGCAACCTCTCGGCCGAGGAGCGCGCCCTGGTCAACCGCGCCGATGGCGGCGAGCACTGGGTCAAGGTCACGTTTGCGAGCGCCGAGGCTGGCAATGCTGCCGTCTACTCCAGCCCGCAGAGGATACTGGGCCACCTCGTCTATGCTGAGCCCTACCGGGGACTGGCACCGGCCAAAGACGAGGCCTGCCCGGACATTGAACAGCTGGAAGAGGAGCGATCAAAGAGCGTGCCGAGCTTTGCGCCGCCGAGTTTCGGACAGCCCAAGAGGAAATCGGTGTCGGGTCTTCCCACGACGTTTAACAGCCGTCTTCTCGACCTGTCCCCTGCCGAATCGAGAGAGTCCAGCCAGACCATGAATAGTGCCACCCTGACGAGCATCTCTCACGGCTCAAGCGCCACCATTACCGAACCCCTGCCTTTCGGATTAACAACAAGCATCGAGCCCATGGAAATCGGCCAGGAGGACAGCATATTCTGCCGACGCATCCCCACCGCACGCAAAGCCCGTCTCCTCCCTGCCGAACAAGCCCTCTTACCGCAACAATCCGTCGTGCAGCGCGTCCTCAACGCACTCCCCATCATCAAGTGGTTCTCGGGCAGCATGATTGGCAACGAGGTGCCGCGAACCGAAACCGGCGAGTTTGACTGGGGCCGCGCAAGTCTCTACTGGAAGATTATCTGGTGGCTTGATGCCACGTTTAGTCTGTTTAGAGGCGATGTGTATAGCATTGACAAGGATGACTAAGAGGAGATGTACTGGTTGACGGTGTTATATCTGCGTTTTAGGGTTTTTCTTTTTTATCTTTTTTTTTTTTTGGAGCTCGAAGCTGGATGGGATGTTTTATGATACGAATGGATGGAAAGGATAGACGAAAGCAAAAAGGGAGACATCCAAACAGCGTTTTTTCGTTGATGCCAAAGCAGCAGCGCACATGTTGGACGCGGAGAAGAGAGCAATACAGCTGCATTATTCCGGATCGAGGGAGATTTCTTCTCATCATGAGCATTTTAATAGGGGTACATGGGTATAAATCATGGACTCTTTTTTGTAAGGCGTTCCACTTGGTTGTAACACAATAAGGAGAAAAGGTTGAGATGAGGGGTGGTAATATATGTTAAGACGAAAGCTCTTTTCTTCTTCTTTCTGTAAATGGGAATGCATCCTTGGGATTTTTTGTCTACAGTTTGTTTATACCAGTTTCCTTCTGTGAGACGCCCCGACTCTTTTTTGAATATTGTTGTTTTTTGCTTTGAGACATCTATTTATGCCAAAAAAGAAAATAAGAGAAAAGTAATCCTGTTTGTCCGCCCAAAAAAAGATGATGCATGCTCTTCAAACGATGAGGGAAAAAAAGGTCAATCTAGTAAATCATTTCGTAAAGCCATTCAATCATATGGAGCCGAACACCAAACAATGCCTCTGACACAAGGGAAAAAGAGAAGAGGACGAGAAAAGAGTAGAAAGAGAAGGAGAGAAAGAAAGGAGCTCTATACACCTCAAAGACGCCTCTCCTATGCTGTTTGTGCGGGAGTTGAATCTCTTCAGTAGTCAGGGTTCAACAGCCCCAGTCTGTCCTCTCCTTCTTGCTTGCCATGATCATCTTCTCCGCTGTCATCATCTTCTTCCTCATGCTCATGACTAATTTCACGTTCGGTGAGATCCCCGCTATCATCATCTGAGAGCGTCTGTTCCCTCGCTTCCTCAGAAGACCGTTCTCCATTGCTATGATTGTCCTCATTATAACCGTGGTCGTTACGATCGTGGTCGACATTGTCGTAATCACGATGCTCTTCTTCTGCTTCTAGTCTCCTTTCGTGCTCCTCTTCTTCTTCTTCTTCTTCTTCTTCTTCGTCTTCATCTTCTTCGCCGATTCTCTCGCTCAACGGTGGAAACATGCCGTCTTGCAGACTAAGAGACGGAGAGCTTACAAGATTATCCAACAAGTCAAACGTCACATCTGTAGGCGCCCGCCGAATCGGCTGTGGCGAAAAGGGGCGAGCGTTCCGCGGCTTGTTAAAGTCAACCGAGAAGACGCTCTCGGAGTCAGCACTCTGCGGTTTAGCATCTGCGGCCGTGGCAGCAAGCGACTGGTATCGTTCCCCGTCGGTCAGCAAGCTCTCGCTTCTCGGCTCGGACGCCGTGTCGGCCAAGATGCTCTTTGGCGGCAGGATAGAGAAGAGCTTAACCCCTTCGCCGCCACTCGTGCCGGCACCGTGGAAGGGGTCGTCCTCAATGGCGAACAGGTCCTGGCCCTTTTCCAAGACGTCGTCCAAGCCGCCGCCACTCCAGCCCTTCCTGGCCAAGCTCTCGAATATGTCCACCTCGGCTCGCACAAGGCTACAGCTCGCATCGACTATCCGGCCGCTCGTCTCTTGGCTCTCTCGCAACAAGGTCCTCGCATGGTCCGAATGCAGGCTTGTCAGCCCATCGAGCTTGTAGGTCAACTCCACAAGATGGGCTCTGAACCGCGCCACATCCCTGCGTCTCTGCTTATGCAGCTTCAGGCCCTCCTTCTCCAGGCGCTTAACCTCTCTGCTCTGGGCCTTGATGTTGTGCTGATACGTCTCCTCCTCGTCACCAATGACGGTTTGCCACTTATCGAGCTCGTGTAGCAGCGGCACTTCGAAGGAGCGGTAGACGGTCTCGGAGAGGATCTGCTGGTGGTTGGCAATCAGGTGGTGCACGCCCGACGCAGACATGAGGGTATCGGCGGTACATTGGCCCTTTGTCGTGAAGCTGGCCGTCATATTGGCAGTCCCGGCAGGGCCAATGGGCTCGGAGCGAGCCTCCTTGAGTCTCGCACATGCTTCCAGCGCAGAGCCAAAGGTGGAGGCGGCCGTCGAGAGAGCCGCGAGAGCAACCCGGTACGCCTTGGCCGACGTCAGGAGACCGGCATAGGCCTCCTGCGACCGCTCGAGATCTGCCTTTGTTATGACAGAGTGCAGCGGGCGGGGCGGAGGCGGCAGAGGCAGGTTGTACTGGGAGAGCGGGAGGGCGGTAGAGGCGAGAGAGTAGACGGGAGATTCTGGCATGGGCGGCAGTTGGGAGGTCGCAGGACTGGAGGGACGAGAAACGGTGGGAGTCGCCATGCTTTGCGGGAGAGGGTGGATGAATCGGCTTTTGAGAATAAACAACAGAAAAGAGAGTGCCTTGGCCGATGGCAGCGATGAGAAATGTCTCTATTCTCGTTGGGCCGTATCCCAGTGGCCGGCTCGGCTCTGTCTGGGAAAGTCTGGTGTTGCAGATTGATAAGAGGCAAGGCGGGAAGAGATAAAAGATAGAGATAAAAAAACAATGGCCAGCCACACGCACAGCCCACGCTACACAGACAAGCTTCAGATCAAGCGCACGGCGCTGCAGATTTTCGACAGAACAGGCGCACGACCAACTGGAGAGCACATGGCAGAGCAGAGAGAGAAGTCGAGAGTCATGCCATCTAATAATTGGTGCACTTGTCAGAAATGCCATGGGGACGGGGTTATGTTATGCCAGGCAGAACTGTGCTGTGCTGTGCGGTGCTGTGCGGTATGGCTCTCCGCTGTATTCCTGCCGATTAGGTACCTACTGGCTGGTGATTCGGGCAGTTATTGGCCTCTTCCCCCACAGCTCAACGGGCCACAGCGTCCCCCAAGCCTTGCAGCGTCCCATCCTGCAGCGTGATCCGTTGGCGCAATGCCCGCCGTGCCGCCGTGGCCATCCATAAGCCGCCACGCATGACACCTGACGTCAATGCAGAAGGCATTGCCCTTATCTTGGTCCTTTTTGTCGCCTATTTCTGCTCAGCGCCTGTTTCTTCATCGCTCCCTTGTGATGCGGGTAGAGCAGCCGATGCAGGCAGCCTTGTTGGGGGGGTGACGTGGTGTTAGGGGCATATGCAAGGCCACGAACACCGAACTAGAGTCCTTTCTGTTTAGCTACAGGCACCTGTAGGCCATGGCAGCGGTCATTGAAGATTTGCAGCTCCTTCTAGCCAGAGATTCAACACGCTGACCAGTATCGAACGGCCATGAAACGGAGTCTGGAAGCTTTGATTGTCTGCATGGCCTACAACGTTAGTGATCAATCTGTCTGCCAGCGGATCACCCCCATAGCACTAGTTCTAGTGGCGCAATGGCCCTATGTCTGGTTTCTTGCATTTGGACCGGCCTAAGCGCCGCTTGAACACGTCCCTCAGTTTCCACTCTTTGGCTTCAACTCCACAGCCCGTGGCATCTTGAAACCGTCCGCATTGCTTGGCGTTTAGCAATACAAACAAACATGGGTTTCCCAACATCAAATCCTACATCTGTAGATTGTGAACCTGCCCATCAAGCATCACCAAGTCAATAAAAGCTACAGCAGCCTTTCTTCAATAAACGCTTCCACATCGTCCAGCTCGTCCTCGCAAGTCTCATGACCCAGTCGGCTGCCCACCACCACCAGTTAGCATGGCCGACTATAATAGTCTTGAGATTTGATGTTTAAACGTTGAGAGGAAACTAGGCGATCAAAAGAACTCACCCGTACACATTCCAAGAAACTGAAAGTCCCATCGCCGTCAGAGCCTCTCGGCTCTTCTTGGCAAATCCCACCGGCACCAACCGGTCATCCACGCCATGGCCCTGAAATATGGGAGTTTCCTTGTTTGGATTTTCTTCAGGGACGTATTCCATGATTTTTTGAGCTAATGGCAGCCATGCCGAAAGCAAAATAATGCCAGCAAGAGGCTGCGAATAGGTCAGGCCAGCAGCCGCGGCAATCACTCCGCCTTGGGAAAACCCGGCAAGCATGATGCGCTCGGATGGGATTCCGGCGCTGGTTTCTTCTTCGATTAGGCTGTGGATGTAATCCCTACTGGCGAAAATACCATCCACGTCTTCATCCGTCTGGAGCGCATCTGGCAAGCCATCGTAAACTTTCTACAGCACTGATTAGCACGGTCAGTAATCGGGAGCGGGTCGCCTACAATATCAAACCATGCCGCCATATATGCGCTCGCTTTCTACGTTCCTATTAGCCCACATTGAAGCTCAAATCAACATGTAAAGTGGAACAATACCGCTGTAAACGGGATTATCGGTGCGTGCGGCAACACAAATTTAATGTTATCAACCTGGCCATTGCTCCTCCACTGGTTGATGGGCTCGTGCAGTGTTTCTGGCTTGTCGCCTAGACCGTGGATGAAGATGATGGTTGCCGTGTGCTCAGCCAAAGGCTCGATCACGTCGGGGCCTGGCCGGACAGAAATGGAAATATCCTTATCCATGGTTTTTCTCGAGTATTGCAGTCTCACTATTCCGTTTGGATGCGAATTGGGTGAGGCCTGCTTGTTGCTGTTGCGCACTAATGTTACAACACCAATATTATACTATCAAGACTACCGAAACAAGGAATTAGAGGGAGAGCATTTCAGCGATTGGCACTCCTCCCTTATTTATATCGCATCTTTCAATGCCAGTTGGCGTCAACTCCTCATCCATTGTCTCAGACAGCCTCGTTATTCCGCATGACAACCGCCAATCAAGGCTGTGCAGGGTAACTCCCTTGCAGCCAAACGCCCTTGCATAGATGTTCGCTGGCAAGCGATTCGTGCTATCCCACGAGCGACAGAGCCTTGGCTTTCTAGCTCATTAGTTCCTTGGATTTGCTTGGTCGAATTGTCCGAGGAAGCATGTTGTAGAGACATGCACTCCTTCTAATGATGACCATGGATGCATACGACTGGTGGTTGTACTACACAGCTGACGAGACGCATGTGAATATGACAAAGAGAATCAACCAAGAGGGTACAATCTCTTCAGACGTTCTTGTACAAGGTACGCTCTAGGTACAAGTACATTCTACCGTCTGTGCTGGAAGCCCACTGGCCTGAGCTCCCACCTCCCCATCATCACAGCAATCCATCATGAAGATGCATGCACCCCTCGACGAGCATCACTCTCGTTTCGATTACAGTCTCTGCCAAACAGCCTCGAAGAGCAAAATCACAAACCGCACATATCACGCATCATCAACTCAACACTTCCCACGACCCTGCTTATGCAAATGCCCTCATGATATCCCAAAAGCAATTCAATTAAACATGCTATTGCATCCCACTCATATCCGTGAAAATAAGGAAGGAAAAAAAAGCGAAAAAAATGTACACAAGCGATATCAATTCCTTCACCCATCGCTTTCAACCCCTCCCCTCTTCTCCGTCCAATTTCATTCCCCCGGATATTCCCTTTCCCAAATTCAAAAAACGCCGTCGAGAACGTGTAGACATTTTCTTTATGCTGAGCCGACGAGGAGGCCGTTGAGAGGAATGTGTACTGCAAAATTGTACGTTAGCTTTTATTTAACAAAAAAGAACCATCGGTACAGAGGAGAGGGAACAAAAACGCACTCAGCTTGACGACGAATCCAACTGCGCCCATGACGCCGAAGCCGATGCCAACAGCCTGGCACAGCTTAAGAAACTCCTTCTGGTCGGCTAAAGGAAGAAAAACAAGCCGCATTAGTATAAACGCGTCCAAGGGAAGGAGGAAAGTATCTCGTACGCTTCTGGCAGCGGTTGATGAACTGCACGCCGTCCTTGAAGAACTCGCGGGGAACATCAAGGATCTCTTCGACTTGATCGGCCATTGTGACGATTGTTGTGGGAGTAAAAGGCGCGAAGAAAAAAGGATCAATGCAATTGGCAAAGGAGTCGCGTGAGTTGAAGAAAGCAAGAGAGAGAAGAGAAGGGATTCAGGTGTCGCAACAGGATTGGCGAGTGAAATAAGTGGGAAAGCTGCGCTGTGCCTGGAGTAGTGGCCAGCATTTCTTCTGGTAAAATGCCACCTCGCCTCAAATTGCGTGGGGAAGGGTTCGGCCGAGGTTCTCCCGGCTGTAAGCTACTACCTACCTAGGTACCTATCTAGACCCTTCTACCCTTTTACTTGGTGAGACGACCATCCAAACATTCTTGTGAGAACAATTCTATGATTTTTTCTTTCTTTCTTTCTTTTTTTAAAAGATCATTCGTTTTCAAAATAAAATGTATACTAAATGGCAGATAATTTCCTGAAATCATATGGCATTTTAGTCATCTTGAATACGAACTGAAATTAGCCAAGCGCCTTCATCAAAGGATAGGCACCACAACCCCAAAGAACAGGCCAAAATAGAAACACTGTAAAGTAGCATGAATTACCGCCCTTACCAACGCTGCCCATGCAATTATATACTAGGTACCTAGTATTTATATACCTACCCAGAAACAAAACAAAAAAATACCTTCTAAAGCTGTATAATAGCCCATACAACGCCAAACAATGCATACAACTCCAACCAATATTGTATAAACCAAAAAGGCAACGCTTTGCACACACAAAAACGCCATCTGACCTGGTCCATTGTAAGAACAAGCAAGTTATCCCCACTGTCCAAGAGGAAGAACCCTCACGGAGGAATACCCCTCTAGCATATTCCACCCCTTATCCTTCTCCAAATCCTTTGGCCCGCAATTCCACGAACACGCTCGATAAAGAAAAGGCACTGCAATCTCGCTCTTGTCAGTGGAATACGTCCACGTGCTGATAATCTCGTAATCTTCTCCCGCGTTGCCCCTGATTTGGCTGGTCCTTAGTTCTCGCCATTCGATCCATTGCATTGGGGGTACAATCAGCGTCTTTCGGCAGTTTGAGCAAACCAGACCACCCATGTCTTTCTGCGAAGAGGCTCGTCGTAGCAACTTTCGAAGGTGCTCAGGTCCTTCTGGCATGTAAGACTCGAGGTCAGGAAGTTGGCTGCTGCGGTAGCAGCTCCGCAGAGCCATCTCGAGTAAGCTGGGCACGGCACTCGGCTTCGTCGCTTGCTTTCGGAAATTCGTCGATGCCGGTGGGGAGTATGTGGCTGCGAGGCCGATCCTGTTACTTGCTACCTCCACAGGTAGCACTGGTATTTCCGAATCCAACGCAGTACGAAATTCTGAGAGAAGCTGGCCCCTGGAATCACAAAATTGCACCGGGCTTCGGCCAAGCCACCGGCTCAGGTATCGCGGGACTTCACACATCGCCACTGGCCGTTCATATCTGTACAGGATTTTTGGGGCAGGGCATAGAAAAGCCTCGTCATTGTCCTCAGCTATGGGCTCTAGAATGGACTCTAGAGACTCTATGCAGCCTTGTGGTTGGATGAGTGGATTGGCAAGCAGGTTCAGCTCGGAGAGCTGACCTCCATATTGCAATAAATCAAGCAACTCGGCAGGCAGGTGCGAGAAATTGTTGTGAGACAAATTGAGCTGCTTCAGGTTGCGCAGCTTGCAAATCGCGGGGGGCAGTTCCGTAAGTTGGTTTCCACGAAGACTGAGAACCACAAGATGTGTGAGGTCAAAGAGGCTGCCGGGCAATCGTGATAGCCTGTTTTTCGCAAGGAACAGCTTCAGCTCGGGCTCCCTTGGCACAAAGGCCACATCCTTGGCCACATCTGGTATGTTGGCAACTTGGCCCAGACGTTCAATGGTGCCATCGGAGATCTCTTCTAGTCCCATGGACCACAGATCAACCGATTCAACACCCCTGTCAATGCACTCCTCAATCTTCCGCCTGGCCGCCATCTCAGCGTACGACAAACGGATCGGTTGCAGCCTTGGCCGACTTGGAATCTTCAGGCAGTCCAAGTCACTGCCGCAATCTGCATCCGTGGTGACATCGCTGCCCAGAAAAACGCCGCTGTCATAGTCCCTTGTCAGTGTGCGTCTTGTCTGCTGCAGTGTGTTGGGTGCGTTGCCGTCTGTCGCAGGGTGCTGCTGAAACCAGGTCCCAACATAGCGCTTCTTCGGCCGCCCTTCTACATAATTGTCCAATCCCGGGTCGTCATCACTAGAGAAGACTGCGGGATCACTAGAATTGAACAGCAGCGGCGATGAATACCCGGTTTGATAGTTATTACGGCCACGCTTGCGGGGGTTGAAAGAGAAGCTCTGATATTGCTCGTCCCACGATACGGCGGGAAGCTGAGGCAACGACGGCTCGTCAGACATTTGGATGTTTAAGCACCAAGGGGTGAATCAAAACTTTGGTCTTAAACGGGAAAGTTGAAAAAGGGAGAACCTGACATCGTGTAGCAGCGGTAGACGCGGTCAACGCGTGTAAGTAAATAACATGCAGCGCTTAGCAAGAAAAGCCCCACGCCGTCAACTCCACAGTCCTGTCGCGTGTGCTGGTAGTATTGATGGCCTTTTGGAGAGGAGAATATGCCAATGTAACGGGATCGTTCGGTATATGTGGCGAAAGCTTTGTTTTTGTAAAAACCCGGACAGCTTGGTCTTTCTATATTTCCTGTTCTGATTTCATCTTTATATGTTTACTGCGATCCTTGTTTATATACTCTGGTGCGTTCGCTCATAGTTTAAGCTTTCGCTCTGGACAAGAGTCAATTGAAGAAAGAGCGGCTCGACTAGCAGCTGGAACAGCTTTCTTTCTTGAAATTGCCCAGACAGCTTGGTTTTGTTCATGTCTCCTTTTCTTATGAACCCTTTCTTGTTTACTGTGTTACCTTGTCACTTGTAAACTTCTATTTTAGCTTTGCGCTGGGCAAAAAGACTTGAAGTGGCGATTCGACGACTAGCAGCTGGACCCTGGCCCCCGCATTTTTTTTCAAGCGGCATGAAGTGCTAGTGCCATCGGTGTCAGGGGTAGCAGCGTGTCCATAGATGCCAAAGTGCTGTGAATTTCAGTCCCTGGTAGGAGTATAGGAGCTAATGTGCCGAGAGAAATAGAGTTGCATGAAAGTTGCTTCTCGCAAGACTGGGGATGAGGGTAGAGTTAAGAATAAAGTTTGAGATAGAGTATGTAAAATAAGAGGCACAATGTGTAAATAGTTTTGCGAATGAAGTCTACAGCTCTCCGTTGAGCTTACTTTCGCATCCGTGATAGACCTTGCTTCGTATGCAACGTGTTTTATGGCTTTCAAAAGAGCCCTCTGCAGCTTTTGATTACGGAGGAGCGTCGAGATGAGCTAAAGATTGAAACTTGTTTCTCAGTCCCAGTCATCATCATCGGAGTCAACCTGTGCTCGCCCAATGTTACTTGTCTTTATAGTTTTGCCGCCGGCTAATCGCTCCTCTTCGGCCTCTTCCGCAGCTCTCCTCCTCTTGACTACTCGCATATCCGAGTTGGGCACGGCGCCAACCTCGACAAGTATGTCGTCGATATGTCTCATATTGGTCCGAACGCCTCCCAAGGTCAAGAGGGTTACAACTTGCTTTACAATATCGCCCTTGCTGTACACCAAGATTGTAGGGCAGTTTCGGTCCGGGTAGTTTTCGATGGCTTGATTAGCTCTGATTTCGCAGAACTTGACATCGCCATACTCCTTTGCAGCTTGCCTCCACAGGTCTGATAGAACTCTGGATTCCACATTCGTAGCCCCTGAGGCTGATGTGAGGTTCACAAAGACGGGGCCGTGGTTGGATGCTTCTGTGATTTCGCGCTGATAATCGGGCTTCGATATGGGGTATACGGAGCCATGGATGGATTTTTGTTGCAGATTGCTTAGCTCGGCCATGCGCTTCTGGCGGTACTGTTCTAGAAAGTCGTCGTCTTCGTCGTCTTCCAGCTCGTCAAGCTCGTCCAGCTCTTTTCCCTCAAGTCGATTCTCATGTGCAAGCCTTCTCGCCTCCAGGATGGCTTCCTCAATCATGGGAGTAGGGCTGGGAGGTTTCTCGGGGATAACGCCATGCTTGCGCAGAATGTCATTCCTATGGAGGGGTCAGAGTTGCGCATCAACCAAGATCGCGGGGCAGCTTGCCATTCGGTATCGGCATTGGGGTCGTCGATTGGAACCGCAATTCTTTGTTCTGAAGGCGCAGCCATGGTGAGCCGATAGCTAGACACAGGTGCTTGGAACAGCTATTGGAAAAAAATGTTGTTTGAAGAATGTCAAACGAGTCTAGATAGCTGCGCGCAGCAGAGTAGTACGTAGTAGCTTCATAGCATCATCCGTAGCGGGCGTCGTGGGGGCCGCGCAAATCTCTAGGCAGACAGAAATAGCAGCCATCTTTTTGGCTGCCTATGAGCCCAGAACCGCCCAGAATCGCCCACATAGCTCTGCTATGCGCACACAAACGGTGCATAAGCCCCCATCTTTCCCTAGTCGCCGATTCACAATTTTTAGCGCGATGGAGCTGCTCCAGCTTGGCCCAATCACCGGGCGGCAAATTCTTATCACGTGTGCGTGAGCGACCAAACCCTATCACGCTATTCTGTTTTGGACACAAATTTTGAGTTGCCAGCGAAGGAGAATCGCCCCCTCAGTGTGCACCGAACTTTTCCTCGCTTAACTCCTCTCACTCCAGCTTGCGAGCCTCAAATCCGTCGCCAGATTTCGTCAAGTACTCGACCCTCGCAAGACCTCCGACGGCATATTTTTGTTCGAGATATAATCAGTCAAGATGGTAAGCGACAATTGTCTTTCACTACCTCTGGAGGATGGAACCTATGCGATGCTATGGGAACACGGGAATGGCGGAGGAATCGATGATGCGTCACCTGAGGGCATCAAAACTTTTTTTTCGGGTCGAAACTATCGAGAGAATTTACGTTGAACGGCATCGATGACAAGATGGAAGAAATGATGGATGATGGATACGAGAAGATGCAAATTGGAAGACAGAATTGCTGACCAAATTTTGCCTCAGGTTCTCGCTGTTGACCTTCTCAACCCTTCAGCGGCCGCTGAGGCCAAGAAGCACAAGCTCAAGGTACGAATCGAATACGAAGTCATCGTCAGCACGAAATGACCATCGATATCTAACATTGATCCGTCTCTCTAGACCCTTGTTCCCCAGCCCCGATCCTTCTTCATGGACGTCAAGTGCCCCGGCTGCTTCACCATCACCACCGTTTTCTCTCACGCCCAGACCGTTGTCATCTGCCAGGGATGCACCACTGTTCTGTGCCAGCCCACCGGTGGTAAGGCCAGATTAACCGAGGGATGCTCTTTCCGAAGAAAGTAAACTGCCCGCGGGGTGGTTTTCTTTCCTTGGGTACTCATGACTCTTATGGCTATATGGTGGTGATCATCTCGGATCTGCAAAACAAAACATTCATCGGCGTGGGGGATTAGACAACATTACCTTGCGACTTTAATCGAAATCTCTTTGCGGATAGAAGATGGAACACCCAACACAGGGGCGTTTGGGGGTCTCCGGATATCTTGCATGGCACATCATTCTTCTCGTTTTTCCGTTTACGCGCCTTGTACCACAGAGTCGAATTCTTGAGGCAGGAACAAAAAAATAAAAGCACTGCATTGGGTGTTCAGCTGGAGAAAGCATTCACATGAGTGTCTAGATGGATCTTTGGATGAACTGACTAGGCGCGATGACGTGGAACCGCTGATTTTGAGGATCGCTTCATACCCGGGGTGCAGTGGGTAGCGGAGGATAGCACTGTGCTTTTGCGAAATTCAAAGGTTTCCACGAATATTGCCGCCTTTGTCGCCCAATGTGATTCCTGTGATGTGGCATGTTACGGCTAGCTGTCCAAGTCTGGAGTGTATGCCTCTTAAAAGACGTGCAATGGACCATTTCCGTAAATCAACTTGATGTATAAAATTTCCTCGAGCATATCGTCTGCATGAACGACAGTGATTACCTGTTTTACTAATTTCCACTCCGGTTTATGGCTTGGCAGCCCAATCGTGCATACAACGCTACAGCAGTGACGCAATTGATTATCTAACTGTCGAGTCCAATATACACACCAGTGGTCAAAGGATCTGCAGATAGCACGGTGATGCAACATGTTAACTAGGCACTTTTCCTATTTGTACAACATCTCTCAGACTTGGTAGAAGTCATGAGCAATTAGCTCGACAGATGATTTGCTTGATACTCTTGATGCGGCTTTGTAGAACGCAACAGCATGTAGAAATATGTATTATTGAAGCCTACACTAGTGTAGATTGATATCCGATATGTAGGTATAAAAGCAATAACCCGCCCTTTAAATCCAAAGACCCCATTAACATTATGTGTATTAATTGTCATCGTCAGGTCGTAGTGTCATATCCATCGTAAGATATAGCTCTTTTTAAAGAAAATGTAGTTTCGTCTCATAGCGGTAGCGTGCACGCTTAGTCCTTCTGCAGACCTATAGCAAAATCAAGTTTTCATTAGCAAAATAACTTCAAGAGGTATGGGAATTCAAAATGAGAGTTCGCCTTACTAGCAGACGGAAGAGCAATAAGTGGTCTATGTTCCCCGACAACTGTCCCTTGTTCCACACGTTGTTCTTTTAGCTGTTCCTTTTTCTTCTTTGGCCGTCCTGGCCTCGGCCCGTCTCGAACATGTATCTCCAAAATCGTCGGATTGTTCAGATCGAGGCCTCGTTCAATCGCCCGGTCCATGATGTTGTGAACGGTTCTGGGGTGGATCCCCGTTAGCCGCTGGATATCCTGGTTCGAGACGCCAAGCAGCTTGAGGGTTAGAGCCTGAGCCCTTGTTGCGATGTCGTGAGCCGGCATGACTCTATGTTATTTTTTTTTTATTTTTTCTTCAAATTTTGTTTTTCGTTCAACAAGATTGTGAAGTTTTAATTTGTCCAAGTTCCCAAGTTCTAGAAGCGATGCGTAGAAAAGAACATGTCCGTTCCATATCTATGTCGCAGCACGCCATGCCATGCATCTTACATACGCCCTGCTTCCTTCGTCTGACGACCCGCCGCCAATGGATATAAGCTGCATTTCTGCTTTTGTGCAGTAGATGACTAACAAAAAGGTTTCGAACGGGACGCCGTACTGTGCGAGTATATACCTTTACTGTACAATTAAAAAAAACCACTTTACGCGAAAAAGTCGCGCCACGACGCGCCTCAAGCTCCAGCCCCAAGAAACCCAAGAAAGGCCAAGCCCCACCCAGCTGCACCTCCACAGGGCCCTTAGTCAAAAGCTGTCCAAATCTCGTTACCCCAGCGATTTCCTCCCACTTCCTTCTATTTTGCTCCAAAAACATTCCCCCCCCAACCCAAAACTCCCCTTTTCTTTTGTCATATAAAAAAAAAAAACAAGGAAAAATACCAAACAAAAGAACACTCTCCACTCCAATCTTGCTGCACAATTGATTGCTTGTGCCCAACACTTTGACGAAAGCGGAAGCTTGTTTTTTTTCCCCCGTTTATTGAGCCCCGGAATTGGGAACATCCTTCCGGCTGCCGCAGTGAGACAAGAAGTTGAGACCCTTGTCTTGGAATTTGTTCGAAAACGACGCAACGTCATCTTCGTCGTTTGCCGGCTTTGAATTGCCCGCCACCTCCTCGACAACCACCTTTTCCTCTGCGCTTCAATATACCGCACCATCGCCATCTTTCTTCATCATCACTCATTCTCGCTCATCATCATCACCCGCCCGTCATGTCGACCCCCCGCAATAAGCGCCAATTCGCCGGCGCTGCAGCCGATCCCGCCCAGCGCCAAATCACATCCTTCTTCGCTGCTCAATCGCCCAACAGCTCACCTCCAGCTGCCGCTGACGCCTCCTCTCTGCGAGCCCCGTTGCCCGCCAACGTCCAGGCAAACCTCCTCAGCGTCGGCATGCGGGTCCGCAAGTCCGTGCCCGAAGGCTACAAGACCACCGGCACCAGCGCCTTCAAGCTGTGGACGGACAGCACTCGACCCGGCGAGGTGAAGGCGTCGTCGCAAATGACGTCGACGGGGAAGCCCGCATCAGCAGTATCAAGAGAACTATTGCCGTTCTGTGGCATCAACAAAGTCGGTGGATTGGATACGCAGCCCGAATTCATCTACGATGACGGTGATATCGAGATCCCCGCTCTGGACGAGATTCCCGAGCTGAGCATGTCGCAAGAAAGCACCGATAGCGTCGAGAACGGGCTTTCGAGGAAGCGATTCTACGATGAGCAGGATGACCTGCAGGTCCAGAACTGGGATGGAGACGACGCCGGCAGCTACAGGGCTATTGCTGTCCCGCACTCTCGGATCAAGAAGAGCTCTGTGTTCAAAGGCATCGACCAGGAGAATATGGCAGTCGACGGCGATGAAGATTTCGAGGATGCTAGCTTCCTGGGATTTCAAGGAGGAAGGGCCATGGATATGGCTTTTTAGAGCAGATTATCTGCGAAAGTGTCGTTGGGACTCAATTGTACCAAGAAGTTTGTAATTGCACAGGGGGATGGACTTTGGCGTATCGGCGTTATTCAAGGCACAGTTTATATTGACCGCTCAAACAGGGAGGCCGTCAAATTTTTTTTGTACATGGCTTAGCAGGGCAAGATGAGCCAGGGGCTGGTTTGTACGATGGGTTGTATCATCATCGGTATTGGGGTGTATAGTATTACCTCGAAGTGGCACATACATAACATGTGCTTATTAAATACAAGGAATTTACAATTATCTACATTTACATACCAACAAAAGGCCCTCGGAATTCGAGCAGGTCTCGTTGGCCATAAAACTCACCAGCAACTGTGAGGATCATGGTCAGGGTTGCTCTCATGTTCATCCTCGCATCCCTTCTTTCTTCTTCCTGGCGACGGTCGTTTTCGCTTTCGGCCAGTCTGGCTAGGAGATTGCGCTTGGCTTCCTCCAGAGCCGCAGCATCGTCATTTTGCTCGACAATCTCACCCTCGTCAGCTTCAGAATCGGAGGCGATATCCATCGCTACATCTTCATCCTCGCTATCGTCGCTTGTCTCCTTGATCTCCCCATCGTCTTCATCTTCGGCGCCTTGTCCAATTGGTACCTCGTTTTCAATTTGAGAGATGATGACAGGAGCTGGAGAAGATGAGTTCAAGACTACATTTTCGGCTGTCCTGTTTCCAGTCGCTGGAAGAGTGTCGTGCTCTTCATTGTCGTCTTCTTGTTCATCTTCAACAGCCTCTGCTACCACTTCTTCATCGCTACTGCTGGCATCGACATTATCGTTCACGCCAAATCCATCATCCGCAAGTTCATCTCGCAGGGCAGCCATCTCCGCTAGACTCCTCCCCAGAAGCACTGCTCGTCGGCCCAAGTCACGTATCCAGCCCACTTCCGTGTGGTTAAGCTCGCCCAGCTCAGGCAGCCTGGCAAGTAAAGCCCAGAGCCATTGACTTGTCCTCTGAGGGATGCTGTGCCCACTACGAAGGAATTTGCCGCCTATCATTACGCGCAAGATCCGTATGATGGTATCTTTGGACATGAGGGCCACTTGGAGAGGATGAGGGTCGGTAGTTTGTAGGAGCCGGGTCCACAGCCGAGTAGTGGGAGAATGGCGCCCAAAGGGAGCTGCTTCTGTAGCCTGGGAAGCAGACAGCCGGCTGGCAGCATTATCGGGTAGTTTTGAATCAAGTATTTCGCGAGTGCGACGATACTGCCCCAGTATGGAGGCATAATATGCTTCATTAAGTGCCTTCTGAACAATAGCAGGGTCCTCTTCATCAGGGTTCTCGCCTTGCTCGGCATCGTCGTCTCCCCATCCTTCTGATATGCCTATATAAGCGCCATCTTCGTAAAATCCTTTGGAGTCAGGTGCGGTAGGGACATCATGAGCATCGAATCCTTGGGCGATGTCACCCTCTTCGTCGGAATCGTCGTGGGCGGCCTCTACATCGAGTTCTGGTGGTAGTTGGGGACCAATCTGGACTTTTGGAGCGACCAAGAGGTGCGGGATGGAAGAAGCTTCTTGCCTAAGTACTCACCATATCAGTAATTGCGGTCTGAGATGTTCAATGATTGTTCAGCAGATGCAATCTTGGCAAGCAAACCACGCGGCTGCATGGGGGGAAGGGTCTCTTCTTACCTTACCGACATCAGGTATGCCATGGCGTCAGAATCATCCTCGAAATCTGACTCCTCTCCTTCTGGTATGGTAGTGGCATCTCTGCTACTTGAAAAGACATATTTCTGCCCCCACGTTGGATCAATGCCCGAGTTCTGGTGCTGGCGCGTTTTGGAGCCATGCGTCTTTGCGCGTTTCGTCTGTGGCTCGGGGGTATCGCCGTCTTGATCTTGAAAATCTCGCTTAGTAGCCATATTCGCTACCGATATGAAGGGTTCTGAGGGGACATTGGCGGTGTCTTCAAACAGCGCGCAGTACAACCTGCTGTCGTGGCATGGTACGTGGTGAAGATTGAGGATTGTAGCAATGCTAGCACGAGGTTCAGAGGATTATAGCAGAGGATTGCTAGTGCCTGGCACTAACAGCGGCGGGGAGCTTCCCTGGCTCAAGCCCCCACCAGCCCACTAACATGTGCCGTTCCTGCCAGACTAGCAGTCATGCTATTCGACGGTCGAATTTGAATCTTGATCTGAACATTGCAGCTTTGGACAACTGGCTGTGGATGGTCTGGCGTCAACAATGACGGCGGCAATCGTTCGCCGTAGGGCTCTAACAAGGACGACATGGCGTGAAACCTTTATGCAGCCATCCATTGGCCAAGTGCCTTTGCGGTGCTCGCTGAGCACGTTCAATCACTTTGTGGCAAGCAGTCAGTAACATCGTGTATATGTACAAAGACTCAGCTTTACTGACGAGAGCGCATTACAGCCAAACTTGAGCCAAAGTCACCATTGCCGCCACAGATGCCCAATGCGAAGCCTTTCAGACTTGCTGTAAAGGACAACATCGCCACCGAAGAGTTCCCTACGCAATGCGCCTCAGCTATCCTGGGCCAGCATGCGTCTCCCTTCGAGGCCACCATTGTTCGCCAGCTACGGCAACGTGGAGCAACCGTGATTGGTAAGACTAACATGGACGAATTCGGCATGGGATCGCACTCTGTCAACTCTATCCACGGACCGGTTCGCAACCCCCTATCAGCAGCTGGTGACGATGTATCTGCGGGAGGCAGCTCTGGAGGCAGCGCAGTTGCGGTGGCACTCAACGAGGCGGATATTGCGCTTGGTACCGACACGGGTGGCTCAGTTAGGCTGCCAGCAGCATATACCGGTACCATTGGATATAAGCCTAGTTATGGGATGCTCTCAAGGTTTGGCGTCGTTCCCTATGCAAACTCCTTGGATACCGTTGGCCTGCTTGCACGAGATGTTGAGCCGATTCGAGAGCTTGTATTCGACACTGGCCTATATCAAGAGCATGATCCTCACGACCCCACGTCGTTGAATGTTGCAGCTCGCCAGCGCTGCTCAAAGGCTTGTCCTCCAACGCTACCGACTCTCTCTCAGCTTACTATCGGCATACCGGTCGAATACAACATTGACGAGTTGGACCCTTCCATACGTGCGGCATGGGTTGCTACAGCTTCTGCATTGGAGGCACAGGGTGCTCGCGTAGTTCCTGTATCTCTTCCTTCGATTAAAGAAGCCCTTTGTGCATATTACATTCTCGCCCCGGCAGAGGCATCTTCCAACTTGGGCAAATATGATGGAGTACGATACGGCGTCCGCGGCCCCGGAGGAGATGCGGCTGGCGAAACACTCTATTCCGAGGCTCGCGGTGCTGGTTTCGGAGCCGAAGTCAAACGACGAATTCTCCTAGGAACTTATAGTCTGAGCTCCGAAGCCATGGATAACTACTTTATTCAGGCTCAAAAGATTCGTCGGTTGATCCAGCGGGACTTTGACAGAGTTTTCAAATTGGATAATCCGCTGTACGAACCTAGGCAGTTTGACCTGAGCGAGATGTCTGCGGATACTGCTTTGGAGGACAAACAAGGGCCTCTGCAGGTGGACTTTTTGCTATCCCCAACTGCGCCAACGTATCCGCCAAAGCTGAGCGACATTCAAAAGCGAAGCAGTGTGGACATGTATATGAATGATGTCCTTACTGTCCCTGCCAGTCTTGCTGGTCTACCTGCCATTAGCGTTCCAGTAAAAGCCGAACAAAGCCATCAGTTCCCAGCTGGTATTCAGTTAATTGCGCAATATTGGGATGATAGAAGGCTGCTGGCATTGGCGGATAAAGTGGTGAAGTTGATGGCAGTATGAGGCAATGTGGGAACATGTATAAAGTTTTGCATAAAGCAGCGAAAGGAAAGGGGTGTTGATAAATTTGGCTTGTATTATATCCATGATGACTTTACGACTCATCCATGTTATCTTATCATTTTGGAGGCTGAGACTCGCCTCTTATGTACTGAATGGGTATTTGGATCTTCTGTCTAGATCATCGTACTCTGATGAAAGAGGCTATCATAACAGCCCTATAATCATTTCCCACATAGTGCAGAGCCTGTTACCAGCTCATGGACTCTGCGATTCATATTCCACTTTTTGGTCCCGCATGCGCCCTGAAAGAGTCCTTCCATATCTTGTTCAAATCGTGATCTTTGCGCTAATTCGTCGAGCTGGTGGTTGGAATTGGGTATCGTGGCATGACCGAAGAGGATAGGATCGCAGCGGCGTTCGAGTTGCGCATTCTTCTTTCCAAAAGTCAACAGCCAGCTTCAAGGTGATCTGCTGCGACTTCTCCCGTCTTCTTCCCTGTCCACCTCCATATCTTCTTTTTCCGATACTTCTCCAGATTCCTCTCGCTCTCCATTCGCCTGGTCTTTGTCCCCTCCCTCATCATCCTCTTCTAGCAAGTCTTCGATGTCTCCTAGCGGACTAACTCTCGGATCCAGTATTTCCAAATCTTCCAAAACTTCCCTCTTCGGCATCTTCCACAAACTCGTCGCGCACACTCTATCCTTGTTAAGCAGGTCGTCCACAAACTCGTCCACAAAAGTAAGCGAAGTGCCCGCCCTCGCTTTCCGCCTCAACTTGCGCCTGTCTTCCAAAAAGGGCTCCAGCGTCGTATACACGTCCTTTGCTTGTCTCGTCATCCGCACGTAGAAGCACGCCAGTGCGCGCAGGTACTTGAAGTGCTCCCCTCCGTAGGATAGGTATTCTTGGATAATGGCGTCGCTGGGTGCAAGTTGGAGGAGCTTGAAGGCTAGACACAGGAACGGGCTGGGTTTTTGTGAGGCGCCATGCGTGCCGCCTATGAAACTGACGTGCTCGACGACTCGATCGATGATGTCGGCTTCGTTCAAGGCGAAGCATTGCTCTTTGTAAAAGTAGGAATCGACGATGCGGTCCTTGACGGCTTTTTCCATAATGGTCGCTGGGTTGAGGCCGTTTGGCGCGAGCGCAGCATTTGAGCCGCGCTCGTCGAGGAAGCGCCGCGCATCGGCCTGGACGGTATCGCCTTTTGATTTTGACATGTTTTTAAGATGCTGGAAAAAGAGAGGAGTTTGGGGCGATGACGTCGGGATGGACTTTCGCAATCGGTAGGTAGCTCTGTCGCGTAAAGGCGCCTAGATTTCGATATCCGGGGTGCGATAAGATAGTTGCTGGGTCAACAGCGCGATTATGCACCTCTGCAGATCCTCAGCCGCAGTATACGCGGGCTGCCGCCTTTTGTGTATCCAGAGGATTCATGCCGTTTAATTTGCATCAAATAGAGCGGGATCTCATCGCGTGTTAGTATTCTTATCGTTTCTGGGTTGTACAGATTACACGGAAATTTTGTTATCGTTGTCATAATAGCTTCAATATGCGTCGAATTCTCCTCACCTCTGGTCAGGTGTCTATGCTGGCCACAGCCACTATGAGTACGCCACAACTTTTCCCCTCAAGGTGCTTTGGTCATCAAAATAGCAATGAACGTCTAATATTTCCCACTTTGGATAGTCCTTCTCTGCACAAGTGCTCTATTTCTGAGCGGCTACGCGATCCAGCAGCGTACTCTACGAGACCTTCGAGCAGCGATTCGGCCCCGCCAATCGCCGAAAGCGCATCTGCCCGAAGAATTCAGAGGCGCACTCGCGGACATTGAAGAGAGCGGATTGATCGTTTTGGAAACTGAAGGCCAGAGATGGTCTAGGGAAGCTCGCGAATTGGGGTCTCTGGGTCAGGCTCGGGTATCGGATGCAGAGATTCAGGTCGAAGAGACACCGGTAGAGTCTAAGCCTGAGGCTGAGCCCAAGGCGGAGCAGAAAGAGGAGGAACACAAAGAAGCTTCAGCTGCCGTGCCTGCTGGAGAACCTACACAGAAGCAGCTTGAGATGCTGGAAAAGATTCAACAGAGCGTGGCTGATAAGGCGTGGGCTGTCGAGAACCCTGACCCGCTGTCTAAGAACAAGGCTCCGATATCAGCCGCACAGCGCAGAAAGATGATCAAGGATGAGATTTTGAGATTGGCGCAGTCTGAAAAGCCCATCTACTACCAGAGGCGACTGTGGTAGGCTGTTAATAGTGTTGGACTGAAACGACTTTTTTGCGAATATTTTCTTAACGATTTGGGATTGGGATTTATGAATTTATATGGAGTCATGATATGGGGGTATACGAACATGGAGGAACAGTCTATACACGAATTGGATATAGTGTACATCTTTTGGAAATGAAACAAACATTTTACAGATCAAGTCAAGCCGCCAGTGAAATGCTTTCTGAAGGTTATAAATATCAAGTCTATTTAGCAGTGAATAGCTGATAAAACACTAAATTAATCGACGATGGGTATAATAATCAGTGTCGTAAAGTCATAACTCATGATATCGTAGCCGCCCCCTGGTGCTCCACCACATCTCGCTTCTCATCTCCCACTTCCACCCTCACCTGCGACTCGTCGTCGCCAATGATGGTGATATCATCCTCCACCTCGGCTGTCCCAAATCTCCACGCGGGAATCTTCTTCTCGAACAACACATCCAGCTCTCCATATGTCCTTGCCCGCGTTTCGGGAATGCGAAAGATGGCCCATAGCGTGACCAAGAAGCTGATTCCAAACCAAACAAACGCCGTCTTGCCCTTCAAGTTTGCTTCCGTGGGGTTGATGAGATATGGCTCGATTGTGTTGTCGACAATATTGACAATGTTGTAAATGACGCCGGCAATAGAGAGCGTCTTGGCTCGCAATCTGGTCGACGAGACTTCAGCGGCGACTGCCCACGTCTGCGGTCCGATAGTCGCAGAGTATACGGCAAGCCAGACGAGCGCCAGGGCAGACTGGCCCCATTTCGCGGCTGAGTTGTTAGAGGCGTAGGATAAGACGCCAATGAGGAGGAGATCGAATGTGAGGAAAGTGTAACCGCATAAGAGGACGGTTCGCCGGCCAAAATGCGTCATTAGTACCCACGAGAAACAAGTCGCCACAAAGGCGATGCCCATGTTGCCAAAGTTCATTTTGTAAGCATCGGAAGCAGACAGGCCGGCCTGCACAAAAAAGTATGTGGCATTGTACGCCAAAGATTGCCCAATCAGACTCTGGGATGAGAGCGACAGGCAAGCGATTTCTGTGCGCCTCAAGTTGGCTCCCCTGAGACAGTCCCAGTAGCTCGCGTCGGCCTTGAGCTTTTGCTCGAGTCTGTTTGTGTCGTTCATCATAAGCACCTTTTGGTGAATCTGCTCATCACTAAGTCCCCGGGAAAGCCTCTTCAAAGAGTGTACCGCGTCTTCAACCCGGCCCTGTCGAATAAGCCACCACGGAGAATCAGGAGCCAGCCAAGCGAGGAAGAATAGAGGAACCGGCCAAACCCACTCAACGGCAAAGGGGATCTTGTAAGCCCATTTGGTCGTGTTGTTGACAAGCCCTTGAAGGATCCCCGCAATAATCAGCTGGCCAATGACCCAGCAGATGTTGATAAAGGAGGTCATGTAGCCTCTCAGCGCGAGGGGGCATATCTCGGACGAATACATGGCGCCCATGATGGAAAAGATGCCCCAGATGGCCCCGAGAAGGCACTGCCCGGCAAGCAAAACATGCACATTGGGCGCAAAGAAGGGAATGAAGATGAGCCCCGTCATGATGGCGAGCGCAACCATGGTGACTCTGCGGTGGCCGAAGCGCTCGGTGACGAAGCCGTTGATGATCATGCCAAAGACGCCGCCGCAGGATCCCGCCGTGCTGAGGCCTACTTGCCAGGGCCCTGAAATGACCTTGACGCCGAGTTCTGGGTGATATGTGCCGTATTTCTCGACGAATGAGGGGTATGCCATGAGACTGCCCATGAGAATTGTATCGTAGCCAACCATGACTATTGGCGTGTTAGTCAAACGGGCCATATTTAGAGCTGAGCTCTCCAACAGCTCAAGTCTTACCAATTGTAAAGGACATTGCAATTGCCCAGAATATGGCGCTGGGATACCGCTTCAGCGCCTGGCCGACCGTGGTCGCATGCTCGTCTCTATTCGCGCTGGCGACAGCGGCAGCAACCGCCGCAGGCTCAGAAACCGGGGGCATCGTCGTCTCCATGGTTGCGAGGAGTTGGGCACAACTCTTTTTGTGGAAAACAAGAGACCAGATTATGGGAAATCAGGTTTCGCAAAGAGATTAAAAATTAGAATGGCCAATTCGAGCAACTCGAGACAAGTAAGCAGCGATATAACATCCAGCCCCCTCGATACGTGTAGTCTCTACCACGCGAGATTGTGAGACTCTGTCTCATCTGACTCATGTAACAACTCGCAGGACCAACGCCTACTGGACGACAACTGACGGCCAATTCTAGACTTATCTATCCAGCTAGGACTATTGGCCTCTGCTTTCTCGGCCGAGGTCGCAGATTAATATTACTTCCGCAGCGGGTCCTCCATCGACTCCCGAGGCCGGCGGGTCCCCCCATCCTGTTGCTTATCACGGCATTTGCAACTACATACGGATATACATGTGCAAGTCCGGGGTTTTCTGCTGATCAATTCTTACGAAATCGGTTGCTACTGAACCCCATTAGCTTGCATAAGAGCGAAAGACTAGATGATGGCAACAGGAAAACATCCTTGTACACAATCTTGAACTGGGAGTCGATAACGAAAGCAATAGCGAGACTTTCTGCTTGATTATACAGCAACGCGCGCGGCTAGGCGAGATGGAATCCTCCAGAAGGCAAATCTGTGAAAAAAAATTTGGCCCCCCCTGCACGCGGTCAGATCTGGAGATCTTAGCGAAGCACATCTAGCCCAGAAAGTGGGTTCCAAGGAATATATCCTCCTTCTCCTAGATGGCGTACTTGTACATCATTGCTCTGTTATTGAATCCAGTAAAGAAACGTAGCATCTCAAAATTGACTCTCTTTCTAGACGCCATGTGTATAACTTGGCGCGCTTCTCTGATTGTATCTTCCGTCTACCAGGTTTTATATACCATCATCTCTAGCAAAGAACCAACACATTTTATATACGCGCGATATCAAGATGCATTCACTCATAAGCGCTAAAACCGCAGCATGCAACCTTGACTGCATGACTCACTGCGCCGAGAAGCCAATCCCCTGGACCAAATCTCCCCTGTTGTAAAACTCGACGCCGGGGAGAAGCTCGCCAACAACCCAGCGTGCCGTCCTTGCGTGCATCGAGCCATGGCCAAACGGCTCCAGCGTCTTGTCTCTCCTCATCCGGCCGTCTCCAACCTGCAGGTTCCCCATGGCATCAATCAGCGGCCCGAGCGGACCGTCCGTGACATCGTCTCCTCTGGGGAAGGATGATGGACCGTCGCAGAGCGCCTGGAAGCAGACCAGCTGGTCCTGGAGATGCTCATCCACGACTCCGCCCAGAGAGATTTCTTCGTATAGCCCTTTGCACAGCTTCTTGGACAGCAGCGAGATGAAGCGGTCGTATCCCTTGATGTTCTTTGGCGCCGATGTGAGAACGTCGCTTGCCCAGCGGATGCCGCCCGCTGAATGAGCAACCAGAAGCACCGACCAGCGACTATCGGCGCCCGAATCCTCGACGACTTTGAAGCTGATGTCGGCGCCGGGCCAGAGAACTCCAACGCCTTCTACTATGCTCTCTTGGAGCTTGTTGTGCGAGTGCATTGGCGTGATGATGCTCACATCAATGCTCTTCACTTCAACCGAATCCGGGAAGCTGTACTGCGGCGGAGGCAAATACCTGAGCTTCTCGCCCTGGGCTATCGGATAAAACTTGAGCGAAATGGCCCCCCTAGACTGTTTCCCAAGACTCCATCCCCGACACTTCAGCTCCCGCTCGATCCTCACACCAAACCGCTCCTCCAGCGTCGGCGCCAGCACCTGATCGAAATACTCATAACTCGGCGAAAAAGCTACATTCGTCCCGCCCGAAAGCTCCACAGCCACAGGCTCGTTTGAACCGTTGCTCGCGAAAACCAGAAACGGCAACATCGCCTGAAGGACCAGCATCGTGCTCGCGGCGCCCGATTCGGTCCTGATGGATATATTGCGCTGAAGAAGCTCAGAGGGTGGCCGCTTGGGTGTAAAGGTCACTGTTTTGGAGCCGACGCTGAGGCCTTCGACGTCGGCTTCGGTGACTTGGGCGAGCCATTCAATGGCTGCGACGTGCTGGTTCTTGAGCCCTAGCGAGATTCAAACAGCAAGGCTTAGCATTTTCAGTGAATGAAATCCGCGTGTAGACGTGTTGAGAGGTTTGACTGACCTCCACCTTTTGGCCGATTGCCTCTCACGTTGGTTACTTTCACCGACTGTAAAGTAATCGCTGCCAGCGCCACAGCAAGACGCACAAGTTGGCCGCCGCCTTCTCCAGTACGACCATCAAGTACAATTGGCTTCATCTCGCGAATCTTGTGACTGTATTTGCTTCGTTGAAGATAAATTGGTGGGATGTGATGTGATACAGCCACGTAGCGTGGGTTTGCTGCGCTGTAAGTGTGTAGATGCTGCAGCGCTGAGCAAGAAAAAAGACAAAGCTCACTAATTTCCCTTTGACAATTTGCTGGCAAGGAAAAATTGCTTTTGATATGAAATTGATGGAATATCATCATATTTTTCTGCGAGGAGCGATTCTTTGGTGTTATATGATGCACAAATCATTCAACATGAGCCTAGATCTGCACAGCCGCTTCCAAGCCCCAAATTCACCGCCGGTGAGTCACCCGCGGCGCCATTTCATACATGGTTGTCATTCTATCAAATGGAATCTGGATCATCTACTGCAATCTCTAGCCAATTAATTTTCCACTATTGGAGACATTTTATGGCCAAGATTCAGGATACAAATACACCAAGCAGACGATGTTCAGCAGCAAAAAAAGGAATTGGTTACGCATATTCGCATCTCATTCATGACGGTTATTATACAGCTAACAAGGTGACTCTCGCGAGAGCACGCGGTATCATAGCAATACAGAAAAGCCCATTACCCAAGCACGCAACAAAATAGTTCATACAGACGGGCATCATTTACCGTCATCTCCCTTCTCATCAAAATTCAGCGAATTGAGTGCGATGCCCCTGTGAGACCAGCATCGGCCTAACGCAACAGTGTCATCGCATTCCATCTCTACTTGTGCAGTCTCTCAGCTTGGCGGTAAAATGGAGGCAGAGGCTCCAGTTTCTGACGCAGAACCCAAACTCTGAAATGCCACAAAGCGTTCTTGATCTGGTAGCTCATGTGCTTGCGTGTACTGACGCCAAACACCTGATCCAGCTCTTCAAGGGTAAGTGCCTTGGTCTCGGGAACAAAGAGGAGGATGAGGAACCAAAGAACGGCACACCAAGCCGCATACCATCCAAATGCCCCCTGAGAGGTAAAGGTTCTCTGTAGGGATGGCCAGGTAAACGACAGAATAAAGTTGAAGCACCAAGTGGTTGCGGTAGCCCACGACATGCCCACGTCACGGACATGGACTGGGAACGCTTCTGCCGAGTATGTAAAGGGCACCGGGCCTTCGCCTGGGGAATAAAAGACCTCGAAAAGATACATGCCAGTTGTTACCATGCCGACTCTCTTCTTGATGTTGCTCGGGTCATCGGGGATGAAGAAGGACATTCCGGTCCATAGCAGGAAGATGCAGAGGAAGGGAAACGTAAAGAGCAAAAGATTTCGTCGGCCCCATCTATCAATGGTGAAAATTGCGGGAATGGCGAATACAAAATTGAGAATGCCGGTACCCATTGACGCAAGCAAAGCCGAGTTGGTAGAGTAACCAGAGTTTACAAAGATGGTAGTGCTGTAGTAAGCGATGACATTGACTGCGGCATGAGTCAGTCTCCAAAATCTCTCAAAGAAGGGGCATAGAATCTCTTACCTCCACAGAATTGTTGGCTAGATGAAAGAAAAACATGTCCGTTAGTATTGAATCCAAGTGATCAAGTTCGTCGCCATCACTCACCCAAACATGAGAATCCAAGTAGCCCATGTGGCACGACGGTTACGAGGGACAGTGAAAAGCTCAGCAAACTGCGTGAAGAGATTCTTGCCCCTATTAACCTCTCTCTCGAGCTCTACTCCGATGTAGGTGTAATAAGTGTCACGGGCGGCTTGGACGTTGGAGTGGCGAAGGCGCTGGAATGACCTAAAGGCCTTTTTGACTTTATTATGCTGGATATACCAACTGCCAGAAATGTCAGCCTGAGGTAACATGAAGTAGTACATGTAGATAGAACATACCGAGGGGACTCTGGGCAGAAATAAACTTGTACACAGACAATTAGGGGTAAGACGACGGTGCTGCCAAGCATGAGACGCCAGCCGAGACTGGGCTTGATGCCAGTTGATGGTCCAAAGGCGACACCCATTATGTTGCCAAGCATGATACCAAAAGCCGTCCACATCTGCCACTCTGTTGGAGATAGTCAGTTAGCCTTGCACTGTATGCTGAAAGGATAAACAGCGCAATGGAGACTTACGCATAACCAAGGCCCCTCGAATCGGAGCTGGGCTGCACTCTGCGGCGTAGACGGGCACTGTAGATGACTTGGGACCGATTCCGAGTCCAAGGACAAACCGAGCAATGAAGAGGTTCACCCAAGAGTTTGCAACGCCCTCCCAGATTGACGCAACAGCAGCGATGAAGCAGGAAATAAAGATTGTTCCTCTCCGTCCAAGCACCTTGTTCAGGGGCTCCGTCAGCCAGCAGCCAAGAATAGCGCAGCAGAGATATGGAGCGCCGACGACGAGGCCGGTAATGTTGTCCTGCATGGATGGAGAGAAGCGAGTGACGTTTGGGCCTGCAATGTCGAGATCTGCCAAGTACAGCGCCTGGGCACCGTTGTTGACCGTCTCGTCCATGCCTTGCACTGCGGCGGCCATGGAGCACATACAGCAAAGCCAGTAGAGCATAAACGGATGGGACCAGCGGTGCGTCTGCTCGCGTTCAATCATATTCTTGTCCTCTGCGGTGAGTTCTGACAGAGACTGGAAGGATTCTGGATTCTGGGCGGCCAGGGCGCCTTTGCGGAAGTCATCGAGATGGTCATTCAGGTCGTGGATCCGGCAAAACTCCCCAACGTCCTTGAGGAGCTCCTCTTTGGTTCGTTGCTTGAGGGGATTCTCGAAGACGGCAGAGAGATTGTCAATGTTGGCAAAGGAGCCACGCCGAGGCGAGACCTCGACGTTCTCGACACCATCATGAGAACTGATGCTGTCTTTTTTCTCCATAATGCGCAGATGCTTGGTTCCAATAATCAATGATGATGGGTCAAAGCTGGAGTCGTTGACACGCGCAGCACTCAAGAGTCAGAAAGCACAGGTGCGTGTAAGTGAGGTTGCATGGGCAAGAGGACCAGCTGCACCTGCATCCCTGTTTCTGAGTACTCTGGAGATGCTCAAGTTTGGGTGACAGTTCCAGGCACTTGAACCTTTTCAAGGGGAGTCGAGAGCATTATAGATACTCATGTCATACGATGAAAGGAGCGTTCGGACGAGTCATCCCAGTTATAACATCTCCCCTTATCGCATCTCGCATACAAGTCCCCCTCCATCTTCCTCCAACTCCTCCAACTCCTCCAACTCCTCCAACTCCTCCAACCGGAGGCGTCAGCCACCAACCTAATCCTCAGTAATGCTTCAAGGCCGCTTGTTCTTGTGATATCCAAGGGCCGGCACCGACAGGCATTGCCCGCCATCAACGCCGATCACCCCTCGAGAGGGCGTCCCAGGATCCCAAACCTTGGTTTCTCCTGCACACTCAGCACGGTATTCCCTCGCAAGGCTGCGTACTGTAGGGCCGCCATCGCCACTTATAGGTCCCTTTGTCTGGGAATCTCGTTGCCTGGAGAAAAAGCGGATCTGCTCATTGTTTTCTTCGTCCTCATGGCTCGATACTGGAGCTCCACGAGGCATCTCGACCCACCTGGGGAACTGGAGAACTGGAGAACTGGAGAAGACAGGGTCGTGGATCCTTGGTGGTGAGCTGGGCCAAGCTCGAAATGACTTCATGCGCGCGCGCAAAAGACGAGCGGCTGCTGCTAAACGGCTCTTTGCTCCCTCCACACTTGTCCAAAGAGCTCAGCGTCAAGCCGGTACTTTTTTCGGAGATTATAGCTGCGCCGCTGAATTTTCATGAGGAATTCGGAGCCTTCTCAAGCTTCTGGCTACCCTACTTCTCATCGGGGTTGCCAAAGAGGGTAGCCGTGGCGTCTATGCGGTGATGTAATAACCATAAAGCCTCTCTGGGTTGGTGCCACGGCGAATCCTATAAGATGATTTGCGCAAGATGCCCTCCATGTGAGCCTAGCTCGGCTCTGGTTGAATTCTCCCGATGCTTCCCCAAAGCCACTGCAGCCACCAGCCAAGCCATTGACTATTTCCGGCCATATTCCGACGTCATTATAAACACTCCTCGATACCTGTATTCGACAAGGTATCGCGATGAAGCTGATCGGCGGCGGATTTTCCAAGACGAGAGCACAATGACGATACATCATTTACTGATACTCGCTTTACTCGCTTCCGCCATTTTACAAAACACCGGCAACAGTTATGGCCCAATTCTCCGCAAGATTCCCCGCAGTTACTCCATCCGCCGAGCAACCTCATGAGCCGTGACATTCTATGTATTAGACTACAATACTATGCACAGCGAATTGATCAATGCGGTGGGTATCGCCATGTTTTTCTGGAGCCGGCTCTCTCCATGCTCCAGTTTCCCCCGGATTTTCGGCGCCCCAGTTCTCCAGATGCTCTATTTTCCACATGGTGATTTATTCTGAAATACAATGATCACGACGCTGTGCCCGATTCTCCGGTTAGCGAAAATGTAAGGTGCGAGGACCCTGATCAACACCGAACACGTTCAATAATAGCAAGATTGTCATGTGCCTTTTCCGCTTTATGCCGCGGGCACCAACAGTGGAACTGTCAGCAAACAATTCTGCTGCCTATCACTGCGCATATGCAGCTGTCTTTTAGAACTTGCTACTGTACAGCTCACTTACAAATTCCGCGGGGCGGGGCTGGCCATGCTATGCAAAGCTTCTTTTACTTTGGAATGCGCACTTGGCGAACTGTGGCTTTCACGGAGTTAAGGGTATCGTATCAGCACCTAATAGATAGCTGGCGATGCTTTTCTAACTTTCGCTTTGGCTTCTGTTGGAGATCTACAGGCGATTTGCGCTGCTTCAATCCTGTTTTGTCTATCAAGTCAAGACGCAGTGATGGACGACTTGGCGAATATAGAAACAGTGCCCTGTACCCAAGCATCAAGCTTGCTGAGTGCTATCCCTCCACACACTGTAGCCCCTCCGTGAACTTACTGTACAGCTGTAATCACTTTAATGCTCTAATAGTTAATGATCGCCGCGACTGGCGATAGGAACGAGGTTGCGAGGCTGGCGCCACTCGGCCAGTGTGTCTGCCTATCACCCATGTGGTTACATCGCCATGCATGTCACCAAGAGAGTCCTTTGGTACTGATCAGCAGGCAATCCTGGACACTGAACTCTGAAAACGTCATTCTCATGAGACTTTATTTGCAGGATGTGTATACTCTGAATATCTGTAAAGGATGTGTATGGCTTTATTCCATTTGATAGCTATCATCGTATCTGATGGCATCCGTACTACAGTCTGGATTGGTTGAACGTGCTACAAGAGATTGGGATATGACTCTATTCAAAGCTGTGGTCGTTTTGTAATATGTCTAGGTAAATCTAAGCGTGTATTGAAACACGTAGATTTAGATGAGCATGCTTATAGCCTGCCATGTGTCCTTGTATAGTTGAGTAATTTTGTTAAATTATTTGGGTCACGTTGACTTTATACCATCAACTTAAATGGTAAGGAAATAGCATCGTGACTTGACTTGAAGGGCAAAGAACTGCATAGCGAGAGTTTACATATGACAGAGTATATGGATAATGGAATGACTTATTGCCTGTTTTTACAACTTCTTCAAATGCTTGCAAATCAAAGCTGAAATCCCAACGTTCTCTTCAATTGGAACAAGTCAGTCCAAGTGTAGCAGAGTAGCCACGTGGAGATTATCAGAGGAGAAACGTGTGTAGAGTCGGGTTAGTAAATTAGCTAATCACAATGATCCATCTATTCAATCTTCACGTAGATAAAACCTGTCCTTGCTACCAGCTGACCTTTTTCGCCCAGGCTTCTACTGTAGCGTGTGCTGTAATCGCCAATGATTTGACTGTTAATGCACCCGCTGGGAGTACAGCTCTGGTACTACCTGGCATTTCGGGTAGCTGACGGGATAAATCATTATGTTCCTAGCGTTTCTACTGAATCTCAACGCATTTAGTAGCAAGTTCTAACATTCTCTAGTGGTGTCATATGCTATATAGCCGCTTGATTCAACCGTTTGATACATATTGTACCAAGTATAACAGGCTTCCTTGCGAAAGGAAGTTGAGATGTAGGATATCAAGCCAGCGACTGATGACTGCAAGAGATTGGCTTCTTGTAAATCAAGAAGTTTCTGTATTAATTGAAATATATACTGGTAGTGATATGTATACATCAAATAGGATTACCAAGTTTCATAGGTTTCAATATGCAAGCAGGCGTGTCGAGGTACACAGTCACGACGAAATGGCAGACCATCTGATTAGATAAAGTCAGCGCCAAATTTAGTAAAGCAACACCAACGTTAGTAGATGAAGTTCGCCGAATGGTTCCCAATACCTCGGATAAGGCCTTTGGTACAATGTTTAAGCGACAAGAGAATCTGTTGCTATGCAATCAGGCGCTGTAGTGGATTGAATAGCAGGGCCGAATCAATTTGCCTCTCTGCCAAAGTTCATGCAGCTAGCGCGATCTAAGCCAGTGATTCCCTATGCAAAAGAGGGACCGCCGGGACTAAATTGACTAATATGGAGTTTTCGGTACGATTTGGCCACATTTAATTGAAGCTTGAGACCAAGAAAGGCAAAAGGTGAAACGGGGAAAAAAGAGCTGCGAGAATGTGTGAGTGAAAAAACTGAAATATTCTGCTGGCACTGGAGGTAGTTTTTGCCACTAACAAGGTGCGCCAAAGCGAAAGATACGTACTCTGCTTCACAGTTTAGTACCTCAGGCAGGCATTCACAATTTCACGCAGTATCCTCACGCATTGGCCTTGCAGCTTCATTCTAACATGCGCATTCTCCCGCGAGTCAAAATACGACAGGTCTGCATCCTTTGGCGATTTTTACCGCATTCCGCATGTGCCTCACAAACTCGGTGAGCAACACGAGCCAAAGCAGCCAATGGCAGGCCTCCAAAACGCACAACCTCCCTATCGTCTTGGCCTGAATCGTACGCTTGCAGCAATGCCGGCTGAACTGGATCCACGCCGGTGCGGCATCCACATGGGCTTCGGTGGATTATGGCCTGCTGCAAGGGTCTCTGGGGGAGCCACTCGTTATGCTCGTGCTGATGTTGCCAGCAGATGGCCCGAGGGCTGCGGAAAATCGCTCCAAGATGATGGAGGAAAACTCTGGGGAAGCCTGGCTGTGGGAGCAGTTTTGTCTTGATTATGGGCACGTGAAAAAAACGGCGTCTCGCCATCTGCACATCACATCCACGTGGAGGCTCATGCGGGGGAAGATCGTGAGATCGACCGACTCGCCTCGCCTTTTGGCTCTGTGGGCTCGTCTACGGCGGACGGACGAGCGCTTTGAACTGGTCTAGCCTGGGCGGAGAAAGTGGCGGGGGGCATCTTGGGTGAGATTGGAGATGCAGGCTGCGGCCCTGAATCTTGCTGCTCTGGGTTGGCGCTCCAGCCCTTACGCTCGTCGGATCTCTTAACGCTACCTCCCTCCCGCCAGCAAGGACATGCTGCTGGCCAACTTTATTTAAACTCCCGATGGCTGGCTTCCAGATTGTTCTGCTGCCACTGCTCCCACCACTCCCACCCGCTCCCAGCTGCGGCTCGTTGCTCCCATCAATCCCATCAGCCTCTCGTGCCGGTTGCGAGAGAAAGCTACGGAGCAAATACCGCGAACGGCTGACCTGTGCTACGGGGCTAGAGCAAGCCTTGCAGGGATGCTCACCCACGGTGACGTAGGTGTGCCAGGATCCATGTGGCTGACTTGCACGCTCGTCCTATCGACGGGGAGTTTGTACGACACAAACGCCCTCGTCGGCCATCGTTAATCCGCCTTAACCGGCGCCGTCTCAAGCTACAGAGGCACTCTTATAATCAAGAAAAAGAGGCCTAGGCCAGATGGGGCCGAGACATCCACAATGTAACCAGAGTTTCACAACTCCCAGAGTGGCATTTGGGGGGACAGCAGGAGGAGCTATGAGCGCGCGCTGGCCGATTGAACGAACTAAAACCCCTCATGCCTGCCGTTGGCTCGTTATCGGGGAAATAAGTGAAAAAAGAAAAAAAAGAAAAAAGGAAAAAAAGAGAATAAAAAGCCATCGTCTTGTCCACTTTTCATGTATCTTCTGTTTTGTTAATCCCTCATCCCATTGTCTCCCTCATCGGCTTTGGGAGCAGTGTTATACACAATGTCCTTGAATTCTACGAGTAAAGTGGACTTGGAGCCACACTCCATCGAAGGCTCGAATTCTGCTCAGAACCGGGACGATGATGCGACAAAAAAGGACCTTTCTGGGCCATCAAGGGCTTTGGAAGTCGCCGATGAGCTTCCCGGGACCGTGATGCCGGCCTTGGCTGAAGGCGACATTCCTACGACAACCAAGTGGGAAATCTGGACGTGGTACGCTTATTACATCGGCGCCAATGGCCTGTCTCTTTTCAACTTTGGCCCTACGGCCTTTCAAAACCTGCTCTCTCAGGCTGCCCCCGAGTCTGGCCTCCTCGAATTTGCTGGCCGATTACGCGACGTGAACAGTATCGTCTTGCTCGCCAATGGCATTTCCTTTGCTCTGCAAGCCGCTCTGTTCCTGATTATTGGTGCCTACGCCGACTTTGGCACTGGACGTCGATGGATCTTGATTGTCTGGTCTCTCATTGCCTACGGCATTGGATTTGGCTGGCTTGGCGTCCACAAGCCCGAGCAGTGGAAGATTGCTACTGGTCTATACATTGTCGGTTTGATTGCTTACCAGCTAACCTTGACATACTGGACCGCCGCTTTCCCATCTCTAGCCCGCAACACCACGAAACTCAAAGACTCGCGATTGCAATATGAATCTGGAGACATTACGCTGGGAGAGCTGGACCGCCGCGATGAGATGGAGCGAAGCCGTCTGAGCAACGTTTCCTTCTACATCCAATCGGTTGGCGAGGTTGTGATCTTAGCTATTATTGTGGGCATCATGTTTGGCCTCAAGGTGGACGACAGCGCCGAAAACAACAACTGGGGCTTGTCTGTGCTCATCGCTTTCGCTACTGCAGTCTGGGCGGTCCTCTCGCTGCCGTGGTTCTTCGTTGAGAAGAAGCGTCCGGGCATGCAGATTCCGCCTGGCTACAACATTGTCACAGTCGGGTTTTGGCAGCTCTATGAAGCAATGGCGCAGATCCGCCAGTTGAAGCAGAGTCTCATCTTCCTTGCTGGATACTTCCTCATTGGCGACTCGCTCAACACAACCGTTACCGTCATCTCCACCCTGCAGAACCAAGTTGTCGCATACGACACGCTGAAGCTGACGTACCTTCTCATCGTGGGCATTGTCGCCCAGGGCGTTGGCATCGGAGGCTTTTGGCTCATCCAGAAGAAATTCAACCTGAGCGCAAAAACAATGTTCAACGCCGTCATGGTGTCCATCATCCTGCTCGACGGCTGGGGCATGGTCGGCAACTGGACCGACAAATTCGGCTTCCACAACGAATGGGAAGTCTGGGTGTACCAGGCCTTTTACGGCCTCTTTGTGTGCCCGTGGTACAGCTACTCGCAAATCATGATTAGCTCCGTTACCCCGCGCGGCCACGAGTTCCTCTTCTTCTCCATCTTCAACATCATTGGCAAATCATCCAGCTTCATCGGCCCGCTCATCAGCAGCGCCATCATCGACGCCACGCCCAACGGCAGCAACAACAGCGCCCCCTTTTACTTCTTGTTTGCCCTGACCATTGTCAGCACGGGGGGCATCTGGACGTTCCTCGACTTGGATAAGAGTGCTCGGGAGCAGGAGGCGTTCTTGGCGCAGGAAAAGGCGAGGATTATGGGTAACGACGTGATGACCAGCAAATCGACCGATCAGGACCGGGATGGCGCATGATTTGCTTTGAACTGATTGTTTTCTGTTTTTTTTTTTCTGCTTTTGGTTATGGGCTGTTCCCTTGACTTGTCCCGATACAAGTTGCTGACGATGGTTGCAACGCTTTTTTCTTATATCTAGCAATGATCTCGCTCTGCTGTTCGACAGCAGATGCGCATGCCCCCGCCCGCGCCGTTACTGTGTTTCCCGTCGTAAGCATTGGAGCTTGTAATTCACCTCACATGCTTCTTTGATTGTAGATTTCTGTGTAGATTCCGGCAAGGTGAGGCTTATTTTCATTTACTTAGGCGTGACTTGTGTAAACTTTGTAGCAGTATCAGATATATATCTTGATAGAACTTGAGTAAACTATACTACATACTGGCTAGGCTAAGTTAATCAAATACATTACATTCGCACTCGAATTCGAATTCACATCATTACTTCATATCTTGGCCGTCCTCAATCTACAAAAGCACGAAGACGTAACAGGCACATCTGCCACAGCCATGGCTTTCCTCAACGGGCCTTCCACCTCCTTCGCCTCCCCTATCCTGCCCAACTTGACCAAACACTCATGGTAGCCATGCAGTGCCCAGACATTATTAGGATGGCGATGTACTCGCGGCAAAGAATCATCGATACCCAGGTCTGCGCTATACACAGCTAGTGCTTTGCTGACATGGCCCTGTTCGAGTAAAAGTGCGCCATAGGCATGTCTCGCAGGCTGCATCCAGCCCCAGGGCTCGTCAAAAGGGAGGCCGTCGTATCTGACGATGGATTCGCGGAGGTGGGCAAAGGCGGCGTGGTAGTTGGCGGACCGATATTCAATTTCGCCGTCGAGCATGGATTCCGCAACACAAAGGATGTCGATGCATTTGTTGTTGAAGAGGGTGCGACTGGGTTTGACTCGGGGCACAGACTCGGCGAATAGCTGGCGTTGTTCGCGAGCTTCGTCTACCTGGCCCAGTGCTGCGTAGGCCATGCCCTTTGCATAGTGTGTCAGAGCCGTGGTTACGCAGTAGAGATCCTGGTCCTCGGGCATTTTCAGCGCCAGAATGTCTTTCCACCTGCCGAAGCGGATGAGGACGTGCACGCGCATGGCGAGAAAGGCCTCCAGCCAGTCTGCCATGGGGGGTGTCTCGACGCGGAGAAGCTCTTCTGAGAAGCTCGCTTCGAGCTGCTCTATCGTCTCAAGGGCCACCTTGGACTGGCCCGAGAACATGGCAGAGTATAAGCGGAAATGGTAATCGTGACTGCGATAGAGCGTGTAAAAGTTCATGGGGCCTTCGCGCTTCAGAAACTTTTCGTCGGCGCGCACGGCATCGGAGTTGGCGGCGACGGCTCTGGAGTAGTCTCCTACGAGAATGTCGAGATGGCTGGGCATGTGGTTGAGGTGGCCCGAGTCTGGGACGAGGCCCCGAAGGTTGTTGGCTGCTGGCATAGCTGCCTCTGGTGTATTGGACATTTCCATGAGATGGATGTAGAGATGGAGCAGGCCTGGATGCCGGCTGCCGCCTTGCAGAGACATGCCGTGGTCCAGGACTCGCTTCACTTCCAGCGTGCGGGCATCCGGGGCTGGGTTACCGGTGCGGATGTCCCAGAGAGCCCAGGGCGTGAGGTTCATCATGGAATCGGCGTACAAGGTGGCAACGTCCAGGTCGTCGGGATACTGGGCCGCAACCGAGGCCATGGCATCGGCGTATTCTCGATTCCATATCGGGCGGTCCGTCTTGGTTGGCGCGTCCGCCCTGGGATATCGGTACCGAAGAGCCTCAACCAGAGCTCTCTCGACGGGAGTCGCAGAGTCGGCGCAGGCCTTTGCCTTTTCGATGGCGTGGTGTGTCCGGCCCGCCGCGTTCTGAATCTCTCTCCTGCCGAACAGGTCCCAGGGCTTGTTGTAGTTTGGCCCCAGCGCGTACGCGAGGCCCCAGTAGGCCATGGCACAGCCCGGGTCGTGGGCAATGGCGCGCTCGAAGCATTTTGCGGCCTCTTCGTGGTTGAAGCCGTAGCACCAGACGAGGCCTCGGTTGAACCACGTCTGGGCGATGGGACTGCTGGTGGACACGGGGCGATGCAGGTCGCCGAGGTGGTAGTATTCGCTGTCCAGGCCTGGCCGGCTGCCGGCTGTTCTGCAGGCCTCCTTCTCTGCCGCCTCTTCCATCTTGGGCTGCTGTCTGTTGCTTGTGCAGTTTCGAAGAGAGGCGAATCGCTCTGGTTTCGCAGCTGAACCGAGCGGGCAGGATGTCATCGTCTAAGGCAGGCTGGCACCGGCTCAAGCCCGACGAATGCACGTATGTAATCTGGACCTAGGATTAGGCCGGTGGAGATGGCTTGGAAGCTTCCAATCGGTGGCGTCGGAGGGCCGGCAGTCGGCGCGACCTTCCGAAACCTTGTCAGCAAGGGAAGGGGCAGTCATTGAGATGATCCAGTAAAGGAAGAGCGGCGTGTGGTTGTTTGTCTGGCGGTTTGATCTTGTAGACGATGGATGCAGAGTCAATGGCTGTTACTGATTCAAACGCCCCGGAGATCGGCGCGGATCTGGAATGCCCCGCCATAGCTTCAGGCATGGGGTCCGATACGGGTACGTACCTACTGATAAAGGGCCTCTATGTCTCGAATGGTTCATGCCAAGGGTTTTCTCAACAATAAGTAGGTTTATGAATTAGATGACAATTTCTTCACTCGAATGCCCTAATTTCAAAAGAGTGTGAGCACGTCTTCATCGTATCCGTGCTACTTGTTTGAGCTTGCTATGCCTTGTAAACCGTGCCCATGCATGCTCTGAAATAACCACAAGTACCTATTCATGAAAGCCATCACCTATTCGATCTTTCTAACGGACACAACAAGGGCGTTGATCAAAATGGCACCATCAAATACGTGTTTATTCATGTTCAAATGCCAGACAGTCTCAGACACTGACCTCGAGATTATGACTTGGAATAAAACCATCTGCACCCTACGCCAAGCCACTACAGTTCTCTTTATAACCATCTTCGACCGTGTGACAGTATCTTACTATAGCAATGGCTGTTGACTTGGATAAGATTGCTTCGCACTACCTCGCTCTACTAACTGCTCGTCGAAGCCGCGCCATTCTTGTGCCAATAATTGTGATAGCTGTCATTTTCACGCTCATAAGTATTACGGATCGTGCCTACCAGCAACCATCAATCAACATTGAGAGAGCCTCAGAGACTGAAGACATTACCGACTGGTCAAAATTTGCTTATATCCAATATGCCACCAGCAGCGAACACCTCTGCAATGCCGTCATGCTGCTGCAGAGCTTGCACCACCTTAAAAGTCGCGCCGACAGAGTCTTGATGTATGCTGCAGAGATGCTTCCAGACCCTAAAGACATGGATGGTGGTGGCTCCCAAGAAGGAGAATTATTGGTCAAGGTGCGAGATGAATACGGGGTGAAGTTGGTGCCGATTCAAGTTCAACATGGAGATACTGCCGATGGTGCGTGTATTCTGACTCTGCATGGCTGATGGCCAGACGAGTGAAATCACTAACGTCGGATTGTTCAAGACACACGGACCGACTCCTACACCAAGTTGCTGGCCTTTAACCAGACTCAGTACGAGCGTGTCATTGCCATCGACTCAGACACCACTCTCTTGAAACACGTGGACGAGCTGTTCCATTTACCACCATGTCCAATTGCCATGCCTCGGGCCTACTGGCTCCTCGGAAACGACACAACAAAAGAGACCTTTGCCTCGCACTTTCTCGTCATTCAACCCGACAAATACGAATTCGATCGTGTCCAGAGAGCGATGAAACTCGCCGCCGCCGACGAATACGACATGGAGCTTTCAAACAAGCTATACCACGACACGGCCGCGGTGCTTCCTCACTGGCCGTACACGATGTTGTCGTCTGAACTCTGCGAGACAAACCATACTCTGTATCTCGGCCCCGATGCGAAAGAATGGGATCCGGCAGTGGTGATGAGCCAAGTTGGGACAATTCGTTTCTCGGACTATCCTGTGCCGAAGCCATGCAAGTATTGGACAGCCGACGATGGTCAAAACTTTATAAGAATGGAACCAAAGTGTGAGATGAAGAGAAGGAAGCATAAGAATAAAGAGGGTGGCCATGACAAGGAGGAGGATTGCTCGGGCAGGGACGCATGGAGGGAGCTGTATGCCGATTTCAAAGCGCGAAAGGCTGTAAGTCATCAACTCTCCTCTAATTCTTTTCGATGCGTGATATTATGAATCAAGTTACTAATGGACAACATGACGGTGCTGCAGACCGTCTGTGCCAGCAAAAAACATGGCCAAAAGAATGAAGAGGTAGAGCTAGGTATGATTGGCCTCGACCCAATTCCGTACGTGGAGCAGGATGATACATTGTAGGTGTTGTTGTCAATGGATAGAACATTAAAAGTGACTACATGGTAAAGAAAAGCCATTAATGTTTGTAGAGAGCAATCGACATCTAAAGATGTCACTTACAAAGCAAAAGGTATAGCAACGGGATTAGAGCCGAGCGCGGCCCGCCCCCACCTTTTCCGAACGCCGGCTATCCGCTTCAAGCCGCTCCAGTATCGCTACTCCGTAGTCGCAAAGTCAATGAAGCATTATTAAACAGCTCTTTGATACCAAACCTTGATCCTGTAATCACCACGTCTTTGCTGCTCAGACAGCCACTGCGCTCCTTTACCGGCTTCTCGCCCCTTCACTCCTCCCCAGGCTGAAAACAGACTTGTACAAACACCTCCTCTTGTAATATCACAGCACCATCATCACCATGTCTGCCTCAGCGTCACCACCCCTCGCCAACCTCCTCCCCCCCAGCTGGAAGCCCCAAGTCACCGCCTGGCTCGCCGAAGACACGCCCTCGCTCGACTACGCCGGCTTCGTCGTCGGCGAACACGCGCGCACCGCCACCCTCTGGGGCAAGTCGGCGGGCATCATCGCCGGCCGGCCCTTTTTCGACGAGGTCTTCCACCAGTGCGGCTGCACCGTCGAGTGGCACGCCGAAGAGGGCTCACGGCTCGACCTCAGCAGCGGCGGCAAGATGAAGGTGGCCACCGTCACGGGCCCGGCGAGGGGGCTGCTGCTGGGCGAGCGGGTTGCGCTCAACACGCTGGCGAGATGCTCCGGCGTGGCGACGCAGAGCGAGCTGCTCGTGTCGAAGCTGCGGGCCGCGGGCTACAAGGGCGTGCTGGCCGGCACGCGCAAGACGACGCCTGGATTCCGGCTGGTGGAAAAGTACGGCATGCTGGTTGGCGGCGCGGACGGGCACCGCATGGACCTGAGCTCGATGGTGATGCTCAAGGACAACCACGTCTGGAGCCGGGGCAGCATCACCGAGGCCGTGGCGGCGGCGAAAGCCGTGGCCGGCTTCAGCATGAAGATTGAGGTCGAGGTGCAGAGCGAGGCCGAGGCGGACGAGGCGATTGCGGCGGGCGCCGACGTCGTCATGCTGGACAACTTCACGGGCGACGGCGTCAAGGTTGCGGCGGCGAGCTTGAAGGAGCGGTGGGCGGGCAAGAGGCACTTTTTGCTCGAGGTGTCCGGGGGGTTGAGGGAGGATAATGTTGAGCCGTATGTGTGCAATGGTGAGTTTCTTTCTTGTTCCCTTTTTTTGATATATTGGATGCTGACTTGAGGATAGATGTGGACATCATCTCTACGAGCTCGATCCATCAGGGGGTGCCGCATGTGGACTTTTCGCTCAAGATTAATCACTAAGTTTTTTTTGGATAATGGGATGGAAATAGATACAAGTGTATTTTATCTGTACGTGTATGTATGTATCGGTTTATGATGAGGGCTGGATATATAAAACGTAGCTTGGGCGGCTTATTTGAATGGAATCGTCTCTTTTGTTTACTTACAATTTGAAGGCTATACATAAAATACAAGAAGATAACAAAAAAAGGTATACAAAAAAATCTACAATAAGACACTACTCAAATGCCTCAGTTAACCTCCTTGACCTCCTTCTTCGCCCCAAAGATGCCGTTAAACGTTTTGCTCAGCCGCTTGCTCAGCTTCTCATCGACATTGGCTCCGGCCTCCTTTGCGGGAACCCCCGGCGCGCTGCCCTGCAGATGCGTCACGGGATTGCTCTGCGCCATGGCCGCGCTGTTCTTGTCGCCAGACGACGTGCAGCAGGATCCGCCGAGGAGGACGCTGGCGTTGTTTCTGGTGCCGGGGACGTCGAGCGCCGGGTTGGCCGTGAAGAAGTCGGTAGGGCGGATGTGAAGCTGGAAGATTTCGACTGGCCTGTGATTTTTGTTAGTATGTATTTAGTAGAGCAGCACAAGGGTACAACTTACATGACGGGCCAGTCTTCGACTCGGACGTTGTGCGTCAGGCCAAACACGCTCCATACAACAGGGCTGCTTCGCTTTCCCCCATCTTCAGAGTGCCCATTCGTGCCGTTTGTTCCAGGCTCTCGATCTGTGAACCAATCCCCTCGCTTGACCATGTCGGCCACGCCACCAACCTCGTGCGTGCTCTGGTTCGTAAACTCGCCAGCGGCCCAAAGCTCGCCGTCCCGATATCCCGTCACCCAGGCATTGTGATGCGCAAACAGCGCACGCTTCGCCGCCAGGGCCTCTGGCTCAGCGAGCAGCATGGCCGTCGTCGGCGCAACGAGCTTGTAGCCGAGGTTCTTGCCCGAGACGGGGTTCCTCTTGTTGGCGTTTTCAAACTTGAGCAGCCGGTTGATGCGCGGCTCGGCGTCGACCCAGGTGGCCTCGTCGACCTTTTGGCGCTCGACCTTGTAGTAGTTGCCGTAGGGGTTCGTCTTGGGGTCGACCTTTTGGCTGTGCGACTCTTCGATGATGACTTGCGAGTCGGCGGCGTTGTACGAGTCGATGGCGGGATCGATGCGCACGGCGAAGACGTGCTGGTGGTTCTGGGCCATGACGCCGGGCGTCATGATGTTGCCGTAGGCGCTGGTCTTGCCCTCGTCGATGCCCGTGACGCTGACGATGCCCGTGGCGCGGGTCTCGAGCGTGATGGTGCCGGCGAGATCCAGCTTGAACATGAGGATGTACTCGTAGTTGGCCAGGGTGGTGATGAACTGCACCACGAATTCGCGGTTGCGCGTCACCACGGCGCGGCTGGTGCGGTAGTTTGTGTGTTTCCACAGAATGCCGTTGTCCTGCTCGTGGAGACAGACGACGGCCTTGCCGGGAGACGGCGAGCCATCGGGCTCCGTCATCAGAGCGTCGACGTAATGGATTGCGCCGAGACAGTCGCATCCCAGCTCCAGGTTGTTGGCGGCGCGGCCCATGCCTCCGTCGCCAAAGTCAAAGGCCTGCTTGCGGTGGAAGGGAGGTCGAGGGTCTGCGTAGGGGACCGTCATCTCGCTGAAGCTGACGCGGTACATGACTGAGCGGTTGTCGTAGTGGACATCGTGCAGGACGGCACCCTCACGAGGCGTGAAGCCAAGGCGGAACCGCCACTTTTGCCACTCAATCAGACCATCGTCGTGGACGGTGAAGGAGGCCCCCTCTGGCTGGGTGATGTTGATGGGCTTCAGGTCCGTCCGCAGAGGCACGTCGAGCAGCTCGGGGACATACTCGCAGCCCTTGTGGTTCTCAAACAGCTTGACGGGCTCATCGCTTCGAATCTTGGCCTCCAACTCGTCGCCGATGCCGCCAGTTGCGATTCTCTCCACCTTGACAATCTTCTTGGTGTGCCAGTCCATGACGGGGACAATGGGAATGGGATAGCCGTAGTGGTTAGAATCTGGGTTCCCGTTGCGGGCGTCCTTGGCATAGACCAGTCCCTGCATCAGCCGCGGGATGTTCTCCTCGTCGGCGTTGGGAGGGCCATACGGCCATGGCTCAACGCATACTTCGAAGCCTTCTGGAAGCGTAAACTCGGACATGGCCTCCTTGAACAGATCCGAGTGTATGCAGTTATCGTTGAATAGATCAAACTCGCCACTGCAGCGTGTTAAGATTTGCCCCCTTTTTCTTGTATACTTGTCAAGGAGCGGATAATAAGACTCACGGAGTAAAGTATGGCTGATGAGGTACGGGAGCAGACACTGTAGAAACCTTTCCGTTGTCCAAGTTGACCACGGCGTTGATGTACTCGGCGCGATCCGCCCGAATCACATCGTGCTCGACAATGGCTTCTCTGGTAGGCCGCGGAGTGTCTTCCGTCAGGCTGCCAGTGTGTTCGGCCTCGAGAAAGGGCTGCAGCTCAGACTTTTTGGGCTCTTGCAGGTGAATCGCTCTGAAAAAGATGGTCTCTGAGGGACCGTGAAGCTTCGCCACGGCATCGCGGGCCTGGGTGTGCTCGGCGGCCGAGAGTGGCGCCAGCGGATGCGGCCGAGGAGCGGTGATGACGGCCATTGTGAACAGTAAAGACTTGGTCGTAGCAATTGATGATAAAACAGAGTTAGAAATTTAAATGTTCCTAGCTTTTGAGAAATGCTCGTGGTCTGTCTTGGTGTGTAATATCACATAAGACGAAAGACAAGGTTGGTTGGTGTATGCCTAGTGCTCAGCTAATGGTGTTAAAGACAACAATGTGGCTGAAGAACAACGCAAACAATTCCAGTCTCTTATACGACTGTTTTCGATGCTTGTGTATGAGAGTTGAGGAAGATGATGGGTTCTGCAAGTCTCGCCCCATCTGGCGGACCACGATGTTTAAGTAGATGCTCAGAGGTTGTCATTATCAAATAGTAACAACGACCAAAGGATCCCGCGGGCTTCCGAGGCCGACTGGAGTGGGGGAGATTCATCCATATCCATACGGTGCGATAGTAACCGGCGATGGATGATGGATCTCTAGTAAATCGAAAGACCAGATGCTGGGTCATTGAATCAAGCTGCCAAAGTCGTTGCTTCAATTACAGCGACTCGACCCAGAAAGGCGGAGGCGGGGCAGCCACTAAACGTGGTCCTCACAGCGGCGTTAGCGCCTTGCCCCGCGTTTTATTCGCCACAACCCGGCCAATAGCACCGCTGTCGGCGCACTATCAGGGGACGCTGGACGCTGTTGACGCTGTTGACGCCGTCTGGGTGCCCACCTCTGATAACAAGAAACACCTTTGACGATCCATCTCCTTGGTCAACTTTTTGCTTCTTCGAGACCCCCAAAAACGTTAAAAGATGCCGCTCCGGCACATGACCCCGACTATTCCCGTTCAGGGCGATACCACGCACGGCAAGCATGAGGCTCAAGGCAAATCGCCGTTGGATGATTCACACGTTGTGGCATGATCTGATGGTCCAGCTGCATTAGTTTGGATAAGCAGGTACGGCACGCATTGCATCCCGTCTCATGTGAAGTTTATTGCCTACTTTTGGATTTGCTGTGTCAATTGGACAACGGAAGTCGGGAAGTTGGAGACATTCAATCAGCTTTTTGGGGATTTGAGTGAGGGGTTGCGGGAACGATGGAGATGGTAGATAATTACCTAATTTGGCAATTTCATGTGGCCGACTCTTGACGGCGTTTACTCCGCGCAAAGGGCGCACAGCTGATGGGACAAAACTGAATTCTCATCGAATATGGAGTTGTCAAGGCGCTGACTGTTTTATTCGTGACAATTGTAGCACAGATAACAATTGTAGCACAGATACTGCACTTGGCTGTGAGTGTTTGTTCGCCTCTTACAAGCCATACACACAAGATGTACGGCTCACACAACGCAACGGTATGGCATTTCCAGTCTTCAACTTTTCGTAGTGAGATTTGTTTTTACGTACCAGGAAATGCCCCATCTTCATCCAGATAAACATGCGTGCAGAATTCCCCATCCATATCTTGAGGCCCGCCGTTATCTCTCTATTTTATTCCTATCTGCGGCTTGCCCCGCTGCGTGTATCTACGGAGTCGGCCACTTTCACTTTCGATTCCCCGCCATGCGCCGTCTTTTAGCAGCCGCGGGCTAGGGCCAGAAACGGAAGTAAAAATACATGTGCGCCGTTGGCAGTCATTCGTCTTGGAATTGGCTGATGGGGTGTTGATGTGCTTGTATTATAGATCAATAGAAACTCAAAAGCAATTAAGAAAATAGGGACTACGAAATAAATATGTGCAGTATAATTCAAGGCAATGGAGCATTGTCCCGGAATGCAGCTATACGCATATACTTGAACCTATTGTATTTATATATGCCAAGCACCTTGTGCTCCAATGATTCCTTCTCAAAACCTGCAAATTCGTGAAACAATAAACTTCAGTATTATAGTAGCTTTGGATAGGTAGCTCATCCAGGTCTGAAGTGTGTAAGATGTAGGGACAAAGGGAAGAGTGCACACCTTGCAGATTGCCCACTTCATCTCATCGCACCAGATAATGTTTTGTCTTGTCTACGAAAGGAAGCAGTACCTGGGCACCCTTTACCTTTTGCCTTTCTTAGATTTGAGCGTATTGAAAGAGAAGCAGCCGTCTAAAGCATCTGTTTGCCGTTTCTCCAGTGACGCTTTCATTTCTTCCATCATCTCTGCTGGGTCGACTCCCACCACGGCATCATTTCCTCCTCGCTCCGCCACCACGCTATTATTCGCATCGATTTCTTCAACAGTATACAGCCGTACTAGCAATTGACTTCTAGCTAACTACTCATTTTCTTTTAATCATGGCTGCAGAAGCCATTGGGTCAAGGTCCGTCACGACGTAGGATGTTCATCTGCCTGATATCCCCGAGTTTCGCATCAAATTCAGACATCCAGGCTATCCAGAACCGAATAATTGCTTCTTATCTCTCCCACCAACCGACTGCAGAGTACACAAGACTTTGGGCGAAAAAGTCTGGGGAGTGCATCATAACACAGCTCGCGTAGCCTGTGGTATTCTTGCCGGCAATTGTTTTCATACCTCCTATTTCGCCCTCGACCGGTATGGCGTTTTTGGTGTTGACGTGGGCCCAGAGGATCTTTTGATAGAGGAAGGATACTATTTTATCATTCCGGGAAACTGTTAGTCCCTACACTCTACCTATCTTTTACTTATATATTATGGTATGATAACGCATGCCCTTTAGCTTTTTATTCCATCGTGGCCTCCTTCCGAGACTGGATATTTCCTCACGAAGATTTGGAAGATATATGGCCGCACGATCCCGCCTCCAGAAACGATCTTCACTGCAGCATCACTGGTGATTGGGGTGTCGCAGTAGCTCTTGTCCCGGAAACGGAGGAGCGCTGGTATATCAATAATGGAATGACTTTAGTCGACCAAAGTCGCGGGACCGAGTTGACGCTGATACTCCAATGCTGCCCTCAATCCCAATACACTCCAGAGGCAACACTATTTACTTGAAGCCGAGCTTTCACAAACATTTTCACGCCGGGTCCTTTACTATCGTGCCCAAATTAACTTTGACGGGTATGGAATATGTCATGACTGTTCTCTCAAACTACGCTGAGGACCCCGAGGAACCCTGGGCACGTTTCAACGGCAAACCTGCTCGGCCCTTCTACGTAGGCTCAAAACGGCAACTATTCGCGCGCTTTGGCTGGACAGTTTTTGTACACTCAAACTCGTGGGCTGTCTTTGGCTTTGGCGATGAACGTACCATCCTTCCACTATTTCAGCATCCATATACAAGGGCATTGGGCTACAGAGAAGTGGAAGCACCTTGTGCTAACTACCTAGCAGAAGATCAAGAGTTGAATCATCCATACACCTAGATATGGAAGGGAGAGTAACTTGGACAAATAGAGTAGCCAAAAGTGAGTGTATAGGATAGACATGGGAATTTAGATGAACAAAAGAAAGCAGTTTACGCATAAAAGATGGACACTGATTGTAACCAATGTCCAGGTTTTGTACTTTGCCTGCTTTCCGTCTTGGCCATCGGTATGTATATATGCATCTACATGTACAATTTACGATTGCCGCCCCACTTTCCATGGATAGGGACTGAATGAAAGGAAAGGAAAGGAAATTAGACCGTTGAAACTAGAGACTATCAGCACTTCAGCCCTGGGAACGCAGAAGAGGCGGCGCTTAGTATGGACCGCCTGCTCTAGACCCTTGCTCCTTAAAAAAAAAAAATCGTATCATTCGCGGATGTTGTCATCAATTAGCCTTATCCTAATGCTCCGCTTCGTCTCGGCCCGTGCGGCAAGCAGAGGAGAGAAGAAAAGAAACGATCTAGATTTATGTGGTTGGAATACGAAGTGTTAGTGGATGCTTGGGAGCTCGTATTATGTGAACTAGGGTGGGGGGCAATTGAGATTGGGAGTATTGAAAAAATAGAAATAGGTTTTGATTGCAAAGCAGCACCTGGAACATGAATGTGTGGTTGACATACGGGAAGCCGGTGCCGAGTGAGGGTTCTACTAGGAGGGATAGGCGAGCTGGAATGGAATTGACTGGAGGGCAGGTTTGCGTTACAGCTGACTAGACTATTGAAACTCTCGGTTCGGGATGCACGCGGTACGGTGTGTGGGCGAGTGGAAACATTATTTGTTTGCTGTCCTACAGGGAGAGTTTTTGTGTATGGTATACTTGCTGACTGCTGATACGGAGGGATGAGGTTCGAGGTACGGTGTGTTGATAGCGCGATGCGTATTCATGAAGCACTCATCTCTTTGTGTGGCTAGGTTATGAAAAACAATATCTGCTTCTTATTGGCGTTTTTAAGTGAAATCACACTTTAAGTGTCGTTTAGCCAGTATATCCCCCTGTCAGAAAGAAGCCTTTTGTGTTATTAACCCTCTATGTTCTATATGATGTTATATATCTTACGATATACAATTGCATTATTAGGCCTCTTTACTCTGTATTTGTCATAAATATCATATATTACTCAAACTTGTCCCGAGCTATCGGTATCCTAATTATTTGACCAACACGTTTTGGCTTCTAGGCCCCATTCTTATCCTTTTCATTGTACAGCGTAGGCCCGACTGTGATAGGCTGCATCTCCCTCTCTCTGCATGCAGGCCTCTGAGTGATGTCATGAATTTGTAGTCAGATGAAGATAAATGGGGTAGATGAAGAGGGTAGAAGATTTGTGTGAAAGAAAATATAGAATTAACAATCTCTGCCAGTATTGATCCATCTCTTCTCCGCCTCCAGCCATCAAAAACTTACATATATTCACAAACGCTTTATTTACTTGCCCAAAGCCTCCAATCGCCCTTTCCAAATGCAATTCTCCATCGTCTTCGGTGTGGGCGATTTCGAGCTCGAACAAAGTGGCCTCTCTTGCCACAGAGTTTAACTTTTTAAATCCAGTTCTGGTATGCGGCGAATTTTGTGACAAGGCAGTTTGGAGTTTACTAGCCTGAAGCGGCTCGCAAGAATTGGGTGGTTATGGACGGACGATACCCTTGGTAGACAGGGCTGGATGAATATTTTGTGCCGTATCTTTGACCATGTGCATGCTGGCATCTCGGACTACGGAGCTCCAGACAAGCGGTAAATTGACTTCTATTTGTCGTCCCACTAACGGAGCGTGCCGAGTCTGCCTATACGATGTGCAATACGAAGAGCTGAAGTCGGGCTATTTGTGTTGGCTGATGGCACCAATGCACGATTACGAACCATGCATCTCGCCAAGAAAAGCTTGTGTGTTTTATTCTCGTACTTGGTACCGCTTTCTATTTGATTGGATGTCGCGTTTAGCTGAGAATCGGATAAGCTGTGCATTAGCTCTACACCTTTTTAACCATGTGATAATGGCCCGATTGCTATTGCCAACTCTTTTCGCCGCATTTATTACCCTGTTTACGAAAAAAACAAGAGTCCAATGCTTATCAGGGACCTCGTGTGAAATTGCTAGCTGGGAATGAAAAAGCTGGGAAATGATAGATTGCAGGGGTGGCCTGTCCGCCAAAGAGGGAAAAAAAATTCAGCCTTAATTACTTAGTTCTGTGATAAGGCCCGTGGATGTAACGTTGGCGCTTCCCCTTGCGGGCAGCAAAACGAAGCTTGGCACGGATTCGGCTTGCTGGATCAGTGACAGGGTTAAGAACGAGATAATCTCCAACTTTAATGTTTGAGTGTAGGTTTGTTTTGCTTGGCTGGCATGCAGTGCAAAGCATAAGATGGATGAGATGGCCAATAAATTGCTGCAAAGATATTCAGGACTTACAACATGAATGATTTGTCCTTGTTTACTCAGCTACTACCAGAAAAAGTACTGCGCTTGTGCTTTGCTTTACGAGATGCCCCCCATTGGTAGCGCGAATTTTTCTCTTTGGGCTTTAGGGGTCCCCGCGAAGGAAATGACGTCGCTCCACAGCTTTGATGTCAGCAGTGAGATGAAAAAGTGCCGGTAGGATTTCAATGCGACTCTTGAATGCCAGACAGACCGGGGGGAAGAAGTCATCCATCACATACCAGTGTTGAAAGCATGTAAATAAAAGCGATGGATATGGAAGGTAGATGGATGCAAATCCTCTGGCTTTTCAGAATCAAACTGTATCACAGCGCCAGGGTCGCCGATCTCCTCTGCAAACGACCGACAGATCTCGGCGCTAGGCAGTCTGGCGTTTCAAGCTTGCGCCTTGTCAGACCCAGCCGCTCCATATTCTCTGATCCCTTGATTTCTTACAGTAGCGAGTAGCACGTTGAGTGGCCCGGCATGTGCTGAGCCATGAGGAGCAGGTCCAGGCGCAAATCACACAGATATCACGTCAGTTGTGGTCGAGGCTGGTGCATTCCATTGTCGTCGAGCGTGGTTGAGGCGTGTTTGATCAGCGTCAGAGATGCCATGAGGCGATGCTCCGGGGCTATTCTTAGACACGGCAACGTCATCTGTGGAGGGCAATGCTACGGCAACACGCTGCAATTCTTGCGCAGATTACACATTGCAGCCGGTCAGCTTTCAGCACAGTACCGTGTAGATGGCTACCTAGATATGGATCAATGTGTTCGAAATTCCTCGTACGGCCTGCCCGGCTGCAACAGAGCAAAGCCCCATGCAAATCTACAGCGGCGTGGTACCTCGTGCTAGTCGACGATTAGATTAGCGGCTCCAAAACGCCATGCACCGTTCAAACGGCTTCTGGCAGTGCTACTGCTAGCTGAGGCGCCCCTATTTTCTGCCGCCAGTTTGCCTGTGCGTGCTGCAATTTTTCAGCTCGGAAATCTCCCCTCCCACCACTGTAAGGCGGAAAGAGGCCAGGGAAATGGAAAAAGTGACATCAAACCGATGCATGCATCCGCCCCATCCTCGTCTGGAGTCGCATCTTTCTTTCTTCTTTCTTCTTGTTCTTCCAACAACCGCCTCTTCCTGTTCTTCATCCTTCTTCTAATTCCTCGTTGACGACTTTTTACTCTTCCCCCCCCCTTCCTTCTCCCGTCAATCGTTTATTCTTTTTCACCTCAGAGGACTTGTCCCTGTCAGACTGTGTGGCCCCTTTCGCAATCCCCCTCTAATTCCTCGTTTTCTACATTGGGTCTCCGTATCGTCCCATCTCGTATCTCTCTGCTGCCCCCGTCGACACCTAATCGAGCGAGCGAAGAAAGAAAAAAGAGACATAAAAAACGAGAATCCACATCTGCCCCCTGTCAAGCGGAAGCAAGCGAGAAACTTATTTGGCTTCTGGTTTCTGGTTCAAATCTACGACTTCTAATTCCTCCTTCATCTTCCCGTGGTCTTTTCGCGTGGAAATATCGTGGTATTCGACAAGAAACCTGCTATCTCATGGTCCGACTATAGCTTGAGCCGCATTCAGCTCGTACTGGATACTTACCGCCTTGGCATTCGCGATATCCACGTCATTCTATCCTTATCGACGCGAACCTTCGAGTCGAAGCGAAAGCTAGATAAACGCCACAATGCTGAATCCACGCCGCGCCCTCATTGCGGCGGCCTTCATCCTTGCCGTCTTTTTCCTCCTCTCCCGATCACACACGTCAACCTCGAGCGCCCCCAGCTCATCCGAGCGCCACGATGCACAGGCAGAGGCGGCCGCAGCAGCAGCCGCAGAAGCAGCCGCCAGCCAGCAGCGAGCGGTCCCGCCGCCTCCTCCGCAGAAGCCCATGATTGACATGTCGGGCATGTCAACGTACGAGAAGCTCGACTACGCGTACTCGTACGACATCGAGTCCAAGTTCCCCGCCTACATCTGGCAAACATGGAAGCACACACCGGGCGAGGGCGATTTCGAGTTCCGCGAGCAGGAGGCCTCGTGGTCAATTGAGCACCCTGGCTTCATCCACGAGGTCATCACCGACTCTGTGGCCGCCACTCTGCTCCAGCTGCTGTACGGGAGCATCCCCGAGGTACTGGAGACATACCACGCCCTGCCATTGCCCGTTCTCAAGGCCGACTTCTTCCGCTACTTGATTCTGTACGCGCGCGGCGGCATCTACTCTGACATTGACACCTACGCCATCAGGAGCGCTCTTGAGTGGATTCCCCAGCAGATTCCCAAGGAGACTGTTGGTTTGGTTATCGGCATCGAGGCGGACCCCGACCGCGCCGACTGGGCTGACTGGTACAGCCGTCGCATCCAATTCTGCCAATGGACAATCCAGGCCAAGCCCGGCCATCCCGTGCTGCGCGACATCATCAGCCGAATCACAAATTCGACGCTGACTCTGAAAAAGGCGGGCAAGCTCTCCAGCTTCAAGGGTAACGACGTTGTGGACTTGACCGGCCCGGCCGTGTGGACAGACACCATCATGGACTACTTCAACGACGAGCGCTTCTTTGACATGGAGCACAGCAAGGGAAAGATTGACTATCGCAACTTTACCGGCATGGAGACGAGCAAGCGAGTGGGAGACGTTGTGGTTCTGCCCATTACGAGCTTCTCGCCCGGTGTTGGCCAGATGGGCGCCAAGGATTACGATGATCCCATGGCCTTTGTAAAACACGATTTTGAGGGTAAGTCTTGAGGTCGGATGACTGAAGCGCGAACTATGTAGGCTAACAATGTGATTTCAGGAACATGGAAACCCGAAAGCGAAAGACATATCGGCGAAATCCAACAGGAGCTTGGAGACCTGCAGCTGGTGGAAGACGGACAGCAAATATGAGGTCTCGCAAACATCCTATAATTGCATGATTAAATGGAGGACACGTTATTTCCTTTTTTCTCGCCCTTTATCACTGCACCTGTATATTTTTACATCTTATTCGCTTCGACTGCGGTGGGCTGGGTTCCGCATCGGTTTAACATTTATATTCGGGTAATATTTTTTTTTCTTCTTGTCGGTTTCGACCCTGCGCATAGGTGTCGCGGCTGTGTGTCGGTAGGAGGAGGCAAAAGGGCGGCTTTTACAAACATTTGAGGCAGCATCAAGCATTGGGACAAGCTTAGTACTCATGTATTCTTTTTTTGGGTTTTTTGACACCTGTTTTCGGAGGGGAGCATAGATGCTGGATGGAGTTTGATTGATCTGCGGTCGGCATATACACGCATATATATAAATATCACTGGCGTTTCCGACTTTTTTGTTGTTTTATTGCTCGTCGTGTTTCTCATAATGGGAGATGGTGATCAAGTTTCAAGTACCGATATGGGTGTAATGGCTGCACCTCTGTTGGATCAGGTCATGGACTTGACAAGGACATGTTAGCTGGATCGAGGCCATCTAGCCAGATCAAGATGCTGCACCCAGATCGGGGCCATGTATCTTGGCTAAATAATAAGCGAGCCTCTACGGCAGGGCGTCGCAACAGACTAACCCATGAATGTTACTTTCTGGCTGCTGGCCATTCAAATGTTGGCAACCATCGCGTAGCTCGCCGCCGAAGTTTGCCGTCGCAACACAGATATTGCCGTCGACGCTACCAATGCAATCTTGGCTGCGGATTGGAGCCGAGGTCACTAATAAAGCGTGTTATCCACACAAGCACTGTGTTCGCTCCGGGGACCCGCAGAAGCTATCCGTGGACGTGGCACCATTTCCCATGATTCGCGATGACTAAGTGCGGTGTAGTAAGAAAAAAGAAAAGGAATTCGCTGTATGGATGCAAAGGTAAGGAAGGGGTTTTATCCGTGGTGAAGCTACTCCCGGACTTCGTACCGAGGGCCGCATATGCAACGTTTTTGATTCGTGGTGATGATTTCCATGTGTCTGGATATTACCGCTTGTGGACAGTGCTGAGTTTGTAAGACGGGATGCATATCACGGCTGACGACCATGACATTGTGTAGGAAGCTTTGTTAGAAGGGTGCTGTTTTGTAAATTAATTTGAGCACACAGGGAGATTCATAAAATCATTGTCTGTCTTTGATAAGTGGCCACGTTTTGCAAAAAGAAAGGACAATACCCGATACACAGGTCGGCTAGACACCGAAATCGTGCATCAGCCGCAGCTTGTTCTAAAAAAACTGCCAGCAGCAAAGCCAAGCGTGCTTTTTTGCCCCTGCAGCCCGAACCGGACCGCACATGCTGCGGGCCAAGAAGTGTGAATTTCTCCCATACGGAGTCTCCCTCCATTTTAGGAACTTTTTTCCCCCCTCTCGTGGAGCGGGCACCACAGTAAAAAGGAAAAGGACCGGGGCTGTTTTTTTCTCTCGTTTTTTCCTAATTGGATGGGAAAAAAAAAAAAAAAGCTTGCCCTTTTTTCTAACGTACAGTATGTATAAGCTTCTTAAAAAAAAAAGGCCAAAGAGAGGCAGCTTCGCGAACCCCTCTTTTTTTTTTTTTGGTGTGGCTGGCTTTTAATACCTTGCGTTAGCCCAACTGCATGCTAAACTCGACTTTTCCCGCTCTCAGCTCATTGAACACGGTCCGAAGTGGGCGAGATTTGGGGCTTTCCGTTGCCTTCTTGTGATACTCTGGGGAAGGGGGACAAGCTCGGGTGGGTAATGCCGCCTTTGCGCGGGAACGGCACTGTGGCTTTTCTGGACCCTCGGTCTTAAAAAAGAAATCGTGGGTGTGTTATAAAGTGAGGAGTGGTGTGTGTGCGTGACGCATTTTTATGTATGTGTTGGATGGAGAACAGGTTTTTTTTGTGTTGATTCTTTTTTTTATTAAATTGGAATGTGAGATTTGTTTCTGCTTTCCCTTTTTTTTGTTAATTTACTTCACTTATTGTCTCATCTTCCTTTTTTTTTTGGATTTCATTCCTTTCTTCTATGTGGATGGTTTGCGATACACGATAGCATCTCATCTTGTGGGGGATACAAACATCTCCTCCTTATGACGTTGGCGACAACAAGCTTGAATACCCACGGCGCACAATAAACATTCACCAACACTTTTCGCCATCATGTCCATTTACACACGGGCCTGCCCCGGGCCTCTCCTCGGCCGGAGCTCCAGAACCGCCGTGCGAGCCGCGCTGAGAAGAAGAGCGGCCGCCATGAGCTCGGCGGCGACGGCGACTGCAACGAGCGCAGCCGGGTTTGAAGAGAGTCTGTTGCAGGGCCGGGCGGAGTGGCAGCAGCCGGCGAGGTTTCTGGGGACGGAGGGGCTGAGCTTGAGGACGGGACCGATGGAGGTGAGTTGACATGTGAATGGCTTGGAGGGAGCTATGAGGGAACATGAAGAGTGGTGATGGCGGCTTTCGAGTGAAAAGGATGAATACCTTGTTGTTGCTGTCTACAGCAGTATACTAGAGAGGCTTCAAGGCGCCGTATCATACTCTCCTCATCAGCCTCAGCTCCAGCACCCCCTATTCTCAAGCTATACATACATACATCCACTTATACTAACATCCATCTTCCAGCCCGCCCTCTTCACAGGCACAATCTCGGACCACTTCGCCTCCATCGTCTCGCTCCACGGCGACCGTCCCGCCGTCATCGCCCGCTCGCCAACGTCCTCGTCCTCGTCTGTCGAGACAAGCCTCACCTACCACGACCTCGACCGCACCTCCAACCGCCTCGCCTCGTCGCTCGCCTCGCTCGGCGTCCGCAAAGGCGACCGCGTGGCCGTCTCCCTCGGCAACACGGCCGAGTTCGCCGCCCTGACGTATGCGCTCTTCAAGCTCGGCGCCGTGCTGGTGCCCCTGAACCCGAGCTTCAACGCCACGCAGGTCGAGTCCGCGCTGGGCCACCTCGGCGCAGAGGTCCTCATCATCGGCGCCGTCACCGATCTCGCCTATCGCCCGGGCAGGGGCCGCAGCAACAGGGCCCTGCTGGAGAAGATTGTCGGCGACGTCCAGCGCAGGGATGGCGACGTGCAGAGCGAGTCGGTGCCCTCGCTGAGACGCGTCATTGTGGTGGACAACCGCGCCGACCACGCCGGCAGCATCGCCGACGACTTCAAGCTGGAGCAGTACCGCGCGCTGGGCGACTACCGGACGCTGCTCGAGGGCGGCTCGGAGCGCGCCGTCACGCCAGCCTCGCCGCTGCACCCGCTGGACACGATCAACATCCAGTTCACGTCGGGCACGACGTCGGCCCCCAAGGCGGCGCAGCTCTCGCACACGGCCATCCTCAACAACGGCGCCTTCATCGCCGACCGCATGGGCCTGGACGCGGCCGACCGCATCGTCGTGCCGCCGCCGCTCTTCCACTGCTTCGGCTCCGTGCTGGGCTACATGGCCACGGCCACGACGGGCGCCGCCATCCTGTTCCCGTCGCCGGCCTTTGACCCCATCGCCACGGTGCGCATGGCCGCCGAGCACCGCGCCACGGGGCTCTACGGCGTCAGCACCATGCTCGTCTCCGTCTTCGAGGCCCTGGACCACGCGCCCAACCAGCTGCCCGTGCCGCAGCACCTGCGCAAGGGCATCGTCGCCGGCAGCAGCGTGCCCGAGTCGCTGATGCGCAAGATCTACCGCCGCCTGGGCCTCGCCGACCTGGTCATCTGCTACGGCATGACGGAGACGGCGCCCGTCAGCTGCATGACGAGGCCGTCGGACCCCCTGAAGCAGCGCACCTCGTCCGTCGGCACGCCCATGCCGCACACCACCGTCAAGATCGTCGACCCGCTGGACCGCAGCCGCGTCCTGCCGCTGGGCGAGCGCGGCGAACTCGCCACGGCCGGCTACCTCGTCATGAAGGGCTACTACGCCGACGCGGAGCGCACCGCCGCAGTCCGGCGCGCCGAGCCCGACGGCCGCACGTGGATGTACTCGGGCGACGAGGCCGAGATGGACGCCCAGGGCTTCGTGCGCATCACCGGCCGCATCAAGGACCTCATCATCCGCGGCGGCGAGAACATCCACCCGCTCGAGGTCGAGGACTGCCTCTTCCAGCTGCCCGGCGTGCAGGAGGTCAGCGTGGCCGGCGTGCCCGACGAGAGGCTCGGCGAGGCGGTCGCGGCATTCGTCATCCCCAGCGAAGGCTGGACGACGGCCGACGCAAACAGCACCGACAACAACGACGAAGCTGCCCGGAGATTAACAAAGGAGAATGTGCGGCGGTGGGTGCGCACAAACCTGTCGAGCCACCTTGTGCCCAAATACGTCTTTTGGGTCAAGGACTATCCCAAGACGGCGAGCGGCAAGATTCAAAAGTTCAAGCTGCAGGATATGGCCAAGGAGATGCTCGAGGAGGGGCTGTGAAATATTGAAAAGGAGAGGGAATAAGTAAAAATGAAACTAAAATCTGACAAAAAAAATGGTATTTACTGGGATGGTTTTTTTTTTTACAAAAGACATCTATAATCATATGACATGTACAGCAGCATCTTTTTTGGATTTGTTTTGGGAGTTTATAGCGTTTTGACTGAGATATGATTTTTATATGACATTAGCCTTTTAAGGGGTCTATTAATTTTACATTTTGCACACTTCAATGATGGATGGCAATGGCCTTTACATGTCAATGCAAGAGTTTCCCGCAAATGTATATATATATATATGTATGCATAACTATATATATCTAACAACCATGATATATCAACTCTAAGAGTCTATAACAGCAACTTTTCCCACCGGCTCATCAGCCAGCATTCATAAACATATGGTATCAATCAGGGCTTCCAGCATCATCTCATCTGTACCACCCCGTCCCGTCTTGCTCTAATCTGAGCCCTTGGCGGGTTCATTCAAACCCCTACCAAATTGAACATAGTAAAACCGGTATCCCAAAACAAAGTTTTTCATGTTGGTAAGAAAAAGAAACGAAAAAAAAAAAAGACAAAACGTGCTCCCTCCCGGTTAAGGGGACGAGAAAAACATGAATTCGAAAATGAAAAACAGGAGCAAGTTGTAAAAACACTCCTCAACGCCATCGTCCCAAGAAATAGATGCTCCACTTCCTTCCCTTGCCTTCTCTCGCTATCCCAAGCTTTTTCTTTTTTTCTTTTTTTTTTTTTTGTTTCTTTCATTTTCTCGCCTTGTCAAGCTAGACTTGATTTATTCCACCTGTTTCTCGCAGCCAATACGGCCAAGAAGCTCCTTGCGATCGCTGTGTCCTGGTAAGCTAACTCCGCTAGCAGAAGCCTGCTTCTTAAGCCCGTTGCGTCGCTCCCAGCTCTTCAGGTCCAAGTCTTCCACGCCCACCTCTTGCTCAAGCGGGTGGATTTCCTCGTAGATGAGCTCCTCTTCGTCTTCGTCCTCTTCGTACTCGTCGTCGCTTCGAGAATCTTCGGCACCGTCCCCGCGAACAACCTTGATGGCAACCCGGATAATCATGGTGAACCAGAAAATCGTAATGCCCTGCAGCAGGAGGAGAGGTGTGAGGAAGGCCCATTTAATGGTTTCGTTGAAGCAAACACGCCCGGTCGCGTTGAGGAATGGTTCAATCATGTAAGCAAAGCCGGCAGGAGCCTCTGTAGGTCCAACCAAAGCGTCATTCGGTCCAACAAAGCATCCGTTGGGCATGACCACAAGGGTGTCGGCGTAGATGGACCAACAGACCATGAGGTAAAAGACATGTCGAGCTACAAACCATGATACCATGAAGAGAACAAAAGTCAAGTCGCATAGCGTCTTGTAGCCGCAGTACTTGAGGCATTTGGCAACCTAGAAGCGATTGTCGAGTCAGTAATCAGACCAAGGCCAGCTTAATCAATCCGATGGCGGCTTACAGGAAGGAACAGATCCACCACGTCCATGATGACCAGGATGAACAGTCCAACGCGGGTGAAGTGGTAGCAGTAGCAAGACGAAATCAGGGCCGTGGTGATGAGGTGGTGGCTAAACATCTGCCAGTGGTCCTTGCGGCGATCCTCGATGTTGATGACAACAATTTGCTGCAGCCAAAATGCCCACTGGGCAAGCATGTAGCCCTTCAGGAGGCCGCCCATTTCGCGATTCGGCCAGTCGGTCCATAGTTCTCTCATGTTCAGCCAAGCGGGACAATTGACATACAGATACTATAGTTGCAGTCAGTCAGTGACATGTCTTCCCACAGCAATCTCGCTTTCCCCTTGAACAAGACAGTTTCACAGCCACATACCACTCCGGTAGGCCAAAAGATCATGTAGTAAATCAGCAGCCAGGCCTGTTCGCTAAATCGAGTCATGTCTTTTCGGTTGGTGATGCCATTGAGCTTGGCAAAGGGTGCCAGGACATAGTCCATGGTGCCAGCTCGGAGGCCAGTGAAGAGAACAATGAAGGCCGCAATCAGGCAGAGGTCGTCCTGTCCGGTGGCATACTTGCCAGTCGCTTCATTGAAATAAGAGAGGTGGAAGAACTTTCGCGTGTGTATTCTAGCTCTGGGGATGCAGGCGTGGGCAAGGACAAGAAGAGAGAGCAGATTGAGCGACAGGCCTATATCCGTTGAGTCGCAAAGAGTCAGCAAATGTTCCACGTTTGTAAATGTTGTGAGGAGTCCGCAATATAGAGAGTAAAAGAGCAATGCTGCGCTGGACAAAGCCTGCGACAGCTATAGAGCGCCACTCAATTGCGCGGCTACCTGCGGGGAACAGCAGCAAGAAATCCAAACATACCAACTTGGTGCTCGACGAACCAGCGAGCAAGAGGCTTCCAGATGCCTTCGTCCTTGCGCCTCACCCGACGGACGAGAACAACATTGTTGCCATTGGTCTGCATATACCGCTGCCCGTTGGCAGAGCCGTTGGCGAGTCGCGAGCCGTGGGGAGCTGTAGAGAAGCTGGCGGCCGATTTCCCGCCAGCAGCCTTGGTCGCAAGGCTATCTGAGTCGCCCATGTTGTCGAAAGGGCTCCTTTGGGAGGGAAAGAAAGGAACGAAACAAGGAAAAAAGAAGGGAAAAAAAAAGAAAGTAGCGGTCGCGAAAAGAGCAACTCGACACTCCCTGCACCAGCGCAACTATGAATGACTAGAATAAAAATAAAAATAGGGATGGAGAGAAACTGCGGAGGTGAGTCCAGAATTGCTGCGACGGCCCAGTTCCAAGTTAGAGGCGTCCAGAAGGGTGTGGTGGGGGTGGTGGGATGTCTCACTGTTTTGGCTGCTGGTTGGGCAACTTTTTTTTTTTCCTTGCACCCTCTTTTTCTTCTCAGGTGCGCCAGCTGCGGAGTGGCGCCCAAAGCTTGCAGATTAGCTTCCTGAAACGAGCTGTGGAAGGACCTACAATTGCTCGGTAAACAACTGCTGGGGGAGGAAATGAAAAAGACCAGACACTTTAAAGACCCATTGATTGGAGCTTGCTGGGTGACGAGAGACGAAACGAAGCACGCAGGCTGGGCCCCGGAAAAACAAGCAAGCGAGAAAGGACAGATAAGGCGGTGGAGCGCCAGATCAGAGGGATCAGCAGTAGATGCGAGTAAGTCGTCGAACGAAGCCAAAACCTGCTGCCGCTGGTGCATGTACCTCGCACAGTTATGCCGGTACCTTGTGTAATACGAGTAATACTGACAGACGAGAACCTGTACCGGATTACGTCTTGTAAAGCAATAAGCATTCGTCAATAATTTCAACTCCCAGCGTCTTGTTGTTGTTCTGTAAAGCCAACTTATAGCAGCAGTTGTTGCATGTTGGTGCCAGCAGAATATGAGCAGTCAGCTCGCTTTGCACATCACATCAACCATATCCAACAGAAAACTCGCTTTTAGACGCAGCTCGTCTGCCGTTTCGTCTCAGGCACATCCCTCCCCGGCTCAAATGACGTTTCTCAAAAGTCCCACTATAACAAACACGCTCTCAGCATGCAAGTACTAACATCACAAGAAAAAAAAAAAGAACGCCAACTCTTAGGCGGTGAGGGGGACGGACCAGTGGTGCGTCGGCCGCATGCACTAACACGTACAGGGCACTTTGCGCGACCCGCTAGCGGACTGGGCGCTGCAGAGGAGTGCTGAAGCCGCTCTTCGGGGGCCTCGCTAAAGGACCCCCGGCGCCCCTGGACTCAACAAATGCACCATCAATTGATGCGCCATCAGCGGGTGATTCGCCCTCCCTGAATTAACCTCAGCCCTCAAGCGGCTATGCGGTGGGCACCAATGGTGACTTGCCTATTTCTCCTCTTTTTGAAACCGCTCAGAGGCCCGTGCGAGTCGAGCTTTTTCGTCGTATCAACTCTAGGCACGTTGGACGGGTAGGGCAAATACTGGGTAGTGATGATCCATAACTCCTCTTTCGTTCCGACGACAAGGAATATCATTACTGTGTGATACTACGCAGCCTAAGACGCATGTATGTAGGTATATTTGCTCTTCAGTATCTTTCCACCAAGTGACTGTGTCCGTAGTGGGTACCGTATCCGGATGTCGTTTCTTGGAGCACTCAAGGACAGCGAACTGCGAATCCCCGCACACGTGGGCCGAGTATAGGCTGTTGAGTGCAAGGAACAGCAACTCTTGTTGGATACGCGTAAAAATTTGCCTCTGCATATAACTTCAATGGTCTACATTTGATATCCTCACAGTCGTCTTGATAACCTTGGGAGTAGGGGTTAATTGCTGCCGCTGTAAGAGCACCTCACTGCAATGCTTTACATGTAGTGGCATCTGCAACAGCAATCCGAGCACTGCTACCATGAATCTCCGAGACTATTACTCAACAAGAGCCTTCTCTAACATCTAAATAAATCTCATCTTAGTCAACCAAGATCAAGCGGGGGTGGGTCCTACAATGTGCGTTCATGACATGATTAACGGCGGAGCCTCTATACAATACGCATATCCCACTGTCATCTGACCATTTGCATCGTCTACAAATGGCTCAACCCGTTTTTATAAAGCGGGCTATTTTTCATTTTTTTCCCCTCAGAATGACATATACATGCAGGCTGATCAACTTGGAATAAGCAATAAGCGAGGTCGAGTCGCCCTTCTCAAGTCTTTAAGACAGAGCTCATTAGAATCATCTTTACATATATCAAAGACTTATACACGTATGCTCCATTCGAGAAAGCAGCGATCAAACAGCCCAGTCATAAATATGCTCATATAATGCCCCAACATTCTCTAGCCTTGGTAGCAATCAGGGCCAAAACAAACAAGAAAGTAGCCTCGTGCCGGCTGAAAAGAATCATAATCCCCTTCAGCTTACTTCGAACCACCTTAAAAAAAAATATAAAAGTCAATCCGAATGTAGACCCTGACTCACGCAAGGGTTTTCATCTTATGCCATAGGTACCTGTAGCTTACTGTACCATATCCGAGACTATTACCGCGCACGAGGCGGGGAACACAGTTCTTGGCGGTAACACTTGAAAAGCAATCAAAGCCTCCCGTAAGTGCATCCAGATACAGGAAGAACTATTGGATAGATACTCCATACGTGCCCCATCCGGAATCCCATCTTGCATGCCCGCGCGGGTCCAAGACGGAATCTACTTGAGCTGCCTTATTCTATGGGCTCTGCCCGCATGTCGAGCTGCAGCCGACAAGACATCTCGCCTAGTGCTAGCTAGAGCTTCTTCCCATACTGGCTGTTTTAGGGGACCAGAGCTTCAGAAGCTTCGACCTTGCAGCCAATCACGTCACGGCAGGCTTCCACCACAATCTCCTGCACAGCCACACCACATCTCCAGGCACCCAAAGCAACTCAAAAAAAGCCGCCTCCCACCAGCCACTTTCCCCACCCGGTCCAGTGATTTCTAGCCGACATCATTCATTCCGCCACAGCGATCGCCCTTTCTTGTAACAAACGAAAATCTTCCTTTCAAACATACAAACGAACAGATTCCCCAGAGGAGAGCGAACAAACATGGCGTCCACCACGAAATACCAGCCCGCCGCCCAGCAGGAGCCCGACGACGACTACACCCACGCACCGCCCGCGTACGGCAGCACCGCAGCCGAGGCGTCGTCGTCGGCGCACGATCCTGGCTTGTTTGCCCAGCCGCGCAGCAGCGATGACAACATCCCCGACGATTTCAAGGTAGGTCGAAAATAATATGCCTCTTCACTGCATTTTGGCCTTTTCTCCCTCTACTTATCCTATTAAAAAAAAGTCTTCTCTTCTCTGCTATATATAACAAAAAGAAAAGGGATCTCTTTACTGACGTCACTTGTTCACTTAGTTTGGAGGCTCTGTCGCTGAAGCCACCGTCGATATTCGCAACCAATTTGTCCGCAAGGTCTACAGCATCCTCACCGTCCAACTCATCGCTACTGCGGCCCTCGGCTCCGTCAGCTTCTTCAGCGATGCATACAAGAACTGGATCCAAAGCCACCCGGGCCTTGTCTGGGCATCGGTACGTTGTTTCGCCCCAATACAAGTATGCTTATAGCTAACACCATGTTTTTCAGCTCTTCGGCGCCATGATCTTCATGGGTCTCACCTACTGGAAGCGCAAATCCTACCCAACCAACCTCCTCTTCCTCTCCCTCTTCACCCTCACCGAAGCCTACTCCATCTCCGTCATCGTCTCCTTCTACAACACCCGCATCGTCCTCAGCGCGACAATCATCACCGCCGGCATCTTCGTCTTCCTCACGGCCTTTGCCAGCCAGTCCAAGTACGACTTCACCTCATGGATGCCCTACCTCTTCGGCGCCCTCTGGGGGCTCGTCATCTTTGGCTTCATGGCAATGTTCTTCCCCTACAGCTCCACCGGCGAGCTCATCTACGGCGGGCTCGCGGCCCTCATCTTTAGCGGCTACATCCTCGTCGACACGCAGATGATTATGCGCCACCACCATGTCGAGGAGGAGATTGCCGCCGCCATCAGCCTGTATCTCGACATCATCAACCTGTTCCTCGCTATTCTGCGTATTCTCAACAGCCAGTCTAACAACTAAACCTGGTGAATGGCCGGTTGTTTATAACTCTGCTCGTACTTGATGCAGAGCTTCAAGATTGTGACTTAGGCCCAAACGGGCTGTCGAGTGTTTGATTGTGATTTTTGTCTTTTTCTCGCAAATGTACTAGGATAATGGGTTAAAGTGAGACAGGAGTGCATCGGATAATTATTGCTTCTTTTTTTTTCTTCCTTTTTTTCCCGTTTCTTTTTTGTTCATCTCTTCTCTTTTGTTTTCGATGGTTGCCTTCAGTTTTTCTCTTCTTGTAGCGCAACAGATTCTCAGTGTATTGAATGGAATAAATAGCTCCTTTCAACTCTAAACATTCGGTTTGACCAAGTTTACTACAAGACAAGCTTGGTCAACGTGAAGAAGGTTTTGAATGTATTTGATATCTGCATTAGAAGTCCACTACAGTAGCTAGAAATAAATAAAAAAGGCAGTTAAAAAAACAGGGGTACCATTTAACAAGATGGCTACTGATGCAGCTTTAAAAAAAAATTAGGATACCTTGCGAGGGTGTACAGAAAGAGGCTGGGCAGCAATATGAAAACTCCCAAAAGATGCCAAAGCACACATATAGCTCTGCTCCGCATAGTATTATGCTGAGTAGCCGCATATCTCCGCCTTTGCCATTTTGAGAGACCCTCCTTCGTCGGGGTATACGTCGTCTTGTTCCAACGGCATTCATCCTCTCCGTATACTCCACCGTGCAACTCCCCTTCCCTCAGCCCCTCTTCTCCAGCTCAACCGCAAAGGTCACTTCTCGAGTTGTCGTAGGTCGCAATAAATAAATAGATGGAAAAAAGTAAAAATCAAACTCGATTCTGCAGCAGCTGGGAGAGGGGTGCTCTCATCTCTTTGCTCTTCAGTTTGTGTAGGAGAGGTAAAACCCAACGCCGGCAGCGATAAATAGACCAACGTCGCAATTTACTTTTATAATGCCGAAGAAAGACCTAATATGTGATTCGAGAGAATCTACTCCTCGGTGACACTGGTTTCCAGCGCGGGGGACGCCTGGGCGGCGGCAGTCTCGCGCTGCATGCGGGCCTCTATCTCGCGGAGCTGCGATTCGCGCGCCAGCAGCTCTTGTCGCTTCTCGTTGATCTCGCGCTGGACCTTGAGCTCAATCTCGCGCAGCTTCTCCTCCTCTCGTCGAAGCTGCTCTTCCTTGAGACGGACAGACTGGGAAGCCAAGTCCTCAGGGTTCATGGAGCTATCAAGTCTGTTCTCAGTTAGTTTGCGAAGGATGCTAGCAGATCATAACTGTGCTTACCCAGAGGCACCGCCATCCACACTCTTAGATAGTTTCTCGGTACGGTAGTTCTCATACAAGAAATCGTGGGTGATTTCTTTCAAATCAGCCAGGTGGCTGTGCAGAAGGGCTGATCGAATAGCCAGGAAGTCTGAATGACGAGGGTTCTCGACTTCAACGACACCCCATGGGTACTGGCGGGCACGGACCTTGCGGCCACCAATCTCGACCACGTCTTCTGAGCCAACAATGGCAAAAGGCATGAGGCCTCTCAACTCGGCATTCTCCTCAACGGTATCTTCGTCGTCTTCCTCAATGTCGTAGGGGAAGTTGTAAACGGGGATTCTGTAGTGCTCAATGTCCTCCATGACCAGCTTCTTCGACTCTGCAAGCTCCTGGGGGGTCAGAGTATCGGCTCGGCCAATAACGGGAATAACGTTGACACGGGGCGCAAGACGCTTCATCAATTCGATATCGAGCTCTCGGAGCCTGGTGACAACGGCGCGTTAGCGGCCAAGTAACTGGGGTGACACAAGGAAGAAGCTTACCCGTGGCCGGTAGGGGTGATGAAGTAAAGCATGGCGTGGACACGGTTGTCCCTGAAGCGAGGGTTACGCTTGATACGAGACTCTTCGGCCAGAATATCATCGTATTGTCGCTCGAGGTAGCCAACGATTTCTGAAAAGCTATAGTTGATGGTTTAGCGTGCATGCGTCGAGATATTAGTGAAGGGTGTTTGGGCGGGGCTAACCTGGCCTCGTTGTCGATCTGGTCGCCAAATCCAGGGGTATCGACAATGGTCAGCGAGATTCGGGTGCCTTCCTCGTCAAGTTCAAGCTCTGATGAAGCAATTAGCAGAGTTTAGACAAAAAAAAAATCACAATGTTGGAGTCTAATGTCACGTACCAACCGTAAGGGGCTTGATCTTGACGCCCTCCTCAATGTGCGCGTTGGAAGCATCGTCGGCTTCCTTATGCTCGAGAACAGACTTGCCGCAGAGCGTGTTGACAAAGGTGGTTCGGCCTGCAGAGGCACAATGTGAGTCTGGAAATCCCCCTTTGAAGCTGCGGGCGGGCGAATTGTATCGCGAATGGGTAGGGCAGCGACGTACCAGTGCCAGAGGCGCCACACACCATCAGGCAGAACTGAATGCCCTTCTTGACATTCTTCTTTCGGCGGATTACCTTCTATGGAGTCAAGAGCTGTTAGTTTTTGCGCGTTCTCGTGCCAAAGGCCGTGGCGTGGGCCGCAGCATCGCCCTGAAGAGCATGTCTTGGAAGCGACGCATGTGCATCCCTATTCTTGGACTGGCACGCCAAAAAGATTTGCGGGAGACGGGAGATTGGACGTACGGAGGACATCATGAGAGGCGACTGTAGAGAGGGGGAGGGACCTTGGAACGGTGGGCGAGGATTTGCAGAAGCAACGAGAGTGAAGAGAGAGGAATGGGTCAAGACGAAGCTCTTGATGGGGGAAAAAGATGGAAGAATTGGGGCGGTTTGGTGGCGGTGATTAGAGGCCAGGGGAAGTGCTAGCTAAAGGGGAAGAAGGCGTTGTATCTGGCGTTTGCGAGTCCAATTTCACGCCTGCAGAGCTGTCGGGTTGGACCTTCAGTTCAGGGGGGCCACCAGCTAGGCCCAGAAGAGCAGACCGCCCCTACCCACGGCCCTGGCCTGTAGCTCCCTACTACGAACGAGAATCGGCGGTGGTGGCACTAGGCGCCAGGTACAGCGGAGGTACTGCTGCCAGTGCCGCCCGGGGAACGGCAGTGCTGGCTCTCAAGAAGGTACTGCGGGAGTACCTGGGCTGGAAATCATGCAATCCCAAAACGCACTAACAGACGCAACCTGGACAGAGAAATCGCAGTACAGTACGAGGCTACGGAAATTCACCAGGAAGCACAGCATACAGAAGGACATGTGCAGCTGCTGGAAGAGAACTGAATTAACAAGTGAATCTCGCCATCAAGTATCTTTCTGCTTGACATCATCTCGCTCTACCCCAACTTTGAGAGATGGCCGCTTGGTACCTGGCTGATTGGGCATAAAGTAATACGAGCAAGCGAAGATTATGCTTGGAGATGAAGTGCCCAAGTGGCCTTTTATAGGGACTGGACCTACCTGTATTAGGCACCTGGCCCTGTTCCCCAGAAAATCGCCAACATACTGCGTTTTGTACTAGACGGTATTGAGCCGCCTCGTATTCCAATGCTACGCAGCAATTACACCAGACCTGATGCTCCAACTCGTATTACTATCTACACAGAGCATCCAAGGCCTCTCGTCTACCCAACTACGGGCCTCTGTGTATATCTGGTAATACCACAGCTTTCTAAAGGAGCTACAATTCATCTTTGTAAACTATTTCTGCTTTATTCATGCTCATAATAGGCATTCAGTATTGCGCCCAGCCTGTATTTTACAATACCTACTCCAAGATGCGTATCGCGACTCAAGATTGAAAGGGGCAGCCGGGCCACTCACTTCTAGCGTGCTGTCGCTACAAGGCCGCGCGCCCAGCGACCCACGGCCTGGTAGCAGTACTGCACTGCGCTGCAGGCTTGTACCAGCTAAGCAGCACGCCTAAACTTCAAACAGCAGCAAAGTTCATCAGTACATACATTGATGTACACGCATCTATCGCTCTGTGGAATCGCATTTGACTTTGACAGGTGGATGCCTTTGCAGCGTCTGCATCCCTATCTCACTGTCTCTCCCTTCTCCATCCTCGTGCATCCATGCGCCTCCAAGGACCGCTGCAGCAGATGCATTCATGCCTTCTTTGCTGACGGCCAGCGTTCAAGCTTATGTTGCTGGCGATTCCAGCCTCTAAAGCCGATAGCTGGCGGGGCCAGTGACTGCAGTGACCGACCACCGAGCACCGCAGAGTCCACCCAAGATTGCCGAGCTGCTGGGCATCGCCGTCAACAACATCCGAACATACCCAGTGATACCCCCAGCGCGAACGCTTTTTTTACGGAACCAGGAAGAAACTGCTTCTGCATCTAGAGCACGAGTGATACGAGAGGCTATTCCGCTCGGGACGTGATTGATTTTCTCTTTATTTTCTCTTCTATTTCTCTCGTCTTTTTGCACATCACTCTCGGCTGAAACCGCTCTCACCGCGATGAATGTACGACCGCCTATAGAGTCGTCCTCTCCCACGGCGGTTCTATCTGTGGCCTTTAACAAAGACTCCAGCTGTTTTTCCGTGGGTTTGGAGTCCGGAATCTGCGGTAAGTCACCTTATAGCGGACCCCTTGATGAAACCGGACTTTACAGCCAGCTGACCATGAGATCGTCATCATGATATACAGTCTTTCATACCAAATCATGCCTGCTCAAGGCATCAAGAGGTACGCGATGACCATGCCACATACTGGCTATTTATATGCAAGGCAACTAACATCTGATGAGATTTCAACGCCGGCATCGGCCTTGTACGGATGATGGGAACGACAAACTACCTCGCTCTTGTTGGCGGCGGTAAATCTCCAAAATTCGCCATGAACAAGGTATCTATTCCCGTTTGTCCTGCAGCACTATTACACTATTGAAGAATGGACATCTGATTCGGCATGTTTCTAGGCCATCATATGGGACGACATGAAAGGCAAAGTTGCGTTGGAAATCTCAGCCCTCAGTGCTATTCGCGGCGTCCAGCTGAGTAGGGATCGCATCGTCGTCGTCCTGCAGAATAGCGTGCGTGTCTACTCGTTCGCTAAGCCTCCAGAGCTGCTTCACGTATACGAGACCGCCGATAACGTCCTCGGCCTGTGCTGTCTCTCAGATAAAAAGCTTGCCTTTCCAGGCCGCACAACAGGACAGATCCAGCTCGTAGAGCTTGGCACGGGTAATGTTAGCATCATTCCAGCTCACTCATCTGCCCTCAAAGCTATTCAGCTCAGTGCAGACGGAGAGCTGCTGGCCAGCGCCAGCGAAACTGGAACTCTTATCCGTGTATATTCGACCAGCAACTGCGCCAGGTTAGCAGAACTTCGCAGGGGCATCGACCCGGCAACCATATTTTCCCTCGCCTTCTCCCCATCTGGATCATTACTGGCCTGCACATCTGACAAATCTACGCTTCACATCTTCGACGTACCCCATCCCCGGCGGCCGAGTGCTCATCGTAGCCCGCAGCCAGGTAGTGCAGGATCAGATGCAGATGTCGGGAAATGGGGCATTCTCAGTAAAATCCCACTTATGCCGCGAATGTTTTCCGACGTCTACTCTTTCGCTTCGGTGCCCTTCGAGGCCGGTAACGAGTCCATGATTGGCGGCATACCATTTACAGAGGGCACCGTGTTGGGAACTACAAGGCCTCCCAAGGGAGTTATTGGATGGATTAGCGAGGATAGCCTTGCGGTTATTGGCGCAGGCGCGGACGCACGATGGGAGAAATTCACATTGGTCGATGGCGATGACGGAAAGCGGCACTGCGTCCGCGAAGGCTGGAAACGATATCTAGGAAACTCATGAGACAGAGGTAAGGAAGAAATATCCAAGGGTAACGAATGATTTGACTCAGATGCAACGGAGGTATGGCGTTTTTTGGGTGGGCAGCAATAGTAATGTTTGGAAAGAGACGTGGGAATATTTTGGGTAGTCGCCCTGTTAGGGACTATAGTTGTAGCTTTGGACCAGATGTTAATCTTGACGGCGTCGAGGAGATCGGCTTCTATTTCTCCTATGACCGTCGTCGTCTCCTCTCCTTCTCCTGCGTCTTTCCCGCTCATCATCTCGTCTGTCATCGTCTCTTCTATGGGACCTGCTGTCATCATCTCGTCTGTCGTCGTCTCTTCTGTGTGATCGCCTGTCCTCAGACTTCTTTTCCCGCCGCCTATGGCGCTCCGGTGAATCCCCCCGAGAAGTATCTCTGTGCCGCCTATGGCGCTCTCTCGAGTCATCTCGATATCTTTCTCGTCTCGATTCGCCCTCTGAAGGTCGTTTTTCTTTCTCCGGTCCCTCTTCCCTCCGAGATCTAGATTTCTCACCTCGGCCATCATCTCCCTTCTCTCGTCTTGATCTGTGGTGTCTGTGATGTCTGTGCCTGTCTGATATCTCTTTCCTGTCAGCTCGCCGCCGCGCATCTTCCACCTCTTTCTTCTTCTCCTCAATCAAGAAGCCCTTCATCGGGTCGTCGTCATCGTGATCTCGCATCAACAGAGCCAGTTCTCTCTCCTCTGGTAGCATTGGTCGCTGAATTTCCTCTTCTTCGCTCATCTCGTCGTCGGACACGGGTTTGCCCTCTCTGCGTTGGACATCTTCCCAGCCAATCTTGTATTCGTCTTGGTCTTCGTCGTCTCGAGCTTGGTACCGAGCGTGGTCGACTCGTAGTAACCGGCCTCCAATCTCGGCACCTCCTAGATTGTCCACTGCTAGATCTGTGCTCCGCTGGTCTTCGTATTTCAGCCAGCCGAAGCCCTTGGATTTCCCTGTTTCCTTGTCGCGCACGAGTTTTAGGAATACCGGCTCGCCGAATTGGGAGAATATTGTAGCGATGTCGCCTTCGGAAAGTTCATATGGGAGGCCGCCGAAATAGACAAAGGCTGTGTCGCGATAATCTACATGCCATGACGCGTCCGGGGAGCTTGGAGCATGTCAGCTTTTGCGCTTCGCAAGTAATGGTTGGCGGAGTGTTCAACTACAGCAGACTCACATTCCATTTTCAATCTCTTTTTTGTTGAGCGCTTGAATGGCGCGTATCTGATTCATAGTGACTGACTCGACAGGCAAGACTCTTTTCCAACAAATGTTACAAAAAAGGAACAAGAGGCGTCGGGTTGTGTTGTAGTGATTATCGCAGTCATGCAAGGCTGAAATGTAGCGATCTGCAGTGGCTGCTAGCTTGCAAGGCTACGGGCTGCAATAGCACCTGGAGTCTGCTGGAGGCCACCGCTCTTCGGGCTTTCGTTAGCGCTGGGAGCTGTACTGTGCCGGGTCATCTCCCGGACCGACAAGACTCCCCAAGCAGCGACCCTGAAGGAGGAGCTTCTGCCGCAGCTCTGGGTAACTATCCTCGTCTCCAAGACTTGTGTCGTCGTATTCCTAATACTCGAGCCGGAGCTAGACGAGACATTGACGAGCAGTCTGCCGGCGCAGAGGCTTTTCTCCGCCACGTCGCATCACCGTTGGTATATCTTCAGCAGCAAGATGCTCCACCAACATCCCTAGATCTCCATCATCCCACCTTCAGACTGCAACGACATCAAGCGCGCGCCTTGCCCCTATAACATCCTCGGCTACCAAACCACGCGCTGAGTACGGACGAGTACGCATATGCTGTGATTCAGCGACCTCTCATATTTCTTCTTGCAAGCATTCTGGTTTAGCGAAGCTACCATCTCCGAGGTGCGGGGGCCGTGACCATGGCGAACAGGATATCAACATATACGATGACATCAAGGGACGGCGACAGTCAAAATGGCGAGCCAAAGAGGAATTTATGGACGTCCATGCTAGAATCAGTTGCCAGCGGCAAGCGATTACCAGAAAAGAACCTTTTAGTCATGGGTATGGAAGCGCCCTTCTCACAGAAGATGGCTCCAGCTTTCAGGTGGTAGCTGACCGTACACTCAGGAGGCACTCCGGAATCGCAGCGAGAGTTCTTGGAGTCTCTGTCCGGATCCGAGCCGAAGCGCAACTTTGACCGACAAAAGATTCCGCCGATTGCGAACAATTATGCTTTGGGTTATACGTACTATGATGTTCTCGACGCAGATCAGGATGGTTAGTCCGCCTCGAGCCGCCCGGCTGTGGGAATGCCATTGTTGACTAAACGGTGTTGGCAGATACACTTGCTCGAGTTTCTCTCTACCTTCTTTCGCAGCCGTCGGGCGAATTCGCTTCGCTCGTTGCCCCCTTGCTCACGCCCGAAACGATACCAAATACTGCGCTGGTAATACTGCTGGATTGGTCGCAACCGCATCTGTGGCTTCGTCAAATCTGGACCTGGCTGCAAGTATTCCAAGAGGTCTTGGAACACCTGAGTAGAGATGTGCAGACCGAAATGGAAGATGTCATGAACGCATGGAAAGAGAGGGGCAGAGGAAGCTCTTCGGTCAACCTGGACGGTACTCCCTCCGCCACCGTCGCAAACGGCGACAGCGATGGCTCACTACCGCTTGGTCCGGGCGAGTGGACTGAGCCTCTTGGCTTGCCCTTATGCGTTGTGTGTCAGAATGTAAGTTGACGTCACATTACCTTGTTTCATGCTCTTCATCCTAACAGACTGCAGTCACAAAAGATTGATTTTCTAGAAAAGAGCAAGGGGTGGAAGGAACCGGACTTTGACGCAGTGCTACAGAATCTACGAACAGTCTTATTGCGACGTAAGTATTTTTTATTCCTCTTTGAAATCTACATTTTTCTCTCAGTGTCTAACATAGCTTAGATGGTGCTTCTCTCATTTACACTTCACAGAGCACGACCTCTCAGCTGCCTATTCTTATCCACTCCACCCTCGGCATTACATCTCTCCTAAAGCGACAGCCCCTGAAACACAATGTAATTGACCGAGATAAGATTGTCGTCCCGCCGAACTGGGACTCATGGGGCAAGATTAGAGTTCTTGGCGGCTCATTTGATACAGAAAAGGTATCTCAATACTGGTCTGAGGATATCAAGCTACCTCTTGGGGCCGCTCCCCCAAGCATGGCATTCCCTGATCCCGAAGACGACGACGAGAACGGTTCAAACCAGCTCCCTCAAATCGAGAGCGCCATTGCCCTCTACGAAGAGTGGTGCAGAGATCCGAATAGTGGAGGACTCGCCGTCGTAGAGAGCGCAATGAACGACGGCTCAGAAATAGCGATTGAAAGCGAGGATACGCAGGAATTCCTTGAACGGCAACTAAAGATTTTGGATGCGTACAAGTCAAAGGCACCCGAAAAGGCTACGGATAGCCCTCTCTCCAGCTCAACGAGGAAACTAGAGTTCAATGACGAGAAGACTGTGAATGAGCATATCGGTCCGGTGCAATTCAACATGGGTGGTATTCAGGTCGATGCTGACGATATGCTGCAACGCCTTAAGGTACGGATTCATCTCGGCATGAATAATAGGAATTATTTTTTCAGACATCTAACTAACATTTTCGAATAGGACCGCAACGCACACATCGCAACTGACTCTCCTTCAGCTGAACCAGAAGCTGCCGTTGGCAACATAGCCAAGGATTTCGACAACGAGCAGCTTCACGATTTCTTTTCGGGGTTGATGAACAGGACAGCCGGGGATCGGTCATGACGGAGATTCTTCAAACTTTTTTGCTCCCTCCAGTTTGGTTTAGTTTTTTAATGATCATCTTCAAAGCTTTGGCGGGTTAAAAAGAAATCATCTTTTCTTGTCTTGTTTTTTTCTGATTAAGCGGCAAGTTCCACGAGCGAGCATTTGGACACGAGCACACACACATACACGTAACAAAAAAGATGGAGGGCAATTGTCTTTTTCTGTATGTAGATTCAACTCTCATGATGATGAATTTTATTAGGAGGGGGGAATGGAAAGTTGGGCTTTGGAAAAACAAGAGAAATGATTTGGTCAAAGGGAGGAAGGGTATTAGGTAGGTAGGTAATAAGGTAGGTTGGGCGTGGTGGGGAAGAGGCATACATACAATTTCGTAGAATAGATACCCTTGACGATGAGGAACAACAAAAGAACTTTTTCAAAACTTTTTCTCAATTTTGTTTTCTCAATTTTTAACAGCTCAGTAATAGTAAGAGACGAAAATATCATTCAGTGTTTTGATGAACCCGAATAACACGTCTATTTTCACTGTAGTCTCTTGAGTATCAATGAAGCATGATCCAGCGAGACACCCTTTTTCATACCATTCAAATTCCCTAGAAGCCAAAGAAGAGCCAAAGAAAAGCCAAAGGAACGGCCTATAAGAAGAAAAGTAATAGACGGGGGGAAGAGAGGGAGAGAGACTCCTCGAGGAATCCGACTTCCCCTTTCAAAGCACATCGCCACCAAAGAACTGATTGTAAGAAAATACTGTGATTTGTAAACACCAATTACACTTTCCGTCGCGTTGACTTGTATCGCACATCCACAGTCTTCCCCTCCAGCCCCAATCCCAATCTCGCCACAACCACACCTCCCAGTAATCCCGGGAACAGCCACGGGTGCTGCAGCATCTCTGCCTCGAAAGCGTTGATCGTCTCTCGCGCGAGTCCGGTAAATTTTTCATCCGCTAGGAGCTCGCCGAGACGGAACAGATTGGAAACAGAGACCCCGTTAGTGGAAGGGAGCGAGGTGTCCATGCCGTCTTTGAGGCGGAGGATGGTGTGCGGGGAAGACGGTGTTGTTGAGTAAAAGGCGCCGGCAGAGTCATAAAAGAAGGCGTTTTGTGATTCTATCGAGAGTGTCAGTAGTTGTAAATGATCCTGGTTAGGCTTAGGAGTTGACAAGTCTTACTCTGCAGGTTGTCGGCAAACTCGAGGTAGCTTTCGTCGCCGGTGGCATCAAAAAGATCCAAAAGACCATGAGTCAAATACGCATAGTCATCCGCAAAGCCTTCAGTGTGCCTCCCATCGCTCCATATCCGATACAAGATCTTGTTCTTCTCATCCCAGAGCTTTTCTTTAATAAACGATATGCTCTTTTTGGCTGCGCCGAGATATTTTCGGCTCCTCTCTGGCTGCAGCTCCTTTAGAAAAGCTGCCGTCCGTATCAAAGCTGATACCACCAGACCATTCCATCCAGCGACAATCTTATCATCAACGTCTGGGTGCGGCCGTTCTTTTTCTCTCCTTTTCTTGAGCGCCTCCCGAGCAGTTTCTATATCTCGCTTCACGGTAGCAACGGGCACATTGAACTGCTTACTCAGCTCTTCTGGCGTTTTCCTAATCCTCAAGATGTTTTGGTTGATAAAGTCGTCGTTCGGGTCGTGATCCTCGTCCACATTTCCATCCTCTTGGACGTCCCAATATGCTTCGGCTATGGCGCTAATGTGCTTGTCATCAGCGTTGACGACGGAAGCAAATTCACGCCGTGTCCATAGATAATAGGCTCCCTCCCTCTTTTCGGCGTCTCCTCTCTTGGCATACGAATCTGCAGCTTCGGACGAGGCAAAACCGCCGTCCGGAAGGGCAATGGGCGGCGAGGTCAGATAATCGGCGAGCTCGATAACAACATTGTAAAACTCGCTGTCTTCCCTTGCACCGCTCTTTCTCCATGCCTCTAAGTACAGCTGTAGAAGCTCAGCGTTATCAACGACCAATTTCTCAAAGTTGGGTATGCTCCAATCGGGTGTAACCGAACATCGCGCAAATCCAGTGGCTCCAATGTGATCATGCAGCGCCCCATCTCGGATCTTACGCAAGGTATCCAGAGCCATATCCAGCGCATGCTTGCACTCAGCTTCACCCACAACATCTTGAACAGGCGCAGGAAAGTTGACCAGATTCAGGAGAAAGGCCAACTTGGGAGGCGTCAAGAATTTGGGTGCCAAGCCGAATCCTCCATACACCGGGTCAAAGGTTCCAGCAATATGCGTGTAAGCTTCTTCAAGCTGGTCAATGTCCAGCTCGCTGGAAACGTCCGTACTGTCGCTCACCTTGGCCACGGGCTGGTTGGACACCGGCGCAGCCCAGCCAGCCGGAGCGATCTGCTGCTGCTGTGGAGCCGCGATGCTTCGTTTCCCCAGAGTGCCTTCGGCCGCAAATTCACGCAGTTGGCCAATGACCTCGGTTGCCTCTTTACGGCATCTTGCCTGCTGATCCTTCCAGATATTGCGCACTTTTTTCACGATGACCAGAAAATCCAAGGGCTCGTCACCATGGTCCTCTGCAGCTCTCCTTGCTACGCTTGGACCCGGCCAGTACGTTCCACCAAAGACGGGCTCCAGTTCGGGCGTAAGGAAGAGGTTGAGCGGCCAGCCTCCAGAGTTGCTCACGGCTTGGACGTAGTTCATGTAGATGGTATCAATATCGGGGCGCACTTCGCGGTCGACGATGATGGGGATGAATGAGTGGTTTAGGACGGCAGCGCAATCGGGGTTCATGAAGGATTCGAGCGCCATGAGGCGAGAGACTATTTGGGTCAGCGAGATTGATCCCGTGAGGCACGAGAACGAGGTTTCCATCTGGTACAAGACTCACAGTGGCACGCTCTGTATCCAATGTGCAGAAAGATTAGCTTATTCTCCCTCCTCGCTCTTTCGACAGATTCGTCATCCAGCAGCTGCCATGCCACAAGACTATCGCTATAGCCCTTGACAAACGGCGACCTGCCTTCTTTTGCGCGATTCTGGAGAGGCGGTAGTTGAGCTTCTGTACTGCTGCCGCTGCTGTCTCCTCTCTCCGACGGCGGCGAGGATTTCATGGCGACAGCAGATGCTGTCAACTCGGAGACAACCATGATAGCGACCAAGATTCGTCGAGCTGATTGCTGTCGTTGCTCTTGTGTAGGTAGTTGATTGACCTGTCAGCTCCCCCGTCAAGCCGTGGATATGCTTATTTTCCGCAACTCGCCAAAGGTGTTGGATGATATGCGTGATCGTGTGTCTAGATGAGAGCATTAGCTATGCGCTGAAGCTCTCGCGCTTGGTTGCGACAGCAATAAGTCAAAAATGGCAGGGTAGGTAGATAGCGATAGTGGCAGTACCTGATCAGATAAGGCGCTGGATCTTATCGCGATTCGATCAAGACAGACAGGAAAGTTGTCCAGAGAGTTGGGAGCCTGGGATGGGTTGGGCAATGACGGAATAATGCCTACAGGTAGCTTACTCGCTATATTCTGGGGGGCACCGCTATCAACCCCGCCGAGGGGCTTGATAATGGCGCTACCCTAGACCTAATCGAGAGTCTTGTTGGGCTTGCGTGGACGAATCGAACGTTGTGAATGCGCCATTTCGGATGCAATGGGCAGAGGCCTTTGGTGCTATTCATCGGTGGTAGATAGGCAAAAGTGGCTGTTGGTGGCTGGGCGGTTTGGGTTGTATTGATGCTGGATGTGGTGTAGCAGCTTATGGTTACATTCCGCTGAGAACTGCTACTTTACGCATGCATTAACGCAGTATAAGTGCGTCGGGAATTCAATCAACCGCTACGTTATATCATGTACTACGTAGAATTGGATCATGTAGCTCTAAATTTTGCTTTCTACTTCTTCATCTTCTTCATCATAGATTTCCGATGCACGTCCATTTGACTCTTGTGTTGAAGCCAGTCGGATTACTGAATACCTAAATACCATTTGCGGACACAACTGCGGCAAATGGCTAGACTGGCATCAAGTCACTATTTGAACCTTAATCGTGACTGGGCATGCAGCTAGATGGTTGCTATGCCCTGTCACTTTGCTTATCGTAGCTGTAGGTTTGAAATCTTTTTTTAAAGATTTTCGATGATATGAATCACCCTTTATTCGATCGCTGCGGCTCAGACAAAAAGGTCGAATGTCAGCGTCGATATAGCTCGATTACATCATCGCCGGATGAATGTGCTGCTACGATGAAGTTCACAGTTGCAAACTTATTACTCAGTATATAGCAAAGTACGAATAGGCACGCCGTAAATTGTAGGGTACAGTTTCCCAAAGAGAAGTAACATCAATACGTGCACACTCCATGACGCTGATATGCTTGAATCCATCAACGTAAATGGCTGCTCATCAAGCTGCAGGCCAGCGCCGCGGTACCTACAGCGTGCCTTGTAGTGGCGGATGGCGCTAATGCAGCCCGTTAACTTCGGCACGCTCAGCCGCTAAGCGCTACGTGGGACTGTAACTTTGCTCATGCAGGCATCTGCCCACTACTGCTAGCATGTCACTAGAGGCCCAGGACTCCTGGCAGCTTCTGAAAGCTTCATTCTTAGCCCTTTCCATCTCCATCGCCATCGCCATCTCCATCTCTGCTCCTTTGCAGTCTTCCGTCTGAGGCGCCACGCAGCTTCATGGAAGAACCGCAATACACCGTCTTTATCAGGGTGCCCATCCCCCGTCGGGGCTTTGTCGATCCAGCGCCGGTATGTGACTCGTACTAACGCTTTAGTACCACCTGCAGCAGTGACAACACCGCACCAGGCCTGCTAACACCTTATCTTTGTCTACATAGGTCAGCTGGGACGTCGCCAAAGATGAGGCCCTGTGGAAGATTCTCTCCGGACACAAGGAAATTGACTGTATGATGCAACCCTTGGTAGCGATGGCCCAGAGGACGGAAGCATGTTCGAGCTGCTAACAGCGTACAGGGAATCTAGTGTATGCCATCTATCAAAGCCGTGGCGATCCATTCTCCTGAGCTGCCCACTAACCATGCCCAGAGCCGACCGATTCGAAGTCCCCGTCGATTTTCTAGTGCAGCAGGTAGCCTACCTCAACGAACGACATCAATCACATTTCCGCGCCCAAGTGAGAAAAGCGACCGCCGCGGCCAAGGGCTCTGCTACCCAGTCACCTATACCCGGATCCGATTTGGCTGGTCTAGGCCATCTGAGGACACCGTCAGCTCTGTCTATACGCCGCGATGTGTCTGCGCTGCGCAACGAGAGCGGCACATTCGCATCCAATGCGCCGGCTCGCCCGACCATGTCGCGCAACACCTCGGCGACTACGACGGTCATGAGGGATGGCGGGGGCGCATCTCCTAGGACGAGCAACAAGCCCAGTCTCCGAGCGGCCGAGCCAGCTGGGCGGAAACGACTATCATCACTGCCAATGGAATCGCCAGTACCAAGGTCACCGAGATCTCCAAGGTCTCCCGAACAGCCTGCTGCTGAAATCGACAAAGCGAATTCTCCTGGCCCAGCCGATAATAGTTCAAGTTCCTCGTCCGACGATGACTCAATGCCGGTCCAGTCTCGCATCATCCGTCGGCCGCCGCGGTTTGGGCCGCAGGAATCATACCCGCCCGGCTATCAACCCGATGAGGACGACGAATCAGAACCTGCGTTTCAGCCGTATAGTGCGCCATTGTCATCGCCTGACATGTCATCGACGTTGAAATTGCAAGACCGAAATAAGCCGAGGCGAAATCAAAAGGCAGTTGCGAAATCGCCCTATCATTCGCAAACCTCTGACTCGTCAGCTAGTTCACCCGCCATGGTGCTGCGACCAACAAAGACGCGAGATGCCAATAATGCAACCTCGGTGTCGCCTCGTCAAAACGCAGAGCCGGGAAGCAGCGAAGAAACCCATAGCATCAGTAGCAGCTTTAGCGACTTGGATGGTAATTTTCTCCATGTTGCTCGTCTTACTCTCTTGCTAATGTTTAATTATTGCAGATGCGTCTGTCACACGATCCGCTATGGAAGAAGCGTACGCCAGTATGGATCGCGGCAGCGGAAGTCGCTTTAGCATCAGCCTTCCGTTTCGGAACAACCACTGAATCACTTTGACGTTGTTTATACCTAATTAATTTTTATGACGAATGGAAATCGACCTTTGCTTCTTTTTGGGTGTTTATCTCACAAGGGTTTATAATGAAGGGACCTAATGAAAGGACTATTTGGCGCCAGTGGCTGGAGTTGGATATCTAGCAACATCTATGATTTATACTTACAGATACACTGTCCATCTGCAAAGAGAGCAGCTGGTCCTTAGAGCAGAGAGTTTATTGTCCAGCTCTAGATGTTTAATCATGTTAAGCTGTGACTGGCCTATATTTAGGAAATATATGACAAGATTGTACCGCATGTTACGTTCTTCATTAGACATCCTGGTAAAGGTTGCTATCCAAAAATGATCCAGAAGGCCTACTACAATGAGTGTTTCACTCGCTTTGATAGCAGGATGATAGCAACAAAATAACATCATCTTCAAATCAATAGGCTTATGCGTGCTGCAAATGTCAATGTTGCGGCCAAGGCTCCATCTCCAAGCCAGCGTGTGCAACTCTGGCTGCGGGTGTTTGCAGCTGGTACACGGCTTTGCGCATCCAACTCTCTGTTTTTGGCCGCTGATGCTTAATCTCGAGAATAAAAAGCTGCTGCAAAAGATAACGAGGAGTTCCTGCACCTGGCACTCTCACCGCATCGCAGCTTGGTAGCTCTTGGCTTCCTAGCTTGACCTCTTGACTCGATTCTTTATCTCTACACCTAGAGGGATAAATAACCAAAAAGCCGAAGCGTTTCAATTCTCTATTTCGTCTTCAGACACATATTCTAAAGAGAAACAACGTCTTCTCTTCATCACCGCCACCATGTTTCGCCGTCTCTGGTCTGGCCTCCCACCAGATGCCCACTTTCCTTCAGATCTCAAAGGACTCGGGTTTGTTTGCCCTTTCGCACTCTTCCTTACTACACTCTGGCGAGAACTTTTGAAATACTCTTCTTCTCTCATAGATGTTTCTAACGAAATGGGTTGAACAGATACTTTGTCAACGATCAAGATGAAATCCGCTCCATCGAAAACCCGGACAACTACTTCAAATTCTTCCTTAATCGCAACCCGCGTATTTGTGCTCGCCAACGGTTCGAGTTTAACCGTAAGTGCATCTTATGCCTATGCATAGCATACTCAGCATTATTCATTATCCACTGTATTACAATGCGACTAACGTATATCCACTCCTTAGATGCCATGGAAGCCATCATCCACAAGCGTCTCGAGCGCCAAGGGCTGCTGAAGCTCCGCCTACCTTTCGGTGCGTGGGAGACGGAGCCTCATTTGCCTATTTTTATCACCCCAGACTTGGAAACCCGGTCTCGAATTGTCGTTATATTCGGTGAACCCACCCACGAGCTTGGAGTCCTGGCAGGTCGCGTGGCCAATGGACCGGGAGGCATCGACGAAGGGAGCGTCATCCCGGTTGTCCGAGCTGTCAAACTGCAGAAAGCATCCGGCAGCGATGACACTTCTCCAGGCATCTTATTAGCAAACATGGGTCAGACGTGCTGGTGGCCCGAGGGACAGCGAGCCATCACTGTGACGGCCAACAACGCCGTGCCGCTGCCTAGTCTGGTGCATAGAGGAGTGCAGCATGTGCCAACTATACACGATATTCCAGGCAACAATAGTGCAGAGGAACATGTCAAATACGTGTTTAACGAAGTACTTTCGCGCTGGGCTGGTGACAAGGCAATCGTGGACATAATAGCTACTGGAGAAAGCTGCGAGATTGTGGAGCGCTATTTGGACGGGGAGGGAGCCTGGAATATCTGGGGCAACAGGATCAGCACACTCGTCCTCCTTGGTCCGGTCTATGACTCAGAGGGGCTGAAGAATGAAAAGTTCAAGGACTTTATGGCAAAGGTAAGACGATGATACTTATCCCCTTCTAAACAAAAGGCAACCATTCGGCTAACAAAGGGTCCTTAAGCGAGCTCGTGCTTATGTGCTTTCTCATGAGCCCGTTGGCACCCCTCTAGCGCCTCCTGAAGGCAACTCGGACCGTTGGATCCCCTCTCTAGGCCTCCCATGCCTCTCTTCTTCCGAACCAATGTATACGGAGTCGATTTTTGTCCGAGCTCGGTCTCATATCCTCTCGTATCTCCAGGAGTTGGCTCTTGATCCCGATCATGAGAATCCACCCCTTGTTGTGCCGGCTGTTTGCCCCCTACCTACGACTGAGCAGAGTTGGGAGGAGGTACCGGAGGGAGAGAAACCTATCGTAATCAAGTCAGATCCCGATGAGTTGGAAGTGGATATTAGGCAGATTAAGCGCTGGAAGCAGTTTGAAGAGACTGGAAAGGCGCCAGAGACAGACGAGGAGATGGAGACTGAGGAGATGGCGATAAAGGAGATGAAAGTAGAGGAGATGAAAGTAGAGGAGATGAAGACAGAGGAGATGAAGACAGAGGAGATGAAGACAGAGGAGATAAAGGCAGAGCCTTGAGCTCGAATCAAGGTATAGGAACGCTGTCCTGATGTCCCAGACGCTCTCTGGGATGTTGATAACTCTAGATTCCTCATTTCATCTCAGCAGGTAGACGACTTTGTATAGATACACTGATATAGGCACATCTGGATGCGACCGCAAAGCAAAGACTGTGGCCTTCTTCATTAGCTGCTGCTAATACTACATGATATTTTGCATCGTGTTTTGAGAATGATTGTAGCAATACATCTTTTAATACATCAAAGAGAATAAATTTGGCGTATTGTGCGCATTTAAACTTTGAAATAAGTCATAATGCCAGGCTTTTGCGCCTGTATATCTTCCAACAACTCCCGTGTCCGCTTAACGCGGTCTTGAATAACTGCCTCTTCGGCTTCCCAGCGGCCTTCTGTCTCTCGTGACGGTCCACTCCAGAAGGAGAAGACGGATGACTGAGACCCTGTAGCCTTCTTGTCCTTTTCTTCCTTTGCTATTGTCGAAACCATGACGGTCCAATTATCTAGCCCGGTGGATAGACAGTTTCTACACGTTGATTTCGTATCACGGCCGTCGTTGTTTAATTTCGGGTTTCGAAGCTGTTCTTCTGCAAGATCGACTCCATCCCTCGTCCAGGCTAGGCCGTCGTCGCGTGAGCCTGTCGCATAGAGGATTTCGCCAATGTATAGATTTAGAGCGGCTTCTTGGCAGCGTTCTAGGGTGCTCCTCCAGGGGGGAGATGTCCCGTCAGGTGGGGGCGGGGGATAATCTGGCGGGGCAAAGAGGTTCAATATCTGTTGATAGATGGGTTCGCGCTTGGATTTGGATAAGGGTGTGCGGGGTGGGTCGTTGGAGAGTGAGCGGCGGGCTTTGAGGATGGAGAGGTACATTGGTAGGGCGGAGGAGAGGTCGCCTTTGCGGGCCGTGTGGTTGGCCATGGCTGTCAGGGCGCTGAGGACGTTCATTGACGGTGGTTCGGCGCGATCCTTTAGGATTAGGGTTTTTGGATCGTATGGCAGTTTCTTTGGGTCTACGTCGGCGGTGGCCTCGGCTAGTGCCAGTTTGTAGAGAGACTCGGCGCCTCGGGGATTGCTCTTGAACTCCATGAAGCTTGCGTATTCTAGGCATGCTTCCACCTTTTGGCGGGGGTTCAGGCCTTTGGTCGCGAGGATCTTGGTATACCAGTTGTCGGCGGACGGGTAAGCGAGCTCGCAATCCTCTTCGCGAGGAGCTGAGGGGTTGCCTGGTGGGATTGGAGATGGGTGAGGATTGGACGGCCCGATGACGAATTCGGGAGGGGTGACGATGTTGCGCGTGATATCCCGCTGCCAGCCGTCGACGTGCTCTGCGGCTTTGGCGGCCAGCATGATGGCTTCGAAGTAGCCTCTCCGCCATTCCTCGGATTTGTCTGAGATGTCGCAGGCAATGAACTCGCCGGGCACCTCTAGCGATGGATCGATGATACCCGAGAGCTTCACGACGTCCTGTCCTCCCGTCTTCGGGTCTTCCAGCCGGATGACCACTCCGCGTGACAGCTCCAAGGCTCTAGCCCAATTGACCTCTCCATTCTTCGGGTCTTTGAAGTTGTTCGCATCGCGCAGGAATTTCCTCGTCAGATAGTGCCATTCGTGCGGCGTAGGGAAGTCTCGTTCCACGACCTCTTCGTTGACGGCGAACAGAATCGTCAAGACGCACACCACGACTCCCCACAATGTGAGGGTGTATCGCACCACGAGCTTCGCCTCGTGCTTCCACCACCGGCGTCGCTCAGAGGTATAGCACCGTACTGAGTTGGGGCTCGCTCTAGGGATGAAGAGAAAAGGCAGGATCGGTCGTGATCGGGTGTTGGATGTGGTGAGGCGGGACTGGTTGGCAAAACTTCTCAGGCATCGTGATCGGGATCCTGCCTGGGGGAATACAATCTTGCGGGTGATTAGTCTTGGGGCCATGGCGGCGCTGGCCTAGAAGCCGGAGTCCGGCTGGTGCGAAAGCCAAGGCAAATGGGTGGGATGATGCCTTTTTTCTTTGGTTGCTTTGTCGATTGAAGATGCGCTCATCGACCTGCGTATGTAGGTGTCTATCGGATAAGAGATATGCAGATATCCAGTTTTTGGTGGGGTTAGCTGGTCTTATCCGCTTATCGGAAGAAAGTTTAGTCCAATCATGCAATCTTGAGTAACTTGGATGCTTGTTTCTGGAAATTTATATGATGATGATGTTATGAATTATGTCTTCCTTTCTATCAGACACATTATCAAATCCCCGGGTACAGCTGCTTGCAACGGCTGCTGTATCCGGCGTGACTGTTGCGGGATTGATTCTAGGTTTTCAGGCCTTGGAGCGAGAAGAGAGATTGTCTGAGCTTAAGAACTCTATACCAAGATTGCCAAACAATGAGGATGATGGGTCTAAAAGAGTAAATTAGCCCCTAGATTTTACAAGTTCGGTTCTATTTTCTAACATGTCTTTAGTTAAATGGCTTTGGGACGTCATCAGAGACAGGATTGGACCCCGAAGATGCTCGCAATATCGCGTTGGCAAAGCGTGCACAGGCTGGAGACTTTGATGAAGAGCTAATCTTGGAGCAACTCGCCCGTAACCAAGTGTTCCTCACGCCTGAAGGCTTGAAAAAGCTGCGCGATTCTTTTGTTATAGTTGTAGGTTGTGGAGGAGTTGGTTCACATGCAGCCGCGACTTTGGCACGGTCAGGCGTTTCCAATATTCGACTCATTGACTTCGATCAAGTCACGCTCAGCTCATTAAACCGACATGCTGTTGCAACTCTAGCGGATGTGGGCACTCCCAAAGTACAATGTCTCTACCGACGACTCATTGCAATCGCACCCTGGATCAAGTTCGATCTCAAGCAGGAAAAGTTCGACGAATCAGTGGCTGAAACGATGCTGGCACCATGGGAAGGTCGTAAGCCGGATTTCATCATTGATGCCATTGATAACATAGACACAAAGGTTGCTCTTTTGAAGTACTGCTATGATAGGGACATGCCTGTCATTAGCTGTATGGGAGCAGGTTGTAAAGGAGATCCGACAAAGATTGTAATTGGCGATATTGGAACTAGCAAAGACGATGGACTATCACGAGCTACGAGGCGAAGGCTGAAGCTCCTGGGAGTTACCAGCGGTATTCCCGTTGTTTACAGTACGGAGCAATCTGGAGAGGGAAAAGCCGAGCTATTGCCCCTTCCCGAGGAAGAGTTCCAGAAAGGCTCTGTTGGCGACCTTGGAGTCATGGCCAACTTTAGAGTGAGGATTCTTCCTGTTCTCGGAACCATGCCCGCCATTTTTGGATTAACTGCTGCCAATCACGTTATCTTGAGGATAACTGGATATCCAGTTTCCTATGTTCCAGGCAAGGCCCGTGAACGAATGTACGAAGGCATTCTTACTTACGTTCAAGGATCGGAGGAGAAACTGGGTCGCATGTTTGTTCCTGGGTTGACTGGCTTGAAGAACCCACTGACTTTGGGCGACGTCGCCTTTATGACTGAGGAGCTGTATAGCGGGCGCAGCATTCTTAGTGGCATCCCGACGAAGCTTGTCCTTATTAGATGGAAGAAGCCGGTGACCTCCAGTGTGTCTCGGATTGGAGAAGGCAAAGACGAACAGAAGTGCTCCACGATTCGACTCCAGGATTTGGTGTGTATGACCAAAGAAGAGGCAACTAGGCACGAGAAGGAGATCTTTAAGGCAGACAAAGCCTTGGAGGAGCTTTATGATGATGAAACTATAAAGAGGGTTGAGGCGAAGATGAGAGAGGCCGAGAAGTACGAATGGTGGCGCCAGTAGCAGAAGAATATCATCGTCATCATCACCATGACCATTGCCGTTAATTCACCGATGTCTATTTTGCTTGTTGAGTCAGGTGTAAACCTCTCGGCCAAGTCAGCCAAGGCAACAAGTAACGTGGCGGTTACATCGTTACCGCCTTGTTATTGCTTTTACCAATAGGATAGGTACATAGTATTATCCTTTGGCCCCCAAATGTGATATCTTCTGCGGAACGGGAGTACCCGACAAAGCCGTCGGGCTTGCCAGATTCATTGGACACCATGTCAAGACTTGGACATTGATTATGAGCAGCTCCTGCATACACGTCGCGCGTAATTGCCTTGGTTTATTACGCGGACAGTGACTGGCTGGAGTGATAAGGCAAGACGCGAGGGGGGTGACCAATGTAATGCAAGAAGCATTTGATAGGATAAGAGCTCTGAGTAAGATATCTTGTGTTTCCTATGTATGTACGTGTTAATAAGAGATTGGCAGTGGTGACAGTCACACTGGATGCCTTTTTTTCCCTGCTTAGGATACCTTTGCCTGCTCACAGTAACAATAATGTCGTGCGTTACTCTGAGGTAGCAATGAGTGTTTCGCTATTCCCGTCTACTTTGTACAGTACAGACCGCTCGTTTTTAAGCAGGGGTATCCTGGTATCGCATAACTCAATACATGAGGCGGCCATCAGGCCGAGCTCAGAATTAAGTCCTACCACGGTGTACGAAATAGAAGCCTATACATGTGGTCCTCGTTTAAAGCATTATAGCCGTGCTTGGCTGGAAAAGACATTTGTACGGACACCCCGAACAGATACTCTACACCGAGTATTCTAATAGGCATTGGCCGGGCTCGTAAAAATACATGATCGACATAGATGGTCAGGTTGGCTTAGAAGTTTGGAAGATTACGGTGGCGTCCATGTCTCTCCGCATAGCGTTATGCATGTACGAATACGCACACCGATTATACCCCTTGTCCGCAGGACAAGCGCAATGAGCACCAAAAAGCAAAGGAGTAAAGGGAAATGGAAATAACATTCACAATCTGAATTTTCTATAACTAGATAGGTATGCTTTGAAAATATCCATATGAAAGCCTAAAAAAGCACCAGACGTCTTGCGCGAGTATTAGTCGAGAGTGGCGATGTCTACTTGTATATAACGCCACTTCTAAGCTTTGCATCAGCAGCACCGCAAGCCCTGTGAACATGCGCAAGATGCAATACAG